GTCGGCCAGTGTCTTGCTCACCAGAGAGCCACGGTACTTCGAAGTCGAAATACTCGACTGGGACATTCGTTAGCCTTTGTCGATCATGTGGAACATCCTCAGTCCTGCCAGGGATGATCGACGGTCTGGAAACTTGAAGAACTTACGTGTAGCAGGGACACGGAGTATGGCAGAAATTGTTGCCTCATCGACTTCACATCTTCTTAGACTGAGTTCCTTGAGCGAGGGCTTACCGGTCGGCATGGGAATTGGAGAAGTCGTGCGCAGGTCGGCGCCGTCGACAGTGAGGGCACCTAGCTTCGGTGTTCCGGCCAAGAAGGTGGAGAGCTGGAAGGGAAAAGGGAGTGGCATTTTGTTCGAGCTCAACGTCAAACAACACTCCTGCAATTCATTGCTGCAGACACAGGTCAGCGCAAGTTGGTCAGGATTGACGATGCGATGGAGACACAAGATTGTCTCAAAGAACAGCACTCATCAGGAAAGAAGGTCAACTTACAATCGTGCTGTCTCAAGTTGCATCATCAGAGCACCTCGCCACAGCGCGAGCGCCCTTCGGGGACCTTCTGGCTCCCAGAAACCGGCTTCGATCTCTAGATACTTGAGATTCAAGAACCGAGACAGGAAACCTGTCATTTCTAGGTTCCGGCCGCCGTCAGTGCGCGTGAGGCACACGTGGCATGCAGCTGCAAACGCTGCACGAGATGCTGGCGGTGCGGACTAGCAGCCAGGAAGGCGTCGATAGCCTGGCAGTAGTCGACATTGTTGATGGATATGAATTGGCACCAACTCTGCTCGTACAATCCCAATGCTCGCCTGCAGGTGGCGCGGAATCGAGCGATGTCGTGGTGATCTTGTACCAGCCTGGTGAAGCGGTACTCGAAATCTCGTGGAAGGGAGACGACAATTTGCACGAGGCTCTCGTTGGGAAGATCGAACAGCAGCACAGCCTGGCCTTCCGTGGGCGCCGCCATTGCCGCCGATGGAGGTAACCGTGGCAATAGAGGGAGGCTGACTGGAGGGTTGTCGTCACACTGCCAGTCGGAGAAGACAGTCTTGGTGTTGCTGGAACCACGACGAGCGTGCAGGCAGTCTGTTGAGCTCTTTTTCGCCATCACAGGCAGTGGAAGGCCTTTCGCTCGCGGTACCTTCTCTGTGCGTGTGACTGTGAGAGCGCGAGCTCTGTTTCGCGTCGACGTCCCGCGTCGATGACGCTGTTGGACGACGTCAAGGTCAGTCTTCTCGCACTTTTCCCCATCTTGCTGGGGTGCCTTGGTCTCCTGTTCATCCTCCAACATCTTCGCAGCCATCTTGGATTTCTTTTCTTCCAGAACATGCTTGGCGTCGACTTGAAATGCCAGCCGGTCCTCCGGGGTGATTGTCCCCCTTCCCTACTGCAATTGCTCCAATATTCGCATGACTCTTATACCCGGCGAACTTACCTGGGCACGGCCAACAATGATATCTTCCTGGTTGCCGTGCACTCATGGCAATGTCCAGGTTGGCAGCAACGGGAACCTTCTGTCCACGACTGTGAGAACATGCGCTGATCCACTGGACACCAAGCGAGAGGCAGAGGACAATGCATCTCCGTCCGCGTTTTCACGGCTGTACCGCAAGGCGGCATCTCGATTGCTCTCCAGCATATCGATGTGATGTATATATATAGCGAAGCACCCGGCGACATTGAGCCTGGAACACAAGCGAGGGCACAGTATCGGAGTATGGAGGAGTGGTACGATATATGATTAAGGGGATCCTGCACGACAAGAGGATGACAGCAGAGCGGAATTCACTTCCGATTGAAACACGCTCAGGCCAAAACGGTGGTGACGGCATGTCGTCATTTCCTTCCCCGTCTTCACCACTCGACTACACATCACACATCTCCCTCGACTGCTTCATCTCAAGTATTGTGATGAGTTGGACAATTCACGGTTAGGTCGTAACTACACCAGGCACAACATCTGACAGAGTCACGCGGTGATGCTGTCTGTATCATCCGCAGTGTTGGAAGCTGCGTTGCGGAAATGGCAGTGGCAGTGACAGTAACAGCACAGGGAGACAGGAGAGGGGCGCCGGGGAAACAATACAGGTCGACTCTTGTGACGCAGACATGCTTTCGTCTTATTGTTGTCAGCGAACAAAAGCTCTGGTACGAGGACTTCATGTTCGACAACTTCACACTATGCGACAGTGGGCGAAACTGGATCACCGACTTCACGGAAATTGCAGGCTCCTGGCCATGTATTCACGAGCGGACGGGTCTTCATCTACATGCAAAAGGTCCGAGCTTGTCGTGGAAACCTTGGCTGTCCAATGCCATGCATAGCTGATCCGGTACCGAAAGCGCTGTGGCAGCTGTTGCCGCAGGAAGATGGTGCACTGTCCAGACAAGCTGGATGAATTTGATATGAGCGCGGGTCTCCGATGATTCTGCTCTAGTCAATGCACATCCAGAAGCCGGCCACTCCCACGAGCAGGAGTGCCGCAAGTACACAGGCCGTTCAGATAAACTCTGTCAAGCTCGCAGACATGACATTTTCCTTTGTATATCCAGCGAAATTCTGATGGAAGACAGAAGCGTCAAGCAGCTGCAGAAAGCGTCGGCGGGCTGTCCGCGAGCACTGATCTGAGCCGTATGCAATGCTTGCACAAGGAATGAAGAGTACAAACCGTAAGTATCTTGGCCAGCGATTCAAAGCCCATACACATAAATCTCATGAGAATCAACGGTCTAGCCAATGGCTTGGGCAGCTGTGTATTCTCCAGACGGTTGTTGACAACAACTACCGCAAATTTGACGGCAGTATTGACGGCAGTACTGACGGCAATATTGGCCGCAGTCAAGCTTGCAACGATGGGGATGAACGCAGCTGTCGGCGACCTCCTACATGTCCGCATGGGTCGTCTGAGAGATGCTTCATCAATGCAGGCACAACAATATCGAGACCATGATGACCCAGACCGGCTCGCGCCACCACAGGGCGAACGCAACGATGGTGAACCCTTATTATCCCAGGACTCTGCGCAATTGAGCGGCACTTGAGTGACAAGCTTGAGCCACGGGACACGCCGGACATGCTGTACCTGCAGGGCGACTTCCCCCAAGGCCTTGATTACGGACGTGCCACAAAATGAACATGCGGAACACTCTCACTCAATTTCGTCGCAATTTCAGCCCGCGCCATGCTCAAACCTCAGTGATTCGCCAATCGCAATACCCCAGTGCCACATTCTGCACGGTAGAGCACCCGTTGCCGTCCTGACCAACATTGCGATGCATACGAGAACGGCTTGCATAACAAGGACGAAGCCATGCGCGGAGTACACTAGCATCCGGAAACCGTAGAGATGGGAGCATACATTCACGAACATCGGGCACGCATGTCCATCATGGATCTCGACAGGAGTGTCGACACCTTCACCCTGTAGGCTGGGGATCTGCATCTCAACGCGCGACGAGTCCTCCGCACTACATCGAGGGGGAGATCCTCGCCACAATGTTCAGTCCACAGGGCTGATGTGCCGGAGTCTCTCTGCGAGCTACAGGACCGGTTGTCGTTGGTGCTGAAGAAGAGTTAGTCCACCCATGGTGTACACCGAGTCGACCGATCGATTTAGCCCTTTGATCCACCGGAGCTGCTCCTCGTGTTGGCATACATCTCGGGTACAACTGGCGTGCGCAGTATACTTTCTTCAGCGTATATAATCCATGTACGCCTTACGCCATGTACTCTAACGCAGACAGATCAAGCCGCCACACCGTACGATATACGATATCAGAAGTCAGGAAGGACTACGGACTATATGCCGTGGAAACGCCTCCCCTCCCAACCTGAACCCGAGCTTTGCACGCCTGGATATATGAATTCAAGGATGGATACAGTGTATGCGGAACGATCTTCATCGTCGTCGGCACCGTCACAGCCAAATCGGCGCACATTGACATACTCGTCCATTTGATTTTTCGAGCCTGAACTTCAAAACTAGGCGTAAAAATGCTAACCTCGCAGCGGACGTCACCTGCGTACGCCATATCACGGTTAGACTCTGCGTACGCACTCTATATTGGTCGAGCGAAACGGACTCGAAATAGACCCAAAGCCAACTAATCACGACGGTGTACTCGTACGGGTATATTGATGGAAAATGGTAAAGGAGGTGGCCAAGCCCGGCGTAAGTGACCCCTGTAGCCCTTGTGGCTCCTACAGTACCTACCTGCAGTACTTGTACCACCAGAACGGCAATGACCGTTGGGCCAAGTCCGGGGAAATTTTCCCTGCATCCTGCATTGAACTGTCTACTCGTAACTTCCAACCCATGACTGGAAATATGCACGGATATTGGACCCGGGATGGGTGGCGATTGGCGACTGGGGCGAGTGGCAAACTGGTGCAGCCCGGGCAGAGACATGCAGTTCGGCAAACAGGCACAGAGAGCTAAGAGCTTCGAGCCCTTTTGACTTCACCTGGCGAATAGATTCGTGGCTCGGGGATGTGTTTCAGCAGAACAGGGGTCCAAGAAAGACCCTGCATATGCAAAATGCAAATGCATATGCTGATGCAGGGTGTACGAGTACTCGTATACGACGACCATGCACAGCCACAGAGACGGGTCCCATGTCGATCACTGCTGCACCTGTGGCTGCCGCGGTTGGACTTCGAGGCGTTCGAGGCGCTCAGAGGCATGAACTTGCCAGCTCAGGGTCCTGCTTCGGTAGTTAGGGACGGCCTCGACTAGACTCAGATTCGTGAGTATATCGAAAGACGTGTCCGTACTCGTAACAAGTAGCCTCGGTCTTCACAGTATTCCTGATATGAGCATGTGAAAGGAAATGGTCGAAAATAGAAATGTTCGTGTAGGCTCTTTCATTCGTCCGCAATAGCCTCTTGATCACTAGAATCCTGTTGCTGTACTCACCTCGCTTTAACCTGCACTTCCACTTACATCCGCCTTCGTAAACCTTACCGGCACTTACCTTACAGCGACAGAGACTTCACTCAAGCCACAGTGGCGAATGAACTAGTGAGGATCTTGGTCAACAACCGGTCCAACGCGTCGATAGAGCCCCTCGAATTCCTGACTGTCTTCTCATCGTCGGTGAGCTTCATACCCTTGGACTCGAGCACCTGCTTCATTCGCAGCATCTCGGCCGTGTCGCGAAGCACGCGTCCCATGGCATGATTCAGATCCGATACAATGTCCACGTCTGTGCCTAGCACCGTCTCTATGAGAGACGGGTAGAAGGATTCCAACGGTGTGACGGGCTGGAGTGCTCGCACCTCAGCGTTGTAGTTCATAATGGCGTAGACACGGAGCTTGATCTTCAGCTCGCGCGTGCACAGACAGCTTTGGACGTGTCGGAGCTTCGTATGCATCTCCTCGCTCAGTTTAGTAAGGGGGTGGGAATTTGTGCGGGAGCGAACCACCTCCAAGAGCTCTTTGTAGCTATTGAGAGTTCGAGCTGCCTTGTCGGCGAGATCTTGGATAGGCTTGATGTCCATTTCTGTAGGCGCTGCGGGCGGAGGGGACCATCTGCCGCGATAATGGTCAGGGGCAGGGCTGGGGCTTCTCCGTCTGCCTCTTGCGTGGGGATGGCGTGTTTCTGGTCTCGCGTGCGTTCTCTCGTGTGACGGTCTTTCCGGCTTTGGCTCGTCTGGCGCATCTGCCATAGGGGTATCCTTGGGCGGAGGCGCCTCATTCCAATGAGTATGGTGGTTCTTGGTTGATGCGTCCTCTGGCTTCGGTCTCGGTTTCGTCGATCGTGATCTTTGGTCTGGGATACCATCGTCTGTATCTTTGGCGGAGAAGCCGTGATAATGGTTATAAGCGTTTCCACCCGCAGACTCACGATATCCACTCCATCTATTGGAATTGGAATATGTGCTGGACATGGAGTTTCCGCCTGCGGGATGAGAGTGCCAGCTATCGGGTGATGACTTACGTGCACCACTGCGGAACTCGGAGCCGCGAGTGGACTTACCTCTGGATGATTGAGGCTGTCCCGGTACACCAGTTGCGTGCGGGTTCTTTCTGTCAAATTCCGCCCGCGCTGATGTATCTCTCAGGACTTCCCACGCTGCTTGAATCTTGATAAAGTCCGACTGTGAGCCGCCCTTGTCTGGGTGAGCTTTCAAGACGAGACGATTATACGCGGTCTTGATCTCTGCGTGTGCCGCAGAGCGCAAGACGCCTAGCACTGCATAGTGGTTTTGGGAGGTCATTCTGACCCAGGGTGTATTTGAACGTATCTTGCTATTCGGGGGGGACGAGTGAGGGAAGAAACACCGGAGTGTCATATACAGGACGGTGGGAATAGGCACGTGTGGTATGAGGGTCGGAGTACATTTTGGAAGCCCTCCTGGCAGTTCTCGCAAAGGAGCCTCTTTGACTGAGGGGTGAAAAGAAGGTCTTGTGTGCAAACAAAGCCATCTTCGTGCGTGGCAGCTGTGTGAGAAAGGTGAAGAGAGGCCGAAGAACGAACAAAAGACAAAGAGAGGGTGTCGACGGTCTGGACTGACAGCGGGCATGAAACGCGTGTTGAGGAGAATTCAGCATTCGTTGTTTACTTGAGCGTTGACAGTCAACTGTGGCGCAGAATTTGTCGCGCCTGTCGCGCCTGTCATGTCTGTGGCGTCGTGGCGTCTGTGGCGGTGCTACCCTCACCACCATTGCGTCATCGGTAACCCATTCCCAACCATGCAAATCCTCCTCGTCGCTGCTTGCTTGAGGCCTCTCCTCCCGCGACTGGAGACAATCTGCCAAACTCGCTGACACGGAGCATCTAACCAGCTCCAGCGACGATGTCTCACCTCTCGTAATCATTCTGCCAGCGGTACTTCCGTACTCCGCACGGAGCTCCGTCCCGGATGGGCCACGGCCTCCATAATCCTGTGGCTGGGACATCATTTTTCCCCTTCCTGCTCCGACGACAACCACGTGTCTTGTCCCGGCGCGTATCCAAGGTTAGGAGTACCTCTGTCCGATAACCTCCTCAGGCTCCATCTCTCGCTTCCCGTCGAGGCGGTGAATGGCATGACGATCTTACCAACTTTCAGCGACCTGCTATGTCTTCAAGTTGGGCGACGGCGACGAAATCCTACTGCAAGCCAAGACGACCGGCTTCGGGTCCTTTAGCCGAAGCACCCGCTCTTCTCGCGGTGGTTGCGGTCACTGAGGTCACAATCGCTGTAGTGCATGAGGCTCTTCTCCAACCGCTTTTCGTTCCTGAGCTCTCACGCCCCTCTGCTCGGCGACAGTGCCTGAGGCTGACGTGGCTCGCTGATCTCCTCGTGGTCCAAGGCTCGCGAGCTATTCTTGACTCGCCCTTGTCACCAAGTGGAAGAATCTAGACGATCGAAGCCCTCTCGAGATCTAGTGTTGGCAATGTGCAGCTGGCTGCGAGGTACTAGCTTCATGCATGTTCCACCTCTTGGAGGAGAAACTCGGCCTTAACCGACACACGATCGGCCAGTCAGCTGATGCTATCTACAGAACATGCATTTGCCTCCCGCCTCCCACCTCCCACCTCCCACCTCCTCCCTCGTACCTCATCATCGCGACCATTTCTCGCTTGCAACACTGCCACAAGCCACCACACTCCCGTCCTCGCCCTCAAATGACCGTTATACCCCACCTTTTTGGGAATCTTCGATTCGGCTCTGGAAGACCCGCGTCGCGGCTTCCGCTTGCTTGTCTCAGCGCCCTGATTGGCTGCTGCATCTGCCCTTGCTAATAACCAAGATGATACCGTTCCTGCAGATTCAGAACCACTCGATTTGTCCCTTTGAACCTCGTCCGTGCCGGTCCCTGGCAGGCGCCCCTCTTCGTTCGCTTTGCCGCCCAAACTGAGAACCCTGCTTCGCAACGCCACAGGAAATCAACAACAATCCCTGTTGGCGCCGCGATCGGCTGGGCGCTGGAGAATCATAGTGGTAAACCCGCGTGGAGACAGCCTGTCCCCACAGAATTGTGAAATTGGAAGTCCAGTTGTGCAATCAGTATTAGATAGTCGATACATAGGATATTGTAAAGAGGACCTCTAGCAAAAGGTTCGCTGGGGTATCATCCTTTCCAACAAAAGAAAACTCCGAAAAGGTGGGTATCTCGAAATGTCATGTTTCTCGTGAAAAAATATGGTTCGTCCGCTCGGGGACTCGTGTATCATCCCGTCGTTCGGATCGTCGTATGCTGTAATGAAGTGAAGTTGAGAAAAGTGGGTGCAAAACAGTTGTTGTTGTGTGAATTAGCCGCAAATGGTCCGCCTTCCGGTCCGAGCACCTGTACAATTCCAGAATTGCCATCGACGGGCCCGAGCCAAATCTGACCCGGCTTCTCACCGTCAACGGTAGCAAGTAACGTCAAAATACTCGTCAGTCGACGGCCGTCCTGAAACGCTGCTCTAGAATCTGCCGCCGTTGGAAATCTCGTGTTCGTAGGGGAAGGCCAACAAAATTAATAAAACCAGGGGTATCTCATGCAATTTCCATGTCCTCGATTGGTGCGTCGTTCTCAGTAGTTTAACCACATCTCCAGTGGATCCGTTATCAGCGACTCCGTGTGTGGCATTTCGCTGTCGACCATCCCTTTCGAAACCGCAGGTGCCATGAATTCGTGTTTCACAGGCTGATCGGTTTCGAGCGGTGTGAACTCGACAATCATATCCTGGCCCTCCGGGAGCTCTCTGACGACATCTTCGTCGACGATGATGTGGAGTCCGCGGGAGTTGATATGTGTGACCTGCGTTACTCTGTGAGGATCGATCTGGAATTTATTGGATATGTTATTGATCAGGTCTTTGACTGTTCGCTGCATCAGATACACCGCGCGGTAGTATTCTTTGGCTGCGTCTTTCTGACGCACGTAGAAGCATGCAACTGTGATCCGGTCAGATGGAGGAAAGAGGACAGAGCTAGACCACTTACCTGGTCGAATAGGCCTTTCCACGGGAGGCTGATAGCTGCTATCAACATCGACTGCGAAGAGATCCGGCTTGGTGGCCGAGCCGGCTTCCGTCTTCACGATCTTGGTTGGTCGCGAGGCGGAACCAGAGGGTTCATTGTCGTACTCGCTTTCGCCCTCCTCCTGGATGGCGGTATGCTGTAGGTCCGAGAACTTTCTCTTTGGCGTAACTTGTGAGGCCGAGCTAGAGGACGGGGAGCCAGCGTTTGATGTAGGCGAGTCAGAGGCGCTTTGTCTCGATTCCCATGTGGTTGTCCGTACGATTTCTTTGCCCTCTGGATCGTCGCCGGGTAGTTTGACTGGATATAGATCTGGATCGTCTTCGGGGTCACCGCGCAGAAACAGGACACTGACAGGCCGCGTCGAGGAGAACATATCTTGCATGCTCACGAGCTTCATCTGCATGTCCTCCTCGGCCGAGAATTTCATACCTTCAGCCTCGGAGTCGACAGACCAAGTCCGTTTATGCTTCAATACTTTGCCCGGCCTAGATGACGGTGCCTTTGCGATCGAGCCGCTTCTTCTCCTCTTCCCAGCGCTTCCCAGGCCTGCCTCGGCTTGAGCAATCTGCTGTTTGAGCTTGTCGATCGTCTTCTTCACGTGCGCCACATCGTTGGAAAGCTTCCGCTCTGCGCCATGATCACGGAAGAGCTTTACCTTGGAGTAGCATACTTCTGGTTGGTTGCTGGCCGTCGGTTCAGCAGTAAGCAACTCCGTCTTGGCACAAAGTCGAACGGGAATGCCTTTGACGCCTTTCGAGTGGCTGAAGTCGGTGGATAGGAAGTTGAAGCGGATCGAGATCGAGCAGTCCGGGCCTCCATTGACAGCACTCGGGTACCACGTTACCGCAAAGCCGTCGAATGACGCCTTTTCAAGTTGGATTTGAGGTTTTCGCAAATCATCATCTCCACCCTGGTTAGGTTCCACATATTCTACCGCCAAAAGTCTACCACCTCGCTGGTGGGCCTCATTCGAGCCCCGTCCTTCTTTCCAGAGCTGCCAACACGCACCGGGTCGAGCTCTCTGCTGTTCGTCTTCAAAGGAAACACGGACGTAGGTCCGGTACTTGTGAGGGGTGTTCTGCGACATGGGAGGCAGGGTATCCCATATAGACATGGTGTAAGCTTGGCCTTTGTTGAGGTACGTGATCGGGATCTCGTCTGAATGCCGCACCATTGCCGTAGGTGCACTCAACGTTGTGTGGAAGCGGAATCTGATGATATTGTCAGTAAATCTCAGGTGCGAACACGAGGGTACTGACTTCTCCCCAATCGGCAAATTGGTCATGCCAATACTCCCAGACATAGACTGCTGAATCGGCTGGTTCAAGGATTGTTGCTCGACGCCCAGCTCGGCCTGTGTCGGGGTTGTCTTATGAGGAGTATCGTCCATCGCGACATACCCGGAGTCCTGATGTTGCAGGAACTGCTGAGGAGCAAAAGTCTGCTGTTGCTGGGTTGGGACATGGATGGGAGCTTGCTGGTGTTGAAAGAGATCCTGGTATGGATGCGGTTGGTGCAGAAGATGCGGGTTGAAGTGATTGAGATGCATGAGTTGATCCTGAGCGTGAAGTCCGTGGACCGAGTGCGGAAGAGAGAGAGGCGTATTCATCCCCATTCCGGGCGTGTGGAGGTCGCCGGCCTGAGGATGGTAGAGAGTCCCAAACCCTCCCGGGGTGGGAGTATAGTAACCCGGAGGCTGGTTGGCGAAAGCGGAGAAGGCATAAGAGTTGGGATCCATGAGAGACGGGGTGAATCTCCAGGCGTCGGCGAAGGGCTTGGGCGTCGCAAGAGTGGCATCCTGTTCTTTCACTCCAGGTTGTGCCTCAAAAGCTCTGGTAAAATAATCAGCGCTGTCGACATGGTCGTCACCATGCGCGGAGGCTTGGTGCGTCGGAGACATGGTCGGCTACTGAGGAAAATTCAAAGGAACCCGACACAGAGGGGTGGGCTGGAAGAAGTAAGACATCTTCGAGACATACCGTTGAGATGTAGATGGTTCATCCTCGATCGCCTCGCTTAAAGTTGAAGATCTGCGGACAGGGCCCGACTGTCCCGGTACAGCTGAGGCGGTCGATCCAGGCCCTATGTCGGGAAACGACTGTCTGAAAGCCGCGTACAACTCCTCATCCGGCTTCTGGGTATTGCGCCTGTGGTCCCAGTCAGCTAGTCAGGAACGCGGTATAGACATGCCGGGTGAGGCCGCCGAAGTGAAACGTGCAGAAGTGGACGCGAGAGGACTGACCGATTGCGAAACATTTGCGGCGGAGACAGCGTCTCAGGCTGCAGGACCGAGCGAGGATGAGGTCAAATCAACAACATGGAGCCATCCGATGGTGTCGAACCGTCGAACTAGACGATGTATTTCAAGCGTCGTGCATGAGAGAGTGGCTCAGTGCTCGAGACGGAGAGACTGGGTGCCACAGTCGATGGGCTGCTGCGCCTTATGGATTGCGTGCGCGTCGATCGAGGTCGGGCTGAGTCGCGCGCTGGCGTTACGAAGACTCGGCTCACGGCGAGGCACGGCGTGGACTGGGCTCTCTTGGGGGTTCGAGCGAGCAAGGTGAAGATGGGAAAAAATAGACAAAAGATCGACGAGGTACGAGGTTAAAGGGCAAGGTGAGGTGTAGTACTGAGGCAGGTGTCGCACGCGGTGGAGCGAGTCTCGTCAAGGTGAAGTGAACGGACCGGGGTCGTCAAAGAGATGGTTCTGATGGGGCCTCGGGTGCATCAGCAATAGAATTAGCACTCTCCATGAAGGTTAATGCGGGCCATGGATCAAGGGTATGCGGGAGGGGATGGTGAAGCAGACAGCGGTGGATGATGGGAGTCTAGCGGACGGTAAGAATTGGGATGGGATGAGATTTCGATTTGATCGCAATCCTCACTCCCTCACTGAGCACCAGCACCCGCACCCACGTAGCGAAGGCAGGTACGAGAACACGGGACTCCGTCCGGCGTCAGGCAACATGGGCCATGTTTAGTTCGGAGCCTAATTCACGACAGCCTAAGCAGGGATGCCCTGCACCTAATTCTTTAACTGAGCCACGCCTGGAACTGTCCACTCTGCAGCGTGCGCTTGTGATTGGAGCGTGCCGCGGAGCAGCGCGTCCAACAGGGTTAGGCTGGCAGCGAGACGTGGCGTCAAATTCATTTTCAGTGACAGGCCGTGGCATCACGAGTGGCACCTCACGCCGACGACGTGGCTTGTTTCGGCTGTGGTTGCTGGCCCGAGGACCACTTTCGGGGGCATCGCGGCCGTCTGACTGGCTAGCCACGGTTTCAAGAAAGGGCGACATCTGCACCTCTGCCACCCTTGCTGGCGCTGACCACTCCCTCCTCGTCCCTCAGACTCTGGCAGATTGTGTGCCTGGTTGACCCGTCCTCCTCGTCACCAAGGTTGATCCTTACCTTGTCGCGGCAGATGTGGTATATTTCCCTCCCGTCCCAGGCCCAGGCAGCATGATCGACGCACCGCCACACGTCCTCGACGATCACCCCTCTCGCTGTGTGGCTTGATAAGAGTTTGTTCTCGAGGGAACTGTGGCGTCGGTGTGGCAAAAAGAACACGAGACTTGTCTGAGTGACTCTGCGCGGTCTCACAGCAAATCGAGATGGCCCCCGGCAGCGCAGCGCCGGCTCATTCGGCGTGAGCACGTAAGAGTGGTGGTGAGGGCATCCACCGGTGGTACCTGTGGCTTGACCCTTTGGTTTCCTCCATCCTTCGTGTCCTATCTCCATTCTCGCTTGCCGAAGCGCCTCCCACATCAGACCGCACTGAATTTCTGACCGTTCCTCATCCTTTTTCTGGAGCGAGATGACGGCCAGATCCATGAAACACCCGTCACTGTCTGTTCACGCCAAATGTACTGGTTTGACTATCCGCGCTGCAGACCTCATCGTCGAGCTCACCCAGGTGCACTCGACTAAGCATAGTTTTGCTGATCATCCCCACGTGCTCAATCAATGCACCTCTATCCCTTGCTGTCGATCGATCCCTTCTGATTTGGCCTCGGATAGGCGCTCTCCCAATCAGGCCAATTGTGTCCTCGAAGCGATATCACAAAGGCGTAACTGACTCATGAGTAGCGCCTTGTCCTCAATTGTACGCGTGTACAGCGGAAAGATCATCTGGATCATAATAGTCGGGATCGGATCAGAGAGGAAATCTTTCAGTAGCATTATTCTGTGACATCGCCCAGCAAACTCCACACGAGAAGTACCGGCTGTTCGGCTAGTCCACACATGGAGATGACCTCACCAGTGCACTTTTGGAGTTGTGCCCAACATCGGGTGTTGTAAGCAGGTAGATGAAGTACGAGTAGCACATCTTTCAACACATTTGGAACGAGCACCTGATCACAGCGATGCGCCGTCGGCACCAGACGCGCGCACAGAGTTCAACCCAATGACTGCACACGCGCTTCCGTACCGCCTACAACACTGCACAGGTGGGCCATGTGTGAGGCACCTACCGAGATTATTACATCATGGTCGTGCTATCTGACCAACCGTTGTGGCTGCAGCTTTGGTGAGATGAAACGGGACGGGCGCACAAAGTGCTTTTGCGCGACGGTCAAGTGACCCTGCGACAATCTCATGGCCGATACCACGGCTGAAATTCGTCATCCGCACTAGATGCGTTCATACATGTACTTAATTCTACCGTCGATAGCCCAACTCCCTTCCACCACGATGCTGCTATATTTCCGGGCATTGACGATTGGATAACTGACGTGAGTGTCCAGCAGAAGTGGGGGGCACCGAGGACAATCTTACAGTTTGTGTCTGAGAATGCCATCAGAGCCATCTCTACGATGCCTAAACAGTAGACAGAAAGAGCGGTGATTTGAGTGGACTCTTCCAAGGTGACGCCGGCAATCTCGATTCGAGCCACCTGGAACGTGGGTGGAACAAATTTGGGCGGGAGAACAGCGCCTGTGAAGCCCAGCATGAGTCCACGACCACGCGTGGAAAGGCTCTCTAGGCTCCCCTAAGCTCGCAGCCGCGACACCAGATCGGGCTCGGGGCATGATGCCAATAGGCGAGACGAACTCTCACTCGCCACGCACAGCAAGCCCCACGACTTATTTCCTGTTAGTGTGACCGGTGCATTATTACTGCGGTCTCTCCCAGATCCTTACTCCGTACAGATCCTCGATAGGAGAGTCCTCCGTAGTCTGTTGCAGCTATTCTGTAGTTGCGCGAGAAGCTGGCACATCGTCATTACGGAGTTCCGCCTTTGCATGCTGTCTTCCTCGTGTGTGAAATTTCGCCTGGAAATTGCCCAGGCACCTCCAGTATTTCTCCGAAAATGCCAGGACCAGGCCCTGCTCATCCGGTAAATGAGCTTCCGACAAGCAAATTTGCCAATCTTCCAGAAGCGGCATCTCTTCAGGCTCAGTCTTCTAGCACGTCCCTTGTCGCGCGGGTAACCAGCGCCGCCTCTTTCTCGACAGTGGGTTAACTTTGCCGAGCTTGCCTACAAGAGCCTCAAAATAGTTCTCCACACACGGATCACGATCGTCCTGTGGCACGAATCACGAAAAGGACCGAAAGGTGGAAGACGCGCAATAATCTAGCGACCGTTGTGCGCCGAGAGCCCAATGTTCTTGGAATTCCCCAGCTACAGGTGACAAGTAACGCCACGTTACTGCGCCCCAGTGCGCCACAGCGCCAGACGATCTCGGTGCATGTGGCGTAAGTGATCGGCGGCCTGACTTCACCCCTGTGGCTTGAACGTTGCAAGGGTCGGTCCAGAATCGGAGCAGCACAGCAACACCCCCTCTTCGCGTTGCGTAAACCTCAGAACGCGGATATCCCGGGAAGCAGTTGGGCGATATTGAGTTCACTGAGATGCTGCGGAGTCACTGGCCACCTCTGCGGGAGGTGTTGCTCCCATACACGATCTAGATATCCGGCGAGAGCGAGCCATTTGGATTCGTCGCCGACCGAATCCATGACATCCCCTTCTTTCCAGCAACCAGACCCGGCTCTACATCCCGGGAAAAAGATCCTGCAGCAGCGTCGTGCAGCGTGGGTTCGGACTCGAACATGGCCTTCTAGAGCAGGCCATAGACTTCGCCTATTTGCATCTTCTCGGGTCGATCCAACCGGTTCGATGGTACCACGATTATCTTGGTTCGTGAGTTATCACCTGAACACGTACACAGGAAGGACACGATCCGCATTAGCGAGTGGCGACAGTTCGCACATTTTCATTCCTTTGCGATTGTCAGGTCACAGGTGCTCGTTTAGATGCGTTGGCTTCGATCTGGACCATCATCCGTTGAGCAACCAGGCAATTCGTTCGCCTGAAGCAGGGCATGGCATGTCTGCTGCTCTATTTTTGTCATCCAGTATCTGTGTTCCAACAGCGCGATTCTGGTCTCTGGCCGTGTCAATGCGTCGAACCGTGGCCGGAGGGCTGGAGTCCCTGCAAAATTTGACATCGCATAGGAAGTTGCGTTTTTCGCGAGCACCCTCAGAGGAACAGGACCCTCTCACGGATGGCGCCCAACTCTTCCAAGTCCTCAGGCGATAGTGCCAACGGCAGAAGTGGTTCAGACGTCCTGCAGTGCCCTAACGATGACAGGTTCCTGATTTCACGCATCTTTGACACGCCGACGGGATGGCAAGCAAGGTATTGCGACGCCTCACGATACCGTGGGATAGGCTGCTATTGCCTGATGCTTTGCTTCCATTTACCCTCGATATCCACTCCTACTCACGCTACCAGCAGGATATCAAGTGTACACATCAGTGCTTATCCAGGGGAACATACTACCAAGGATGTTGAGAGTGGCTGCGAGCACTGGCGAGGAATCCGAGAGCTGGAAGAAAGTGACAAGCTCAGCATGCTCGGAGCGACAACTATCACCTCCGTCCTCTTTTCATCTTGAGATGAGCTGTGCCTGGTAGTAAGAGCTTCGTCCTTAGAAGACTACCCGCTCCAGTGACTATACCATGGCAAGTTTTGGGCTAGCTACTGTAGCCCAGTGCCTCAGGGCCGGTGCAGTACCAGTGTGAGGTGCCCTTCTAGATCTTTATCAGAGCCTCGTCTCCCATGCCGGCCTGATTGCCAGGGGAACTCGAACACCCCCACGACAAGTGTTGAAGGATCAGAAAAGGCTGAGTCAGCCTTAGAAGTGGTGATAACGTGCTAAAGCTCTTCATTGTCGACGCCTACAGGGAACTCAGTGAATTTGTTGAAAGACCCGCCTCGACTGCCTTTTCTGGATGGATTTGAGTGCTTCAGCCTTGTGAGCTGCGTAGTTGCTTGTACAAGTGGTTGAATTTAGACTAGCTCAGCCTTGTTTGACGTCGTCGCCTCGACGCTTCCGACTTCCATGACGCGTGTCGTCGTCTTTGCGGATCCGCAACAGATTCTGACGTTTACATCTGCAAGCGGACTTACTCCACGGTTGCGCCACCAACCGTTGCTTAATCATACAGGTAGGTGGTGACGATGACCTGCTTCAATGCACAGAAGGCGCAACGGACTTCGTTCATGACGCGCTCGTTCATCGATGGCAGGATTCGTGGTAAGTGAGCAAGCTCAGAACAAGCTTTTTATCCCCGTTTGTTCTCTCCGTCGAGGTGCAGTTTCTGGAGAATTATCACAATCAGCGTGTCGCATCTGATCCGTTATCATGCGCCTCCTGAACATCAGTGTCTCGAGCCTGGCCTGGGGATGCCTAGCCTGGGCACAAAATGCTAGCCTGACCCAAGGCAACACCGTCTCTACAGAAGGACTCGTAGCCAACAGCTCCCGGTTTAATACTCGCCTCCGCGTCGACAATGGTACCTACGGCCCACCGGTAGAAGAGGTACACTACTTCTACAAGTACTGGCCCATTGGCATTGCCGTTTCGAGCACGTCGAGGATCTTCATCTGCTATACGCGCGGCGAGTATGACTATACCGTCGCCGAGGTCAATAGCAGTGCAACGGAAACACCATACCCGTCGGCTGGATTGAATCTACCATCCGACGCACTCAACACAACACTCAACGGCATTGACTTCGGCAGTGCCAATTCCACAGGTCTGATAAGTGTGCAGGCTCTGTACATTACTCCCGCGCAGAATGCCTCGGGCCGCCCTGAAACTCTGTGGCTGCTCGACACAGGTCGACCGACGATCCGATCCGCCTCCACTGGGGGCTATAGCATGCCCTACGCCCAGCCTGGCGGACCCAAAGTCGTGGGTGTGAGTCTGTCCAACAACAGCGTCTACACAACATATACGTTCCCATCGACCGTGCACTACCCCGATTCGTACATGAACGACATCCGCTTCGACCTGCGCCCTGGCCGCGAAGTCGCCTACATAGTCGACTCTAGCAACGAGGGTCGCAACGGGTTCATCATGTTGAATCTGACAGATGGGTCGTCCTGGCGACGGCTAACGCAACATCCCTCCGTCTTGAGAACCTACAACGCTCTGCCATCGTACCAGGGCCACCCGTTCTACTACCGCAACCCAGGCATGGGCATCGGCCACCAACAAGAAGGTCTCGACGGCATTCAGATCTCCCCGGATGGCAACCATATCTACTACTCTCCGCTGACGTCCCAGAACCTTTACCGTATCCCCACCGCGAACCTTCTCCTTCAAGATTCCCAATCCCCTCTCGCCGAACAGGCCGCTTCGAACAACGTCTCCTGGCTGGGCCAACGTGGCGGCGAAGCAAACGGTTTCGAAGGCGACTCCAACGGCTTGGTCTACATGCTCATGCCCACGCACAACGCGGTCTACTATTACAACCCAAATGACCTGCAAGTCCATGGATTCATCCGCGACCCGAGGATACTTTGGCCCGATAGCGCAAGTATCGGCGAGGACGGCTATTTCTATGTCATCATCAACCAGCTGCCGTATCAGGATGAATGGAACAATGGCGTGAACCTGAGGACGCTTCCAGGGGCGATTCTGAGGGCTAAGCTGATCAATGGGGGGTCAAAGATCATGTCCTTGCGGTAGAGGTGGGGAGAGGTCTAGGCTGACCCTAGTCATGGGGTTAGAGAGACCGAGCCGCATGCTTGTGGCTCACGTGGTGATTGCGTAAAGGTAAGCTTGCTCGGCAGGAGTTATACTACTCTCTGGTCGGCGAGCTGCCGTCTCACCGAACGCGCATCGAAGACCGTGGTCCTCACGTGGACGTTATTCGACCTCGACTCCACGGTCACCGACATCTTGACTCAATGGACGTTGACCCACTGGCATGGAGCTTGCCTGAAGAGGTTGCTTCTTCTGCGCGGCCTTCAACGTGTTGTTCCTTGTTGAGTGCTGCTTTCCACAGTCTGAGACGCCGGGCCCGGCTTTCCACGAACTAGACATGCTATTTGAGACGGGTGCGGTGAGGGGTGCAGCCTTCCAGGTTCTATGAGGCGATGGTTATTACCGTCAGACTGGAGGACTGGATGATAGCATGGTATAATAGAGCTTCGTAGCTGCTACTTGTGAGACGAGATTTTACCAAATGGCATATACGAGGGACCACGTCCGTCTAGCAATCCGCAAGATTATCGTCGCGCCCACTTGTATAGGTAGATATAACACCAGACAACCCGGTCTTGCTCTCGAGTGCGTATCTCCTCGCAACGCAATGGCGATTAATAGGAAAGTCTACTAGTGGACAGACACGACAGATCCTGGGTCATTCAGCCAGGAGCTGGTTTGAGCCACTGAAATATGATGAAGAGACAGGCGCTGATTCGAGCGACGTGAAGTGGCGTTTTCAGCGCAAACCACCACTCACTGTGACAAGTGTTTTGAGGCGGTGGAAGTTCAGTTTTACCTTGGCTGCTTGCGTGCTATCTGCGGTGGAGCATAAGACCGTAATGCGCTCTTTCAACGGTACAGCGCAGAAACCCGATATGACAGTCTCTCGACTGATCAATTTCGTCGCAGCAACCCGGAAGTGAAGTATCCCATTGCCCCGCCCGTGCCAGCAACCCTCACGACAGTGTCTACACGAATACCAAGTTGCAGCTGCAGCGGCTAATCAGATCTGACCGGTCCTGACAATGCGCCGTGAGCCTTGAGCCTTAGCATGCCCCGCGCAACCAAATCCACGCGCCACACACCTGGCCTGCCCTCGTCGACCTTCGTCCTCGACAATGGCGCGTACAACATAAAAGCCGGGTTCGCACCGGCAGGCCCGGCCTCTGACGCCGCGGCGCTGCAGAAATGCCATACCATCCCCAACTGCATCGTGCGCACGCGCGACAAGAAGACCTACATTGGCGCGCAGAGCCAGGAAATCACACAATGGAGCGAAGCGTTATTCCGGCGGCCGGTGGAGAACGGCCAGGTCGTCAGTTGGGAGACGCAGAAGGAGATCTGGGATGAGAGCTTCTTCGATGACAAGACGGCGCGGAACGAACTGTTGGTGAGACATCCCGAGGAGACGACGTTGCTGTTCACGGAACCGCCAAACACGATGCCCGAGTTGCAGAAGAATGCGGATGAGATTATCGTGGAGGAATGGGGTTTTGGCGGGTATGCGAGGGTCATTGGTAGGTACGGCCACGATTGAGACCAGCCCTTGCAAGCGAAGAGAGAGAGACGGAGATGGATGGGCTGACGATATTGGCAAGGCCCGTCACTTAACGCGTACAATGACCTCCATCCACTGTTTGAGGGAGAATCTTACACGAACTCCGACAACAACAACAATAACAATGGTAACACGTTCGCGGATCTGCCCATGGAGTGCGTCCTGGTTATAGACAGCGGCTACAGCCACAGCACGGTCACTCCGCTGTTCAACGGCCGGCCGATCCATCGAGCCATTCGCCGCCTCGACTTTGGCGGCAAGCACCTGACGAATCTGCTAAAGGAACTCATATCCGTGCGGCACTTTGATCTGCATCAGGACACCAAGATTGTCAACGACATTAAAGAGGAAGTCTGTTTTGTCAGTGACGACTTTCGACGTGATCTGGAGAGGACATGGAAGGGCAACAAAGGCCGTCGTCAAGAGGTGGTCGTTTCGAAAACCCAGGACTCGGACCACGCCATGGATCTCGACCACCCTGCTTCCCAGCAAGACGAAGAGCTCCGCGTCGATTACATCCTCCCCGACGGGATCCGCCTGCTCCGCGGCTTCTCCCGCCCGCACGACTCAAGCACCAGCGCCCAGAAACGTCGCAAAGCCGCTGCCCTCGCTTCGGATCCCGAAGCAGAAATATCAATGACACTGGGCAATGAGCGGTTCTCCGTGCCCGAAATCCTCTTCTCGCCTAGCGATATCGGGTCCAAGCAGCCCGGTCTGCCGGATATTGTTATGCAGAGTCTTGGTGTTTTGCCGCCCCTGGTGCAGGCGACCATGTTGAGTAACGTGCTCGTCGTGGGCGGGAACGCGAAGATCGCCGGTTTGGTGGAGAGACTGGAAGCCGAGTTGCGAATGCGGGTGAAGACAGAATGGGCCGTGAGGGTGAGGAAGTTGCCGGATCCGACAACGAGTACGTGGCTCGGGGGTGCGAGACTGGCGAGTAACTGGCCCGAAGTGGTCAGGGAGTACGGTGTCACCAAGGAGGAGTATTACGAGCACGGAAGTGCCTGGGTCGCACGGCGTTTTGTGAGCGGTGGGAGCGGGAAAGGACCTTGATGTTTTTTGGTTCATGAGAATCACTATCTACACTGAGGATCTTCAGCACTGTTCCTGCTACTCGCTCAAACGCTGAACGGCTCTCTCCACCCCCCTCGCATGGACTCCCGGCTCCGTCGACTTTTGCAGACCAAAGATCTCAAGACAAGGAATAAGACGCCCGCGAAAATACCGCCGAGCATGAAGCCCATGGACGCACGCCCGAGCTTAGATCTCGACGTATCACTGTTGTCGAGATTGTGGGAACTTGGCAGCGGGTCGGGCGCCATGGTGGGCATGGGATGTGCGACGTAATCTGTCTGCATGGGGGCGAAGACGTCGAAGTGGATCGGTGGGATGATCAAGGCCGTTGTCGTCGCGACCGATGCTGCGTCGGTACCAGGAAGGGGCTACTGGGAAAGCCACGTCAGCAGGCACCCATGGATGCGGAGAAAAAGGCACACATACCCAGCTGTTTGCAGAACCACGGGGTCCCGAAAATAGTGTCAATCCCAGTCCAGCAGCCGCTACGAGCAGGACGTTGGCTCGTCGACCGGGTTCTGTGTCTGCGTCTGCCTCTTCGTTTTGAGAATGCAAATGACGAGGACGGTCATCGCCGGGACGATGGGGTCGAGGAGGACCACTCACAGACCGGCAATTGATGGCGCGAGAGAGGCCATTCTCACATTGACCTTTCTCGCGTCGGTTGCGGCCGATACATGGAGGGTTTCTTACCCCATTGAGAGAGTCGACTCGAGGAATATCGTTCTCATTTGGAGTATCGCGGATCCCCTGAGGGGTTATGGTATGGCTGGAGTCCACGAGACCATCAGCTCTGGTGAAGCGGCGATGCTCATTGTCGATCTGGGAACTGGCAGAAGCGGAGGAAGGACCATGCCGGTCAGGATCGCCTCGATTGGAATCGACAGGGCTTCGACACCGATGGACGTTTGTTACTGTAGAGCTCGGAGAGAGTGTAGCTGAAAGACGCTCAGCTGCGATATTTGCACTTGGATGTTGCTTGACTCGACCACCTCCGTGTGTATGGTCCTCAAAATGCCCTCGATTTGAGCTCGCCCCTGTGATCCCACTCTCCTCCCCTGCAACTCTGTCTCGAAGGTCCTGGCTCGAGGCCTGCTCGATCATATTAACCACTTCGGTAATCCCTTTCCCCTCTCCGCACTGAGGACTAGCTGGTCGATGCGCAGGAGTAGCTCGTGGGCAGTCCAAGAGCTCTTGGGTCGAAGCTGTATCTGCGTCCACGTCTTCGTAATAGTAGACCCCAGGATACGCAGCCTCGGGATACTCCCCAGGCGGATACTGCGCGTTGTCATCGTACTCGACCTCGAATGACTGGTCAGCAAAGCGAGGGTCATTGTAATGGTAACCGTGGAACGAATGCCCTTGGACACGGTCCTCGCTGGGAAACGCATCGCTTGAAACCTGAGGTCGGGATCGCAGTCCGTATCTGCTGTTCCTCTGCTGATCGCCCGCATATTGACATTGCCGAGTGTGAGCAACTGGCTGAGACGCCATGGGATAGTTGTGAACGGCGTTGGTGACACGAGCATCTCGGCCCACAGCCAGGCCGCGTCCTCGCCGTCGGGTTATTCTGGTCATCTCCTTTGGCCTGCTGTTGTTGTTCTGAGAAGGTTCAGTCACGGGCGGGTAGAGAAGGTCATGGGGATCGCTAACGGAGGAAACATGGGAGAAACGAGGAGCAATATAGGATCAGAGTGCAGCAGTGTGACAAGAAGAGACGGTGGTGGCTCATTCACGACCAACAGAGCTGTCAGTGTTAAGTGAAGTGACCGTCACCGTCGCCATCACCGTCGCCATCACCGTCGCCATCACCGTCGCCATCACCGTCGCCATCACCACATTATTACTCTCTCCCATCACTTACTCTGGTCATCCTCTGCGCATTTTCATGACGGCACCAAGTGAACAGCAGCATGGCGAAGACTGCGCCCATGCACTGCAGCTAATTAGCATACCTCGACGCGCGCGCTGGATGGGCTCTGATGAGCAGAGCGCAAAAGTGTGCCTCGCTCATCTCTTGCTCTGCTTTACATGGCAGTCCACAGCTCTCGCAGCCGTCTCTATTGATCCAAGAAACTATGCTTTCATGCCCTCTGTACCTTATGTACAAGTTCCTGTACAGTAGCGAAGACGACGCCGAGCTTCAGCCACGCAAGCCACTCGCGTCAATCGACAGGAGAATTCCGATCGACCTCGCTTGGACTGGACAATCCCTGCGCTTTTGCACCGAGAACACCTCATCTTCGTTCCATTCAGCACAATGAAGAATCAAAGTATCATACTTCCTCAGATAGAGGCCCGAAGGACAATCCTCGTTCTCAACCTCCTCCCCATACTTGAGGCGGGATGAGCAGCGCAGATGGCCAGCAAGATCATCTCAACGGTCACTCCGGCTTCATTCTCGCCGTCTTCTGCGTCGTGTCGGCGCTGGTGATATGGCCGCTCAAGATCCCACTCCCAGGATCCTTGCAGAATCTCCTACTGTCGGCACTATTGAAGACCAGAACCATCGGTCGCCATGAGTTCACTGCGCTGTCGAACCGATGTCTCCATTTCCACCTGTCACTTACGACAGCGCCGGTGATAGCGGTGATCCTGCTGCTGGCAACCACGACGATCCACGGCTCGACCATCCGCCTCGGCATCGTCGGCGACGAGAACGTCAAGCCCTACGACGTGCTCGTTCTCTTCATCTCACTCGCCTACATCTCGATCGCCCTCGACGGGACCGGCGCCCTTGAAGCCACGGCGTTCTACGTTTCAAAGCGAGGCGGCAGTTCCGGACGACTGCTCTTCACCTATCTGTATGCCTTCTTCCTGCTGACCGCATGTATCGTGGGCAACGATCCGCTCATCCTCTCCGGCACGCCCTTCCTCGCCTACCTCAGCCAGCACACGGGCCTAGATCCCACAGCGTGGATCTTTGCCGAATTCATGGCCGCGAACACGGCCTCGGCCGTCCTCGTGAGCAGTAACCCGACAAACATCCTCATCACGGGCAGTTTCGGGCTCAATTACCTGACGGGCTTCACGAAATGGACGGTCCTTCCCTCGCTCGTCCCCGCGGCGCTTAACTACCCCATCTTGCTGGGCATGTTCTGGAAGAAGATCCCCCGGACGCTCACGCCGCTCACGGACGACCCGTGGAGCAAGCTCCGCGACAGGACTGGCGCATTCTTCCTCAGTGCGCTGATGCTCATCACCGTCGCTGTGCTTGTGGGGACGAGCTTCGTGCCGGGCCATGCAGTCGAGGTGTGGATGGTGACTGCACCCGCCGGGGTGATTGCATTTCTGTACAACGTGGTGACCGACTGGATTTATCCAGAGACCGGCCGGAAGATTGAAATTGACCGACAAAGGTCGCGTGAGTCCGCAGCTGAAGGAGCAACGGACTTAGAAGTGGAAACGGAAAGGACAATGGAAATGGGTACAATAGACTGCACGGCTCCAAGGCCTACACGGGCACTAGCCTCGAGCACAAACCAGCCACCTGATCCTGAGAAAGGAAGCCTATCCACCCCAGAGTCCAACACGTCGCATTCTCGATCACCAACTCTGCCGGCAAGGGACGACGTAAACGCAGAGACGAAGCGCCAAAACGAGGTGAACCCCTCTCCTTCGCGACAGCACTCAACATCACCCTCACCCTTACCACAAATCCCCTCAAAAGACGAATCCCCCAACACGGCCGCCATGGCATCTACACGTCCAACACCGAGTTCAGCCTCCCCAGCAACACTAACCTCCCTCATCTTCGCCCTAGCCGCCCGCTTCCCCCGAACAACGCACACCCTCCGCCTCCTCCCAATCCCTCTCCTCCCCTTCGCCATGTGCGAATTCATCCTCGTCCGTGGTCTTGCGCAACGCGGCTGGATCCGCGTCTTCGCCACGGGCTTCTCCCAAGCGTGCACCTCCCCAGCGGCGACGGTGTTTTTCTTCAGCTTCGTCTCCGCGGCCTTCCTGTGTCCGCTGGCGGGGACGAACATCGGCGCAACCATCATCCTCGTCGAGATCATGCGCCACGAGCGATTCATGGGCAGCGCGCACGTGCGGGACGACCCCCGAATCATGGCCGCGGCAGTCTACGCCGTGGCCATGGGCAGTAATATCGGGGCCTTTGCGTATACGTTCGCGGGGAGCCTGGCGGGCCTGTTGTGGCGGGAGTTGCTGGCCGAGAAGGGCGTGGTGGTCGGGCAGGGCCGGTTTGCCAAGGTCAATGCCCTGCCGCTTCTGATGCAGATCGTCGTGAGTGCGGCGGTCGTGTTGGGCGAGGTGTATTGGTGGGTGTCGTGAGCCTTGAGCCTTGAGGTCGGAGTCGGGAGTCGTCACGCGGAGGAATGGTACTATAGATGAATGTGTCATTTCTGTGCTGTAGTTGTAAGCGGCTAGACTCGTGCTCTTGAACATGATATCCCCCTCTGGCAATCGGGACAATAACAGACAATCAGGCCGGGTTATCGTTGTGGGCCGGTGATCTGGTGGGCTGAGACTGAACACCGGGCCTCATGCGAGAAACAGCGTCCGTCGCCAGAAGTGAACGATTGATGCGCGATCAGCCGGGAAGAAGGCGATCTACAAGTCACACCACCGTGCTTCTACGGGTCTGTGTACCGCTATCACACCACCATGCTTCTAGTAGTCTGTGTATCGACATCACAGGCCTTGCAAAACGGGGAAAGGGAGAGTATGCCAAAATTACTTCCTTTCCGACCAAGCAACCACGAGTATACTGTATACTGTATGTCGAGATGATGCACTTCAGCGACATCAGCCTGGAGTCCATCTTGTATCTCCAGTATCTCCAGGCTCAAACAAGCGGCTCAAACAAGGGCTGTCGGACGGACGACCTTGGCTCCATGGGGCAAATAGAGTCAGATAGCAGATGAGGAAGTCAAGCAATACTTGTTGGACGGACTGGTACACCCTCCCTCAACAGCAGAACGGCAGAACGGCAGAACGGCAAAGGGAACAAGCACTGGGAGCAAGTGAATCAAGACAAGTCAGACCGTTGCTCGTCGAATGCACTACGCGTCCACGTCCCAGAGGAGTTACATGGGATCCATCATCCAGCGATTGACCGGTCTCGGATAAGGCGTATGGGGAGAGAAAAGCAGGAGCCGAGTTCCTCGTCCTGATGCACCTAGCGGGGAGGCGTGCGCATGGCAATGAACCGATTGTGAGCCGCGACACGATCCGACGACCGGGCCTGCTGAATGCTCATGAATCCGGAATCTGGGAAACGGAAGCGATGCTGGACAGGGACTGAAATTCCATGACATTGGTATTTCACGCTCGAGGTCGCGAGGATATGACCGAGAAATCTATCTCCATTTCGTTTGTGCGGCGGCCACCAAGTATTGCTTGCTCGTGTGGTTTGGCGGAGGCCGGCTGGGTTCGGGACCAGATACCTACCTACCTATGTAAGGTATACGCAGATTGAACCCTCGTCCCGCGGCCCCATTAAAGGGAAAGACTTGCTGCTAATCATGTACTTTGCACTGCGTTCTTGTAAACACATTTGGCCTGCTTCGACGCCTCTTCCCTCAGAGCCTCATGGTCGGCGTGAATCTAGCATCTCTTCCGTCAGCAATTGATTGTCTGGCAGTTGCAGACCTAGATGTAGCCGAACAGGGAGGAGTCTGCATCTAGATACTGGATCCTCTCACTGTAACTATGTACTTACATCGGCTTCACTCAGCGTCGCGTTCTCCTCCGTCCAATGGCGATTATGGTCCTTGTCCGGCAGCTTCTCCTGCGTGACGCTGGATTCGGGATGAGCTTTGATATCAGCGGCCCTTTGGGCACGGTGTATGGCCGTCGGCTGGAATGCCCGGGAGCTGGACGTGAAGCACCTACTCACTGCCATAGAGGGTAGTGGCGGGGCCTTTGGAATGAAAATGTTCGGGAACCTCATGATTGACACTGTAGAAGATGGCGGATTTCCGATTCACTCAGGGACGACGAACAAGGATGGCTTTCCACCAGAGATAAGAGAAGACAGGCACAAGCTGCGACAGGAATAGATGTCGAGGTACGGCGAAGACCGCATAGTTGCTGTAGCCAACCCATCCATGTCCGGTAGTTAGTGAAGGTCGGTTAGTAAGGTTAAAACGTGGTGTGATGGTGATGTATATCCCGGTCTTCCTGGCTACGGTGCAGGTCGGAGTAAACCGGCAGGACGCGCAGCCATCTCGGCACTGCTCGACTCGAGGCGTTCTTAATTACTATACTCGGTATCGGTGCAGTCCATCGTTCCCAGCTTGTCGAGGGACAGGAGTTCAGCTAAGGGATCGATGTAAGGTCAGGTGGCGCCCTTTGTTCTTCCGACTGCGACCCGGTTACACAGCATGAATACAAGTATCGAAGTCAGAGCCGTGCGCTCCACCGCTCCCATTTATGCATACGACGGAGGACAAGCCACCAATGGTCAGGGAGACCCTCGAGCTTTCGACGTACGCAGACGCTGAGTTTCGTCGGACTGGGCACGCTTGAATTGGCGATTTCCACATCGCCACCTCCAGACGGGGGGCAGTGACTGACAAAAGCAGCGTCAAGACAAGCTTTAGTGTTCTGGCCAGTATGGGAACAAGCTTCTCCAGCTCGACTGCTTACAACCGCGGCACTGTGGAATTAGCTGGGTGATCAGTAGAGTGAGATTGGACTGGCGGGGTTCAATGAGGAATACGTCGCCATGGGTCTATCAGGTTAGATAGTCTATGCCAGGATCAGCATGCACATTCACAGAGCCAGTAATGTCTGCGGACGACCCAGTGGTCAGTTAAGTGCCCGGTCTGTGACTGTAGTGCTGACAAGGCCTTCCAGCTCACCATATTCGGGCCCATGCCGATCAAATGAGGATGGCGTACACCACTATTGCAGTGCTAAGGAACAATCGAAGGAGGAGGTCAAGTGAGCAACGCACATGTATATAGTGCAGCTCACCAACACTTGGTGGGAGCGACTTTCTCTGGAGCGCTAGAAATTGCCTCAACAGCAAGACCTGCTTTGACATCATGCAGGGCGTCGCCTTCCTCGGAGGGTCTTCTTTGGCTTTCACAGCCTTCGCTGCTCTCTTCTTTGTGGCATTCACTGTCCTTCTCCAACGGTACCTTCACCTCCGTCATATTCCAGGCCCATTGCTGGCGAGCCTCACAGACCTTTGGCTCACTTACAAGTTCTGGTTTGGCGAGGGCTTTGCTCAAATCACAAGCGACCTCCACCGCAAGTATGGCCCGATCGTCCGCATGGGACCAAACCGGTTGATTTTCTGCAATGCATCCGCCATCTCTGTGATTTACAGAACCACCGATGTAATGCCAAAGGTGAGTTTTGGCGAGCCCCACATTGGGTATCACCAGCCTGTTCAGAAAGAGTCCGCACGACTGACCAATGTAGTCCTCATTCTATTCTCCACTCAAGGTCTTGCTCCGCGGACGCGAGGACATCATTCGTCACAATCCTCGATGAGAAGCGTATGAGCGCTATCAAGCGTCTCCTTTTGGGAAATCTCACTATCAATTCCTTCCTTCAGCAAGAGTCCGAGTTGGATCGGACACTGTCATCGCTCATGAAGTACCTCGAAGACACAGAAGAAGGGGTAGAAATAGGCAAAACATTCGGGTACTGGGCGTTTGACACCATCTCGCGGGTCGCGCTGTCAGAAGATCAAGCGTTTCTGAGTCAGCAGAAGGACTGCGGTGCCACGCTCAAGGGCGCGTCTAGGCGACTGGCTCACGCGCAATACTGGTGTGCGCTTCCGGCTCTGGAGCGCCTGATATTCAAAAACCCGCTCATGCAAAGAATGCAATCGTCGTCGGCTCTGGGCACTCTCGCAGCACAGAAGATGCAGGCGAGACTGCGGCAGGAGAAGGAGACTGATCTTGAAGATCAGGTTGATTTGCTGGGCAAGTACCTCACTGCCAGTCGGAGAGACCCTGATTTGGTCAAGCCAGTCGATGTGATTGGCTTCCTGGTGTCAACCATGCATGCAGGGAGCGAGACAACGGGACAAGCGGTTGCCGGGATCCTGTCGGTCCTATTAAAGCATCCAAAGAAGATGGCCAAGCTCGAGGAGGAGATCCTATCGGCGGAATTGGGTGATATGCCACAATTCGGAGACGCGAACAAACTGCCATATCTGGACAGTGTGATTCGGGAGTTTGGCAGATTCAGAGGAGGCGGGCTAACGCTCATCGAAAGGACGGTGCCGGGTGATGGAGCAATGATTGGTGGGATCTGGATTCCTGGTGGCACAAACGTGTCGGTCAGTACGACAGTGCTAAACATGAATCCCGAAATCTGGGGACCAAATCCGGAGCAGTTTGTGCCTGAGCGATGGATTGGATGGAATAAGTGAAGAGAAACTCGGAATGATGGATCACGGAGATCTCACCTTCCGTACCGGGAGGCGGATGTGCATTGGGCGCAATTTGGCGATGTTTGAAATGAAGAAGGCCCTCGCACGGATGATAAGGACCTTCAAGGTAAGCAACAGTCTTTCAAAACCCCCATGGATGACCCCGATGCTGAGAGCTTTGCAGATTAGTCCCACGAACCCTGACGATGACCTGGAGCCTGACATAAAGGAGGGGAACCGGCCATACTATAATGCCAAGTTCAACTTTGTGAGACGCGAGAGAGTCGATGGCAGAGCTGAAGCATGAGATAGTTGATTCATGAAGTTTGCCAAAGCAGAAGAAAGACACAAGATGAAATGAGAACTAATGGCACGTGAGCGCACGTGATAAATTCATATTGCTTAGTCATTCGAGACGGCTCATCCACCGCTGTTGCTGTGGCAGCGACCGAAGTAAACATACATCATCCTCAGATACTGCGACGACGTTAATGACATCGACGACATCGACGACATCAATGACATTGCCGAGCCCAACAACTACCTTAACAATGTCGACATACCTCCCCGATGATGATCTGTCGGTTCTACCAGAACTTGACATTCTCTTCCCACCCAAGCCATTGATGGCTACAAGCGCGAATACTGGCCTGCGAAGATCTCCCCGCAAGAAAATGGCCAACCAGCTACAGTCGCCTGAGAAGAGAGCACTGCCCGAATTTGAAGGCCCACAGAAACGAGACCGAAGCGCGGGCACACGGCAAGTGAAGAAGGCCGGTACGCTGGACCAAGTGGCCACATCAAAGAACGCCAACAGCTCGCTGAAAGATATCCCACTCCTGCCTCGCAACACGACCGTTTCCGAGACGCTGCTCACATCCAATAACCGCCGCTCACCAACGAGCCCGCAGAGGAGTTCGAGACTGGCCCATCTCGACTCAACCACGGTACATTTGAAGACTACCGCCGTGCAACGCAATGGTGCGGAGCCTGCTGCGCCTGCCAGAGCAAAGAAACCATCAGTAAAGGGAGGGGCAAGGTCTCTTGTGAAGCCTGAATCACGGAGGTCGAGCCAGACGACAAGCAGATCCAAACACAACCAAATACCACACTACACCAGCAGATTCGTCTTGAAGGAGGCTCCGTGCAACGACGACGACGAGAACTCCAACGATGAGGACGAAGACGAAGACACCGATCTGAGTGGCTTCATCGTTGCCGATGATGCCGAGCTCAGCTTCTATAATACTTCCGCCATGGAGTCGGAAGATGAGAGTGATGACCAGAGGACACCGCCTACCCGAGTACCACGAAGGGCTCCACGAAGGCGCTTACACCGTGGATCACCGACTCGGAGGAGGTTGACCTTTGGCAATGATAGCGAGGGAGAAGACTCAGACAAGGAAAACCGTGCGGCAGACGTTCTGGTGAACGCTTTGCAGAACGTCTCGCTTGAAGACAAGAAGTCTACAGAGAAGAAAGAAGTGGTCGAAACAATTGACATCACCTCTTCCCCTGCTGTCTCTCCGGAGTTCAAACTGAATCCTCGACCGAGTTCACCCTCAACTCAAACTCAGAAAGTCAAGGAGGAGAAAAATCCAAGTCTCAACTCAAATCCCTTCAACGACTTCGACGCCATTCTGAAACTGGCTCCGCCGTCGTCCAAGCCTGCGCTCATGATTCCCTCAGGAGAACTGCCTTCTAAGAAGGCTATTGAGCCAGACGGTACAGCAGATGAACAAGGACCACCAAATGAACCCGATTTCCGTTTTCAAACACCGCCAGCGACGCCGCCACGCTCACCCTCAAAGCTCAAATCGCCCTCGAAGCTTTTGTCACCGTCTAAGGGACAGGCTATCCCGCAATCACCCCACCGTCAGAGTATGGACGCGTTCTGGGATCATAATGTGATCAACGAATGGAACGATGAATTCTCTCCGAAAAAGGCACCAGCAGCCTCACCTGGGAAGCGAGGCGCAGGTAGATTCCAGATCTGGTCCGATTCAGATGACAGTCTCGATTCTTTCGACTCACTTCCCAGTCCGTGCTCATCACCTCGCAAATCAGGGTCACCCGTCAAAAGTCCAGAGAAGGAAGAGAAGAAGCGCATTGCGGAAGAGAAACGGCTTGCAGTGGCGCAAAAGAAAACCTTTGACGCGAAGAAAGAGCAACTCGCGCTCTCCCTCCTCCGCGAACTCGACGAGCACGTTGCGAACGGACAACTCGAAAATCTATCATCCACCACAGGTGGCGTCAAGATCATCTGGTCCAAGACCCTGCGCTCCACTGCCGGACGAGCGAATTGGAAACGCACCGTGACCAAACTGTCTGGCTCACCAATCAAAGGAAACGCAGACTCGAGTGATGTTGGGGTGAAGGTCCAGCATTTCGCGTCGATTGAGCTTGCGGAGAAGATCATCGACTGTGAAGATCGATTGGTCAATACCCTGGCACATGAGTTCTGCCACTTGACGAATTTCATGATTAGCAACGTGCGAGATCAGCCTCACGGCGCGAGTTTCAAGAACTGGGCCCAGGAGGCCACGTCCCACCTACGCTCCACGAGCGTCGATTCATGGCGCAAAGTCGAAGTCACCACGAAGCACAGCTACACCATCAACCACAAGTACCTCTGGGTGTGTACCGGGCGCCCACGCACCTCGGCCATGGATTTCCTCAAGTTGGAGGACGATGAGGGCTGTGGGGCCGAATATGGACGGCACAGTAAGAGTATCGATGTTGAGAAGCACCGGTGTGGGAAGTGTAAAGGGTTCTTGGTGCAGGTGAGACCCAAGCCGAGAGGGACGGCGAGTCCAAAGAAGAAAGGCGCAGCAAGGGTGAAGAGGGAGGGTAGCACGGAAAGTGAGAGTGGCAGCTCCAGTGGCAGTCAGACGAATCCGTTGCGGACGATGATTGAGACGATTGAGTTGAGCGATTGATTCGGGGACTTGACTGGCTGATATGTTGGATTTTTATGCTCAAGCCTGCAGACACTGTTGGATGGATCGGACAAGTTGGCTCAGATGACCGATTGTATATTGCTGTACTAGGGAGCTGGTTGTCGCACTGGGGCTTGCGTGCCTTGTTGAGCACAGCGTTTAAGCGTGGTGTACGGCCACGAGCGAGACAGAAGACGGTTCGAACTCGCACACATACGTACATGTGTACAAGCAACTCGGGGCGCGTGCTCTGTGAATCGTACTTGAGAAAAGCAATCCAGCTATCCTGTCACCCTACCGTACCATGGTCTGTCGTTTCTTGGCCCCCCTGTCCGCGTCCCCGTCGCTCGCTCGCTCACGTCCAAGGCAATGCTGGATTATCGCAGACTGGTCTTTTCTCGGATGGTTCTTTTCTGTCTGTAGTCATTGCCTCGTCTATCTATCTATCCATCCCATCTATTTAACGTAGAGTAATTGCTGTAGCCATCCATCCGTCCACTTGAGAGGGCATAATACAGTAATTCTATCCAAGTCACTCACTGGTGAGGTCCGCCGTCCCGTAGCACAACCTAGACTGTCCCTGCTCTCCATCGCCTGATTCTTGAATGTTGTTGATGTTGATGTTGATGTTGATGTGGTCCTCGCGTGTGCCACTTACATTATAAAGCGTGGCGGGCGACTTGACTTGTTCATTTGTTTGTTCCTTCGTTCGTTCGTTCTGTCCATCCGTCCGTCCGCCTGTCGAGTATAGCAGGAATGTTTTCGCTCAATCGTGCAGTCATTTCCGCCCACCATGCATAGCAAGCATGTCGTCGCTGAATCGTGCAATCATCTCCGCCGCACCACCTTGCTCTGATTCGTTCTGCGCGGCCCTACATACCCTACCATGTCCACTGTGTCCTCTGATTCCACCTCGCGCCACGCTGCACTGCACTGCACTGCACTGGACTTGGCCTTCGACATCGGCCCCTACCCAGCCAGTAACCCCCAATCGCGCACCTTCAGTGTCCCCACCACCCTGGCAAGCAGATCGCGCGCCCTGCCCAGCTCCTCGGCAATCATCCCCTCGGTGGCTCCAGAGTCACTGCTCCCCAGTGCTTGGCCGGCCCGCGCGAACTCCTTGAGCGGCACAGCCACGCGCACGACAATGTCCGTGCCATGATCAGGCAGGCGGACGAGGAGCTGGATCTGATGAACGAGACCCAGTAGGGACTGCGCGGCGTGCGACGCCGAGGAGCCCCCCGTCGTGGGGAAGGTGGCGGGCGCTGTGGCGGCGCCGGGATGGGCCCGTGCATGTGCATGGTTCGGCTGCTGAGCGTGAGCGTTGGAGGCCCCTGCTGCGCGGGTGTTGTCGTCGACGGTGTTGATGTTCCCGGCGAGCATGTACGCTGGGTACCGCGCCAGGGAAGGGTCGAGCATTTTCACGGGCTGGGGCGAGGGCAGCGTCGAGACGAGGGTGTCAGGTGGGGAGATGACGTCGGTAAAGTGCTGTTTCGTGGCTTCATGGTCATCGGCGTCCCTGTTTGGTCCCGGGTTCTGTGCCTGCGGGCTTGCTCCGGCCGAGACAACCGACGTGGTGACGCTGGTGGTCGTGGTCGTGGTTGTCGTCGTGGTGGTGCCGTCTGGAGAGACTTCGGTGCGGGTTGTTGGGGCCTGGCTGGGGGCGTTGTGGTTATCGCCGCCGCCGCCGCCCGTGGAGATGTGCGTGTTTATCTCAAAGATGATGGACGTGAGGGTCGTGGGCGAGAGGAAGACTTCTTGGTGGTCGGGGATTTGGCGGATGTCGCTGTGAAGGAGACGAGTTAATATGCCTTTCTTTCAAGCACGTGAGGTGGAAATGAGACGTGAGAACGTCGAGTGTGTCTCAAAGAACGATTGAGATGATTTCGAGACGGGGGCGTCATTCTCTCCTGGCACGCTCATCAATGTGGCATATCGACTCTCGTGGCCATCACGAACCACAGCGTCCTCACTCGAAATGATCACCTCGCTTCAAATCGGCTGGCTTACCTCGAATCTATCAATTCAACGGGCAACTCAACAGTCAAGGCTCCTCCATAGAGTTGCCGGACGCCGTACGTAGCCGCCATCTTTGCGCCTACAGTAGCGGGCTCTCCAGAGACACCCGCCGCCAAACCGAGCGGCAACCTAGAATTCCGTAACTTGTGGCTGCCAGCTAAGAATCTCGCTCCGGTCCAGGTCAGAGAGGCAGGCGTAGCTGGATTGGGAGCGGTACTGCTCCGTACGCAGTCTCCTTCTGAAGAGGCAATGCCGCAGGACTGGTGCCTAGACACGAAGGTAGGCTGATCACCGTGCCCCGGGCTTCATTATCCGGTACAATGATGGGCGATATCGTTGTCGAGAGCTTGCGAGCTGCGGTTCACTCGATTTCCCTCGTCGGTCTCCGAATTAGACAAAAGAAGATCAAATTCTGGTGGGTGGATTGGACAAAGACGTTGACAAACACTGCCGAGAGATTTCCAGCTGTTCGGTCGAATACGAGAAGCAGGGCTTTTTGATCGCTGGAAAGCTTCGTGCCACCACGATTTCTGCATGTGGGAAACGACTGCTGGTCTTTCAATTGTTTTTCCTATCTAGACTACCCAATTTTGAAGACTCGCTAGACTCCATTGATGCTCTGAACTACTCCTGATGACTGAGCTAACGCTGCTAACCAGCTGACTTGGGCCTGCCCTGATTTTCATCCCTTTACAACAGAATCATGCCCGCTCCACTAACAAACGCAACGGTAAGAGCAGCGGCAACTGACAGGAAGCCGAATTGGCTAGAAGCAGAGAAACCAGGAACGCCAGCATTGGGACTGCTGCTGCCACTAGAACCAGAGCCGGAGCCGGAGGCGGAGCCTGACCCAGACCCAGATCCAGATCCACCAGTACCACTTGGTGCAGAGGTGACCGTGCCAGTGCCTGCACTACCAGCCTGGCTGATCAAAGATGCACAGTTCCCGGTCGGGGCAGTGGGGGAGGCTGTAGTCGCAGATCCGCCGAAATCGCAAGCCGAGGCACCGTTCCCTTGAGCAGCTTGTTGTTCGTAGTAGGTATTAAGTGCCCAACCAAGCTGTTGTTCGGGGTTGCACATGCCGTATGCACCATAGTCGCCCGTGGTTGCGTTCGCGGTAATACCGTCACAGACACCATCGGCCAGACCGCAAACAACGCCAAACAGCTCACCCACATCTTCTGAGTCCACATTGTTCGGTCGGCACGTCAGAGCGTTGAACATGCACTCGCATAGTTCCTGGTTTGGCGTAGGTGGGAGAGAGGAAGAGGCTTGCCAGTCGTTGTTGACGCTTGGGCATGCTGCGCCAGCGGTGTTGGTAGGACTGTAGCTGGCCGAGTTGACTCCGGTTGGGGAGATCTTTGCAATCTGGCTCGACAGGGCATTGAAATCGGCCAGGGTGCTGACTGAGTTGCCGTCAACCGAAACGAGGCCATAGTCGTTGACTTCCTGAAAGTACATGTACACAATGCCACCAGACCAGACGGGGGTCATCTGGGGACCGTACAAGGCCTGAACTTCGGTGAACTCGCGAGGCTGGACGGTGTTGCATCCGTACTCAGCGAAGAACACGGGCACATTGTAACTCTCGAACTCTGCCGTTCGTTGATCAAATCCTGACTCTGTGTAGCTGGAGTCTCCGCACCAGGAGTAGATATTGTAACCCCAGAAATCAATCGCATCTTCCGGGTTTCCACAGTCAAAGTAATTGGCCAGGTTCTCGCGAATTTCCGCATCGTCGTTGGTGGCATAGCCCACCCCGATTGGGCGGTAGTTCTGTTGCTTGATGTACGCCTTCATGTCTCGGACGGCAGCCTTCACGAAAGCACTGGCATCGGTGTTTGTGTTATTATTGGACACCTCATTTCCTGCAAAGAAACCTAGTGTGTTTGAGTATTTCGCCAGGTTGTCGATGACGGCAGTGTAGCGAGCGTACAAGTCGTCGTTCCAGGTCGGGCTGTCTCGAATGATGGAGTTGCCTGGTGACGACAGATCAGAGATGACATAGATACCGGCGTCAGCCAGCATGCTCATGCACTCGTCATGGTTCTGCGTGGGATCGATCGCGTAGGTTCGAATGGTATTGGTGCCCAACTGGACGAGGTAAGGGATATCTCGCTGGCATGTGGAGGGGTCGGCGAGAGGATCGATGTAGTTGTCGTTGTTGCCTGAGGTTGTGCCATTGCCCAGATAATCCTCTGTCAAGCACGTCAACTGATATCCTTGCTGGACGAGTGAGTCCTTAACGTACGTTGGTAGGCGACGCCCTTCATGAAACTTCGCCAGGTCAGATAAGAACCATCCAGGCTGGGGAGAACCGGTGCACTTACAATTGCGTTCCATTAGTCTGGTAGAAGAATTTGGAGCCCTGGAGCATAGCGCATCAGCACAATCTTCTTTCCCGTCACACAACGAAGGGTATATCGTCGTACTTTGATCACGATTGGGTCCACATCTGCATATGCAGACCTGATCAAAAGAGCAGCGCCTGCGACAGCAGTCGCAGCGGCAGAGAAACTCTTCATGCTGAAGATGGTCGGGAATGAAGATGAGGCCCAGTGCTATCTGGCCCGCGAAAATGGTGTAAGAGGCGTGATCAGGGCGCAGCGACAACAAGAATGTTGCTCCCTGGATTAAGTGGTAACGAGCTGTCACTGCCAATAACGGCAGGAACGAGGGACAAATGGGTCCGCAAATATAGAAAGAGTGTCACGAAGGTGTAGTCCAAGAGGCAAAAGTGAAAAAACCACAGGTCGGGAAAAAAAGTGTAGGTCTACAAACAAACACTACTGGTGACAGTGACTGGATCAAGGGGAAGGGGGGAGGGAGAAGAGATAGCGAAGCATCCCATCCGTAACGATCCAAATTGGGAGCGGTACAACGAGCATCTGGCGACTCACGCCTGGACAGCTTGCTTAGCAATGCAGATTCGGTTCTTACAGGCACCCATGCCCCGTCCGCGGTGCCCCTTTAGGCGGTACACGCCCCCAAAATGCGTCCCCGGGGTTGCGAGTTATGGAGCTGGACTCCCACGACTCCGTACTGTGTAGATCTGTTATTGATTGGTCTTCCACTTGCCGCAGATCGTGTGTCGATTGCACTGTCCACACACCCACCGCAGGGGCCGGCGCAACACGACGCAGGCGAACACGCGTCCCTTTCCCCATCCGGTTCCTCGGCCATTCAGGAATGCTGTGTATGAGGTAGGTCAGTGCACATTTCCACCGATTAATGGTTGCTGGTTGCTGTGCAACACGCCAATACTGAAGAAATTTGCGCGTCCGGAAGATGTTGCTGTCGAAGGAATACGAGAGTACTGACGCCGAGCAGCAAGAGGGAGGGATGGACTTATGAGTTGCATAACTTGGGATTCGGAATTATTTCTACGGCTCCTGACTCCTGAGCTCCTGACCGGACAACATTATCCGGCTCTGTAATCTGGCAGATCAAGGTGGATTCAATCATCACATGAATATTTGCTGAGGTGGACCGGTCTTTTACGAGTCACTCGAGGAGACAGTGCTGGGATCCAAGCTCCGTAAGGAGTATCGAAGTTCGACATGGGCATAAGGTCTACTGTGAATATCGATGCAGCACGAAACACATGGTTTGCCACGGTTCGACAGAGGCAAATGAGAGTCGACGCAGTGGAGGAACAAGCTCTGCGTGTCTCACCATTGAAGCTGTGGGTGCATGATCTTCCAACAGCTTGTCTCGAGCTTCTTCAGACGTGTCTCGGCCTTGGAACATCTTTCAGGTGAAAGGTGATCCTGATATGCGAGCGAGCTCTCCGCACAGTTCCTCTCATTTGTCCGCGAGCGAAATTGGCTGTCTGAGTCGCCGATGTGGTAAAAGGATGATTGGAGGGCGGCCCCCTTTTCCCTACACACTCCACATTCGCCTCTTGACAATCACGACTTCGGTCGATGACGGCTCTTGTCAACCTTAAATAGCAATCGCCACTGACAGATATCCGTTGAGCTTTCGCCAGCTAAATGCTTGTTCTATTTCGGAAGAAGAGCTTCGACAAGCTGATCAGGGTCGAGCTCCAGAGAGCCTGCCTAGTTACTTGACGGGCCATTGGTACTGGAGAGCATGGCAAGACAAAAGATATCCAGACGGAGACGGAGTGTCTGCTGGATCAATTCAGGAGAAAGGATCGCTAGTGAGAAACTTTCATGTTGAGAATCTTGAAATGAATTATCCGGGAACCACACCTGGATATCCACCGGTCCACCTGGCGTGAATCACTGCTGATCAATGCTTCGAGGCCCACAAAATGCATGATGATGGCTTTTGCGGCTTGCAGCCGCCGTGAATTGTGCTGCGTTGAAGGAATGAATACTACATACCCTACCTTGTAAGCACAATGTGCGGACTTTGCGTCAGGGAAGTTGATGTGGTATGAATAATGGCGGGCATGCATATCTGGCAGCTCAATCTACAGAGCACAGACTTACTGACTCGTGGACTGCGTGCGAGTAGAGACAGAAGTGACCCGTCACAGCTCAATCGGAACAATGGGGAAATCCCTGAGTTGCTACCGGGTACAGCCTCCAACTGTGTCGACGAAGAGCAACACGTTTGCCGGCGAGACGATCGGGTGGCCTACCCAGTAGATCCTATCTCGCACTGTGTACTCCGGACTCTGTACTTGTACGCGTACCCGTAGGAGGGCGATGGTGCTCAACATGAGTGGGCGGCGTATAAAACCCCGTTTTATGCAGCTTAACAATAGTGTTTCTTGGAGCGATTACCACCACAGTGATGTGTACGTACTTATTTGTACATATATTGCTGCGCCGGAACAGCCGCGTTATCAGGATATGCACATCTCTTCTCGAAAGCCCGTGGCTGCTTGCTACTTCCCCTGCTAGATTATGGTTCGGCGATTGTGATTATGCATCTACATCTTGCGGAGAACGACAACTGTGTCTGCTCGTCGGAACTGAAGGCGGACGGATACATGCAGTGCATCTGGAGACAATTTTTCCGAGACGCAGTTGAGATCTGCGACACCGGAAAGGCCACCAGATGAAACAGCTGCCGTGTGACCAGCTCTTCAGACCACATCCTGTGGACGGAAGCGTGCATGCTGTTGAACAGCTCTTCAGTATTCTGAGTGCCGTGTCTGTGGCGAGAGACTTGGTAGATCCTGAGCGGATATGATTGCCATTGACATGAGGCTCACATATGGTGTACTGCGAGTTTTCTGCATAGCCACATAATTACGAACGATCCCAGCCTCATCAGGATAACGTGTGCCAGAGATAGCAGTGCGGACGCATAAGGGCGGGAAGCCTGTCCGTAGCGCACTAAGCGATGCACGTTAAAAAGCATGATGACGCTGGGCGCGTGTCGCAATCAAGGAGTTAGGAGCGAATTGCAAGGAACAGACGAGCGTGAGGCGTGAGATAGTCGGCACGAGTGCCAGATAGGCGGTGGATTCTGTGCCCCCTAGGGTCGGGACTGACAAAGGATAATCAAAGTGTGTGGCGAAGCTCGTGGTCGTTGGTGGCCTGCCCTGGTTCGGCCGTCAAGCCCACCCAGCCCTCTCTGTGAGCTGTTGCTCCCTGGATTTTTGCCTCAAAGTACCCAGTACGGAGCAGGCTTGGTTAGTGGCCGGAAGCAGATCCAAGCAGCCACCAAGCTCATTTGCTCACACAGCAGCGCACCCCTGTCGGCCGAAATCAAACCCGCAGCTGGCCCGGGGTGGATGTTGCAGGCTCAAGGCCAGGACCACCCAAATTGCTTTGCCCACTGTGCCCGCCCTAACTGTCTCTGGCACACTCAACATCCGGCCCCTAAGCCCGAAACAAGCACGCCTGGCACCACCTGCAGTCCTGGCACAGTCTAGCCGGTTTCCCCCCAAACCCTGTTGTCTCCCCTGTCCTACGGCACGCCCAGCATCCTTTGTGGCCTTTTCTCCATTATTCAACCCAGCCTCACACCTGCTCACTCTCAGCAATTGTGCTTTCGTACTGTCGTTTCTTCCTCCTCCTTGTTGTCTTGGACTCGCTTCTATCGCTGCGAGAAGAAGGACATCAACACCGAGGCGTTGTCACCAAAAGTCTTGGGAAGGTGCAAACGGTCAGCTCGGGGTCCGTAAAACCAGGGCGACGCTGCACGCAACGCGCGCCTTCCGCTGCAGGACATTGGCTGAGCAACCAAGACGCTCTGCCCCCTTCATTCGTTTCACAACAACCGTCACTCAATTCTACCTGCCACCGCGAATTCACCTTTTCACTGCGATCTCGACGCCTGAGGCAGCCCGTTGACCCCCGCCGCTGTCTTCTTCAATTATTCGAGAATAGACCGACACAATTTCACCGGCGACTCTGCACACTTTTCAGCATCTTTGCCTCGCTTACGCCCGGACCAAACACTCGCTGCTTATACCTGTATCACGACTAATATCACCACCACTATCACCACCAGCTGCGAAACTTAGCTCTCTGCACATACCGGGTATCTGATTGAGAGGACATTGTTCATGGGACTACTGTGAAGTGCGTAGAAACCAAGCAGCTGCTCCCCCTGAATGGGATGCTGCCCATTTTATCCGCGAGCATTGTCCGGCTGACTTTTCTTTCTCTAGGACCTCAAACCAAAAATGTCTGGCCATCCTCACCAGGGCGGCTATGATGATGGCTACAACGGCCAGCATCATGGCAACGACGCCTACTACCAGGACGACCAGCAGCACGGTTACCATGACCAATACGACTACGGCCACCAGCAACATGGCGGCGAGGGATATTACGATGAATCGTGAGGAATAATCAGCTCAGCGATGCCGAGGCCGTTTGCTAACAGTTACAGTGGCTACTACAATGCCGATGCTTCCAATCCCTACCACAACGACGGTGGATACTACGAAGGCCACCAAGGCTATCAAGATGATTACTATGATGGGCAATACTACGATCAAGGCGCTGCCGGCCAGCACCCCCAAGGTCAACGCCCAAGACGTCGTGGACATGACTCGGAAGAGGACTCTGAGACATTTAGCGACTTCACCATGAGATCAGACATGGCCCGTGCAGCTGAAATGGATTACTATGGGCGGGGAGACGAACGATACCATAGTGGTTATGAGGGCCAGGGAGGCCGTGGCTACAGACCTCCTTCCTCCCAAATATCTTACGGCGGCAATCGATCATCTGGCGCATCGACTCCGATCTATGGGATGGATTATAACAATGCACTTCCTGCTGGCCAACGATCCCGCGAACCCTACCCTGCCTGGACCTCAGACGCTCAGATTCCTCTGTCAAAGGAAGAGGTTGAGGACATCTTCTTGGACCTGACTGCAAAATTTGGCTTCCAACGAGACAGTATGCGCAACATGTACGATCACATGATGACTCTGCTGGACTCCCGTGCCTCCAGAATGACCCCCAACCAAGCCCTGCTCTCTCTGCACGCGGACTACATCGGCGGTGACAACGCAAATTACCGTCGATGGTACTTTGCGGCTCATCTGGACCTTGACGATGCTGTTGGCTTCGCCAACATGAAGCTCGGAAAAGCCAACCGGCGCACACGAAAAGCGCGAAAGGCGGCTGCAAAGAAGGCGAAAGAGAATCCACAAAATGAAGAAGCGACCTTGGAGGCCCTGGAGGGTGACAACTCGCTCGAGGCTGCTGAGTATCGCTGGAAGACAAGGATGAACAAAATGTCGCAGCATGATCGTGCTCGCCAGATTGCCCTCTACTTGCTCTGCTGGGGCGAAGCGAATCAGGTCCGTTTCATGCCTGAAGCTCTGTGCTTCATCTTCAAGTGCGCCGACGACTACTTGCACTCTCCTGCCTGCCAAAATCGCGTGGAGCCTGTGGAGGAGTTCACTTACCTGAACAATGTCATCACACCTCTGTACACCTATATCCGAGACCAAGCCTACGAAATCATCGATGGAAAATATGTCAGGCGCGAAAAGGACCACAACAGAATCATCGGTTACGACGACATCAACCAACTCTTCTGGTATCCCGAAGGCATCGAGAGGATTGTCATGACCGATAAGAGTCGTATTGTTGATCTCCCCCCTGCCGAGCGATACTTGAAGCTCGGTGAAGTCAACTGGAAAAAGGTTTTCTTCAAGACGTACAAGGAAACCAGATCCTGGTTCCATTTGTTGGTCAACTTCAACCGTATCTGGGTCATCCACTTGACAACTTTCTGGTTCTACACGGCCTTCAACGCTCCGACGCTGTACACTAAGAATTATCAGCAACAGCTAAACAACAAGCCCAACGCACCTGCGCAATGGTCTGCGGTCGCTCTTGGTGGCACCATCGCCTCTCTGATCCAGATACTGGCTACCCTCGTTGAATGGTCGTACGTCCCTCGGAAGTGGGCAGGTGCACAACATCTGACAAAGCGGCTGCTCTTCCTCATCGGTGTCTTCGTCCTCAACATTGCTCCCAGCGTCTACATTTTCGGTATCAAGCAGACTGGACAGATCTCGTTGATCTTGGGTGTTGTCCAGTTCCTGATCGCACTGGCCACATTCTTCTTCTTCTCAATCATGCCTCTAGGTGGACTGTTTGGCAGTTACCTCACCCGAAACAACCGCCAATATGTCGCCAGTCAGACTTTCACGGCTTCTTACCCCCGTCTTAAGGGAAACGACATGTGGATGTCCTATGGTTTGTGGATCATGGTCTTTGCAGCCAAGTTGGCTGAATCTTACTTCTTCCTGACTCTGTCGTTCCGCGACCCCATCAAGATTCTGTCCTACACCAAGATTCAACACTGCCAGGGCGACAAGATTCTCAAGGACTACCTTTGCAAGTACCAGCCCCAGATCTTGCTTGGCATCATGTTCTTCACCGACCTGATTCTATTCTTCTTGGATACCTATCTGTGGTACATTATCTGGAACTGCGTCTTCTCAGTCGCTCGATCTTTCTACCTTGGTGTTTCTATCTGGACGCCATGGAGAAACATCTTCTCTCGACTGCCGAAGCGTATCTATTCCAAAGTCTTGGCCACAACTGATATGGAAATCAAGTACAAGCCAAAGGTGTTGATCTCTCAAGTGTGGAACGCCATTGTCATCTCCATGTACAGAGAGCACTTGTTGGCCATCGATCATGTTCAGAAGCTGCTCTACCACCAGGTTCCTTCGGAGCAGGAGGGCAAGCGCACACTCCGGGCACCGACCTTTTTCGTTTCGCAGGAAGATCACTCGTTCAAGACCGAATTCTTCCCGTCGCAGAGCGAAGCCGAACGGCGTATTTCATTCTTCGCGCAGTCGCTCTCCACGCCGATCCCTGAGCCTGTCCCCGTCGACAATATGCCAACCTTCACGGTTCTCATTCCACACTACGGCGAGAAGATTCTGCTGTCCCTGCGAGAAATTATCAGAGAGGATGAGCCATACTCTCGCGTCACGCTCTTGGAGTACCTCAAACAGCTCCATCCTCACGAGTGGGACTGTTTCGTCAAAGACACCAAGATTCTGGCAGACGAAACCTCGCAATTCAATGGCGACTATGAGAAATCCGAGAAGGACACCGCAAAGAGCAAGATCGACGATCTGCCATTCTACTGCATTGGTTTCAAGTCGGCTGCGCCGGAGTACACTCTGCGAACTCGTATCTGGGCCTCGCTCCGCTCTCAGACACTCTACCGCACAATTTCTGGTTTCATGAACTACAGCCGAGCCATCAAGCTGCTGTACCGTGTCGAAAATCCAGAAGTCGTTCAGATGTTTGGTGGTAACTCAGACAAGCTTGAGCGCGAGCTTGAGCGCATGGCGAGACGCAAGTTCAAGATTGTCGTCTCGATGCAGCGCTACGCCAAATTCAAGAAGGAAGAACGCGAGAACACCGAGTTCCTGCTCCGTGCCTATCCAGATCTGCAGATCGCCTATCTCGACGAAGAGCCACCGCAGAACGAAGGCGAAGAACCACGTCTGTACTCTGCTCTCATTGACGGTCACTCGGAACTGCTGGAGAATGGCATGCGTCGACCCAAGTTCAGAGTTCAGCTTTCTGGCAACCCCATTCTCGGAGACGGCAAGTCTGACAACCAGAATCATGCCATCATCTTCTATCGTGGTGAATACATTCAGCTTATCGACGCCAATCAGGACAACTATCTGGAAGAGTGCTTGAAGATCCGAAGCGTTTTGGCTGAATTCGAGGAGATGACCACAGATAATGTCTCGCCGTATACTCCTGGACTGCCTCCTACCAAGACCAATCCCGTCGCCATTCTCGGTGCTCGCGAGTATATCTTCTCCGAGAACATCGGTGTATTGGGTGACGTCGCTGCTGGCAAGGAACAAACCTTCGGTACCCTCTTTGCTCGTACCCTGGCGCAAATTGGTGGCAAGCTTCATTACGGTCATCCCGATTTCCTCAACGGCATCTTCATGACCACTCGTGGCGGCGTCTCCAAGGCCCAGAAAGGTCTCCATCTCAACGAGGATATCTACGCCGGTATGAATGCTTTGATCCGTGGCGGCCGTATCAAGCATTGTGAATACTACCAGTGCGGCAAGGGCCGTGATCTTGGATTTGGATCGATTCTCAACTTCACCACGAAAATCGGAACCGGTATGGGCGAACAGATGTTGTCCCGGGAGTACTACTATCTCGGCACACAGCTCCCTCTGGATCGCTTCCTGTCGTTCTATTATGCCCATCCTGGTTTCCACATCAACAACATGTTCATTATGTTGTCGGTGCAGCTGTTCATGATCGTCCTTATCAACTTGGGTGCCCTGCGACACGAGACCATCATCTGTTTCTACAACCGCAATGTTCCCCCGACAGATCCTCTCAGGCCTACTGGGTGCACAAATCTCAAACCAATCATGGAATGGGTCCAGCGCTGCGTCGTGTCCATCTTCATCGTCTTCTTCATCTCGTTTGTACCGCTCGTGGTGCAGGAGTTGACTGAACGTGGCTTCTGGCGCGCTGCCACCCGTCTGGCCAAGCACTTTGCCTCTGCTTCTCCGGTCTTCGAGGTGTTTGTGTGCCAGATCTATGCAAGCTCTATCCAGCAAGACTTGTCCTTTGGTGGCGCTCGATATATCGGAACTGGTCGTGGCTTTGCAACAGCACGTATCCCGTTCGGCGTGCTCTACTCCCGATTTGCTGGCCCCTCAATCTACCTGGGAGCGCGGTCTCTGATGATGTTGCTCTTTGCCACCATCACAGTCTGGGGAGTATGGCTCTTGTGGTTCTGGGTCTCCCTTCTTGGTCTCTGCATTTCGCCATTCATCTTCAACCCCCATCAATTCGCCTGGAACGACTTTTTCATCGACTACCGAGACTATCTCAGATGGCTGTCTCGCGGCAATTCTCGTTCACATGCCTCGTCTTGGATTGCCTTCTGTCGCCTTAGTCGCACTCGTCTTACCGGCTACAAGCGCAAAGCTCTCGGTGTCCCGTCGGAGAAGCTCAGCGGCGACGTCCCTCGTGCGCAATTCACCAGTGTGTTCTTCAGCGAGGTCGTGGGCCCGCTCGTCCTTGTCTGTCTCACATTGATCCCATACCTCTTCATCAATGCACAGACTGGCGTTCAAGGTGCTGATCTGAAAGACCCGACCAATTCTCTGATCCGAGTGGCTATCGTTGCCTTTGCCCCTATTGCCGTCAACGCTGGTGTGCTCGCTGCATTGTTCGGCATGGCTTGTTGTATGGGGCCTGTCTTGAGCATGTGCTGCAAGAAATTCGGCTCGGTGCTTGCGGCCATCGCTCACGGCGTTGCGGTTATCATGCTCTTGGCTTTCTGGGAGGTCATGTTCTTCCTCGAGGGCTGGATCTTCGCCAAGGCCCTTCTAGGCATGATTGCTGTCGTGGCTCTCCAGCGGTTCATCTTCAAGCTCATCATCGCCCTCTGCTTGACGAGGGAGTTCAAGCACGATACCTCCAACATAGCATGGTGGACTGGCAAGTGGTACTCGATGGGCTGGCACTCGATGTCCCAGCCTGCGCGAGAGTATCTTTGCAAGATCACCGAGCTTGGGTTTTTCGCAGCTGATTTCATCCTCGGTCATATCATCATGTTCATCATGCTGCCGGCTCTCTGCGTCCCATACATCGACAAGTTCCACTCGGTTATGCTCTTCTGGCTCCGACCTAGGTATGTTACTTCAGACCCGTCTTGTTGTTTCCGTGACTGACTCTGCCGCAGCCGTCAAATTCGACCTCCCATCTACTCGATCAAGCAATCTCGCCTTCGAAAGAGGCGTGTTATCCGCTATGCTATCTTGTACTTCATTATGCTCATCGTCTTCCTTGTTCTCATCATCGGACCAGTCATCGTCCGCAAATACATCAACAGTCTGCCAGAAATTCCGATGGATCTGCTACAGCCTACTGGACAGAACAACAACGACACCACGACCGGTGTCACCGGCTCTGCCCTGGTCAACTTTGGTCAAGATGCCGGCACGGCTGCAGCGACCCAAGCCGCTGCTACGAGCTCCAACTCGAACGATCCTTTCAGCTTCGGTGGTGGCGGTGACCGCTTCGTGCGGTGGTAAACAAATTCTGGTCTGTGTTCAATTGAGGTGCATGTGAACGGGGGAAGAAGATGCGCCCGGATACGGCCACTAATGAATTTGGACTTCTGTGTCGGCCATTGATCCGAACAATAATGATTGAAATGGCATAGACAAGCAGCCTGTTGCTCTTCAGCTGGGATCCAGCAAATATTGGGGATTACCAAGGCGTTGGAGGCGGTTGAACTATCGTTTTGCTGCTTAGAGATACTTGTACATGACAATCAAACCAATTGCACACAAGCAAAGAGACCATCCAGTCTGGTGCGTAGCTTAGCGAAGCCGGTGATGCCGGAGATTGGAAGACGCCCCTGAAATTGACGATTCACGTGACGTGCCGCGTCCTGCCATCCGCGACCCTGACAGCGTCGAAAATGATCAATCCTCCCACGGCCGCCATCCACTCTGTCGTTGCCGCAGTTCCACGCGCCTGACGAGATCATCGAGCGATCGACCATGGATCCTCACGATGCGCAAGAGTATGTCACCAATATAGCGAGTACAGCCGCCGAACAGTTCCAGAAGATCCCCGGGTCGGCCATCTTCCTCCGTTATGTGCAATCGAGTTACCAGAATGACCCTATCCGATCCGCCGTGGAGCTCTTTCTGGTCCTGTTTGCGATCCGGTATCTCCTCGCGCCCAAGTACTCGACGAAGCAGAACTACGTGAAGTTGTCAGAGGAGGTGGGCACATACACACAGGTGGACAAGAGGACGACGGAGGCGCTGACCCTGGAGTAGGAGATCGATGATCTGGTGGATGAATGGACCCCGGAACCGTTGGTTGCAAATACCACACCCTTTGAAGAGGCAGAATTAGAAAAGCGACCTGTCATTGTCGGGTATGTTCACGCCCGCGAAAGACATCTGCCTACCGATGTGCTGAACCTTGCCAAACAGACCCAGTGGCCCTCGCTCCAAACTTGCCAACGGCCGCACCGTCATGAACCTCGCGTCGTATAACTTTTACAATTTTATCTCCAACGAAACACTGAAAGAGCGGGCCATCCAGACACTGCGGACGTATGGAGTCGGCCCCTGTGGCCCGCCCGGCTTTTACGGCACGCAGGATGTGCACATGAAGATTGAGGCGGATATTGCAGCCTTCCTGGGCACGACTGCATGCATCATCTACGCGCAGGCCTTCTCGACCATCTCGTCGGTGATCCCGGCGTTTTCGAAGCGAGGCGACATTATCGTGGCGGACAAAGCGGTCAACTATGCAATCCGGAAGGGAATTCAGATCTCGAGGAGTGCGGTGCGCTGGTACGAGCATAATGACATGGAGGATTTGCAGAGGGTGCTTGCGAGAGTGACCAAAGAGCAGGCCAAGAAACCGCTTACGAGGCGGTTCATCATTACGGAGGGCTTATTTGAGAACACCGGCGACATGGTCGACCTACCTAAGATTGTGAGTTCTGCCGAAGGCATCGAGGGCTGTGCTAACCCGGCCGTGCAGATCGAGCTCAAGCTGAAGTACAAGTTCCGCCTGATTCTGGATGAGACGTGGTCATTCGGCGTGCTAGGACGAACGGGACGAGGCGTTACCGAACACCAGCATGTCGATGCGGCCGAGGTTGACATGATTGTCGGGGCTATGGCCGGGCCTCTCGCCGCCGCCGGGGGCTTCTGTGCTGGCTCAGATGAAGTGGTGGAACATCAACGCCTTTCAGCAGCGTCCTATACGTTCTCTGCTGCCCTGCCCGCCATATCGGCCGTAACGGCGAGCGAGACGCTCATGATGTTGCAGACCCAGCCGGATCTGTTCATTCAGTTGAAAGAGAACATCAAGGCCATGTGGCAGCAGATCGACCCGCGAAGTGATTGGGTGTCCTGCACGAGTGCCCCTGAGAATCCGATCATGCTACTTGTGCTGAAGCCGGAAGTGATCTCGTCAAGGAGGTTGAGCGTCGAGGACCAGCAGCAGTTGTTGCAGGATGTTGTGGACGAGGTAGGCATTTCCAGTTCCACCATCCATTGCTTCACAGAATGAGTGAGCTGATCCTGTGGCGCAGTGCCTGTCACAAAATGTCCTGATCACACGGGTCAAGACGCTTCCTGCGGGGCCGTCGGGCGCCAAAACCGACATCTACACGCCCTCGCCAGCACTGAAAGTATGCCTCACGATCGGCCTAACAAAGAAAGAGATTGAGAAAGCGGGCGTGACTATTCGGCACGCCATCACGAAGATCATGACGAGAAAGCGATAACCGGGCAGTTCAGCTGGTTACGACTCTCGACCAGCAGGGCGAAATGAGTTCCTTGCTCATTGTACAGTAGTTTCTTCCGAGCCTTGTAGAGTTGTAATAGCGTGTACTCGGTGATAGGATAGACGGAGTCGGGCTCACACACTCTGGGTCGTGCACGGCGTCTGGGTTGAGGACTTGGAAACGCCATGAGAGCGTGGCATCTTGTAATGAACAAAAATATTATGAGGCCGCAGGCCACGGACTGGTATATGCCAACTTAGGTACATGACAGACTGTACGAGTAATGCCACCCAGTCGTAGAGCGCAGTGCATGTGTTCTTCAGCCGCCCACGTGAGCAAATCCACGCCTAATCTCCCTCGTTCTCCTCCCAGCAATACCGCCGTCGTCATCACTCATCATCACTTTCCCAAAGCACAGGATTCTGCGGACGTCTCGAAGCCATGGCTGAATGCCACGCGAGAGTTTACGTCGCTCCTTTGCCGGATCCAGACAATTAAGCGACCGTTTCTCGCTTGGGGAGCCGAAGTGCGCCACGGATATTGATCACCGGGACAATTGATCATCACCATATCAGCCACATTCTCGTTCCCCCTGCAACAGCTGAGGGAAATGTACTCCGTGAGTTCTTGTGAATGCTTCTTGACTGTGAGAACCCGCATTTTTTGGGTCTGTGTGTTGGCGTCGGGCGTCCCATTCCCCATGCAACCTTTCGCTTCCCGTTCGCTTAACCGTTACATCGAAGGGGTCGGCAAGCGAGAGGGAGCGAGGGTTTGGCTTGAGATGGCCAGTGAGAGTGAGAGGTAAGCGAAGAGAGTTGGTCAAACTCGCTTGACGAAGCGAGGGGACGGTAAGGAGAGGAGAGACGAGACACGGAAGAGGGTCACATCATTGCATCTGACGCTGGCACGCGAGCAGATGAAGTGTCTCCAGCAGAAAGACCTGAGTGATGGAAGGAGACGAGCAATACGTTAGGTACGGAGTACACAGGAGCAGGCGACCGAGCATCCGGCGTATCTTTCTTCCGGGCTTCAAGCGAGGCCTACTTACAGTACACAGTAAGGGCGTCATTGATGAATCAGCGAGGGATCATTGAGGATTCACTGAGAGATCACTGAGAGATCAAGAAGTGGTCACCGCGAGTGCTTGGCCTTCCTTTTGCATTCTTCTTCGAGTTCATACATCTTACGGTCAAGGACGAGCACGCTGCACCAAGTCAGTCTGGTTTTAATCCTCTCGCCATCGACGACACGCCCAGGCTTTACAAGTTGGACTTCTGTTGCACCCGCATCACGACAAGGGTTCTTTGGCTCTTCGGCTCCTGACACCGCGACCAACGAACGGTCGTACTGAAGTCCATCAGCATGGCGTACACCTTCAGTCGCACCTGATTAGGCTGCCCCATATGGCTTCACTACAAGAGCTGAATTACACGACACTGACCAGCCTTCCATCTTGCTATGTACAAGACAGGGCTGATCGAGTACGGATGGACGCGTCTCTCCGCATCTGCCGCGTCCTCAGAACGCCTTCGGAAACCGGTTAGTTCGACGCCCAATTGCGGAGTTGCACGGTTCATCTTGCCCTGTGAGAGATGGTCTGCAGTGACAGGCTTCCTTCAGCTACTGCCATGGACATTTGCACTTTGCTATACCTGTTCCTGATCTACGCCATCGAATGATGCTCGAGATGATGGCTCGTGCACACAGCTTTCGCCGATGCCAAACGAACTTTGAGCGGGCGGTGAATACGGGAGAACCTGTCAAAGACGGGCGGTGAATCGGGAGAGCCTGTCAAAGTTGGCGGTGAATATGGATGATCCTGTCGAGATAGGTGAGCTGAAACGACCCGCGATGCTGGATGGTAAGTCGTGTCGACGTTGACAGGATCGGGCAACCGTTCGGTCCTTCGTCAACGTACTATAAAGCCGGCCATGTACAGCCCATCTGCCTCGTCTGCACTTCAACAACTGCTCTCATAACAGCTCCACAGCCTCACCAAGACATATCCTCCAAACGCTCGTTTCTGCCTCAAGCCTACACCGCTTAGGCTTGCATCATGTCTGTTCCTACCCAGCCCGCATTTATCCACGTCGGAACCTGGGATGATGAGACGAGAAAGCATCCGGCGATGAAATGGATGGAAGACTATACTCGCAACTTCAACAAGCGTGCAGATTGGGGTAAGGATGAATGCGACTGGGTGAGTTGTTTACCTCGAGCAGCATGCTGGGTTGTCCTGCAGCGATCCCGATAGCTGATATGCCGCTGCAGTTTTCTGCGGATTTCACACTCGTCAAACCCGACGGCTCCTCCCACACCGGCAACGCCCAGGCCTTCAAAGAGTCCAAGAGCATGTACCAATTCTTCACCTCGGAATCCCATGAACCATACCTGCTCGTCACATGGGAGACCAAGGACGGGTGGAACATGATCGGGCAAGCCCATCTTTTCGCCAATCTCCCAGGGCAGGCGACGCCCCAGGAGAAGAAAGTGAAGGATCTGCAGGGACGGGAGTGGGATGTCAAAATTCCAGGGGCATTCGTCTTCCACTACGTGAGGCAGTCGGGGGCGGCCCACGATGGAATCGTGCTGAAGAGGACGGAGATTATGAGTGACAGTTTGCCGGCCGTGCAGATGTTGATGGCGAGAGGGGTGATTAAGAAGTAGAGGAATCACGCCTATCAGGAGGACCAGGCCGAAAAGGTGACATTCATGAGGTTCAAGCGGGACTGCACCGGCTGTGTTGGTCACCTCTCTCTCTAGCAATTAATCTATCCTTTCATGAAGCTCTCTGTGCGCTCGTGTTCAGACGTCGCGCGCAATTAGATGTATGGCTGCCATTGAGAACCCAGTAATGATACTGGTCCACTGGTCTGACTCTGAGTATGACTATACGGTGGACTCGATATTCCGGCGCCGCGAGAAACTTGCTGGCACGCGAAGCTGCAGTCGGGGTCGAATCGGGTAAGGGCCGAGGTCGCCGAATAAGGTAAGGCGTGCTGGTGCCCCTCAGTTCCCCAAACTGCGGCATCACGCTTCCTCAAAATAGCCCGTCACCAATATCACCTTCATATCCGTCGCTGTCTCTACGTCTCTACCTGCACCAGCTTCTATACCTACACCTACATCAACGGCCTTGCAATGAGAAGTTCTAGCGGCGAGGTATCACAATAAGTCATTCCCTGCGAAGAGATGCGTCAATCTTACACTGCGTCGAGCAGGCAAGTCTCCGGGAGGAGCACCGACGTCCTGATGGCTTGCCCCAGCACGAGGCTCACCCGCTGACATGTTTGTTTAAGATTGACAACATTGTCGACTTCCATAACCCGGGGCCACTACTCTCCACAACTCCCCGTATTCAAGGACCCAGTAGCGAAAGCGTGTCGTGGCCCGTTTGTGATCACATCAGATACCGCTTTCAGGCTGGCTTGGCCCGACTAGCCCTACCAGGCTTTGCTCCTGTTTTCGAGTTGACTATGACAGCAGCTGGCTTCCTCGCTTGGTGTCTGATATGCACTGACAGGCACGGCTAAGCTACAGAGCTTGTGTCCGACACACCCACGTGCTTCTCTCTCATCCTCCGAATACGGATGCCAGGGCTGCTGGCTCGCTGGGTCAACTCGGATTCCAGTAATCGACAACAGTACCTGGTCTGTTCTCTACGTGTGTTCTTCCAGCCTTCTTCTGGAAGTCACGTTCCCATCGAGCCCAAAATGTCTACCGCTCAGGGCCAGTGTATATGGGAAAACACTACACCGAGGTGGCCTCAGTTGGCGGCTGAATTGCTAACGAATGTCAAGGCCTGGCGAAAGCACGGTATCTCGATGTATCATATTTCGTCTAAAGGACCTCAAGGATCGGTCTGACCCTGGATTGCGCCCGATTGGCGGACAGCGTGACGAGCAAGTCAGAGGTATTCCAAAAACAGTCCCTCGTATTGCTGAGCCTCCTTGTCCCAGGTACTGGAATACATGCAATTCCCTCTCGATGCAGCAACACGAAAGGACCGACTGCATCAATCTGTTCAGCCATTCATGACCTCTGGTCGCTGTACCATTGCTCGAGCTCAATGGGCTATAAAAGCCCTTTCCTCGACGCACCATGCTGGAATCATCATCGACCACCTCTCAATCCACTCACTCGACAAGCAGTTTCCTTTCGATTTTCTTTGGGTGTAACATCAGCCTTTCTGTTTCCTACAGTCAGTCTTTGCCTTCTTCGGGATCACCATGAAGACTTCAATCATCGCCGCCGCCGCCATCGCTGGTGTTGCAACTGCCACCAAAGGGAGCTCAGGTTACGGCGGGTATGACTCGAAAGCCAACGACTGCCCTTTTGTCCCGTCCCCCGACCAGTACATTCTGTTCGCCGATAACATCCAGACGATTTCGCGAGTTGACAAGGACAAGTCGTTCCTCAGATCCCAAGATCTCTACGTTGAGACGCCCGGAGACCTCGGCACTGCGTCCAGCTTCACCGTTCCAGACTTTGCGACTGGCGCCAACTGCTCCATCAATTTGGCCGTTCCCACCTCTGACCAGGTCTTGGGCGATCTCAGCCAGGTGACCTTCAGTGGATATGGAAAGTAAGTACACATTGCGCTCGCTCTTGATGATCTTTTGACCCGGCCGTTATTTTCGCTGTATGGCTCAAGCAATCGAGGGCGACTCGTCACTGACATTTCCTCCACCATAGCTTCAATTTCACCCGCCTGCTCAACAACCTCCCCAGCAGTGGCCTGACCGCCAACACACTGGGCACCGAAGTCCCCACTGGATCTCAAAAAGTCATCCCAGGTGAACTCTTAACCCTGGCGAGCTTTCCGTGCCCACCTCCCGGCACGCAGCTCCCCGGCATCATCGACTCCATCGATACCGTCCTCATCCTCAAGGATGCCCTTGGCCCGGTCTGCCTGTCCGGTCTGTTCGTCATCATCGAGCCCGTCGGCAACCCACCTGCGAGCCCACCTCGTCCGGCTGCCCCACCTGCTCCTGCTGCGACCACTTCGACCGGCGGCGGTGACCACACGTACAGCACGTACAGCACCGCCGCGACTTACAGCAGCGTCTGGCACTCTTGAGCATCGCAAGTGTCCAAAGGCGCGTCCGACACTACGTCGGACGCCAGTCACACAATGACTGAAAGGAGGGAACATCTGGGGATAGCCACTTACACGAGGTGGACGACTTAAGGCAAAATAGGACAGGATAAGATAGGATAAGGAAGGGGAAAAGAGTTCTCTCCAGAAAACCAAGTATGTTTGGCTTCGAACCCCCTGGTGTTCAGCATGCGGCAGGCGGCGCCTTCAGGAAATCTTGATTCTTACAATGCTTTTTGCCTCTATGTTCTGGATTACACGGTGTCCGCGTACTACAGTACCCATGATGACATATTCATCCACACAGACCGGCCCCCAAGCGCGTCGATGTCAGGCGGGGCGAGAGGCGGACTTTTCGATCCTTTGTATAGATTACATAGTACTACAGTAGTAGGTAGTCACTCGTTTGGGTATATCACCACGGTAATTATCAATGTCGGGGACTGGCTCTTGCTTGCTCCTTCCAGCACGTCGCCCCGAGTTGATTAGGCGGTACACTCCGCTACAGTAGAATGATTAACACCAGATCTCGAGAACCCCGTGATCAATACTTGGTGAACAGTGAAGTGAATATGTACTTCGGGAGGCTATGGAGGTTCGCCGACGTAGATCGAGTCAGTCAGTCAGTCAGTTACTCACTCACTCACTCACTCAGTTACTCCGTACAACTGACATGATGATTGAATGTACTGAATCTCTCTCAAACCCCGTAGACACCCAGTAGGGAGTCTAGCTGGTCTAGTCATTTGTTAGAGATAGGCCTGGCACGTATTGCAAATGACTTTGTATGTCTGTGTCTCGTGGTTGCAGTGCTAGTATGCTGGATACGCGGACATCGGCCGGACGCGGTATAACGAAAGCCAGAAACATCAAGGTTTGACGTCCGGATTAAATCACATACATACATGCATGAGTACATCGAGAATAGATATCGGCACCCAAGCACGACGGCCACCACCATATTGTCATCCACTCCTTGTCAACCGCTTCTACAGTACGACCACAGTGTTACCACCCGCTGCATGAGCGGCACCATCCACTCCTGTCGTACCGTTTCTACCACCACAGTGTTACCACTCACTGCATGAGCGGCACCATCCACTCCTTGTCGAACCGCTTCTGAATCTCCATGGCCTCGACGGAACTGCACGCCCTCTGAACCCGCGCGACGATCTCCATGGCCAGAATCTCGCTGTCGCCGACAAACGTCATGGCCTCGCAAGGTTCAAAGTTCAGGCGCTTCGTCCACGTCTTCTGCGTCTTCAGCCCCTTGGCCTCGGTCTTGAGCAGCTGCAGCGTGACCTTCTTGGCGTGAGCAATGCCGCCGCCAATGCCGACCTTCAACATGACGACATTGCCGCCCATTCTCTTGAGCGTGCTGCCGTTGTCCCCGGTCGCGGTGTCGAGGAATCGGTGCTCGATCACGTCGACGAACCAAGGCACGGAACCCGCCCGCTGGCCCGGCGGCGAGGGCACAGCCCACCTCGTGAACACGACCAGCTTGTTCTGCTGCATCAGGTTGTTGGAGGTCCACACGCTGGCGCCCTCGAGCCGGCGTTCCCACCGCTTGGCGCTCACGATGCTGCCCCCGCCTGTGACGTGGCCCAGGACGCTGAGGAACGCTTTCTGCCCGCCGGTCAGGTTCTTGTCCGGGTCCGTGGCGTCCATGTTCTTGACGATGCTTTCCTTGCGCTTTTGCTCCTTGGCCAGCAGCTCGTGCTGGCCCGCCGAGTATAGTGGGAAGAGCGGGATGTGGGACAAGTGAAGGTACCCAGGTGCGTACCCGCCTGTTTGACCTGCTTGCTCGGGGATGCCGGCCTGGGCGGCGCGCGTGATGGCAGCGTCAATCCGCTTGGTCGGGAGCTTGTTCAGGATTGACCATGGCGATTGATCTGATGTGGCGGTCGGGTCGACAAATGTGTCGGCCATTGTTGAAAGAGGGTTCACGAGTATTGGGGTTGAGGAAAAAGGGAGGGGGTCGAGAAGAGCAGTCAACGGGGAAAGAGAGGAAATCGGGACGTCTCTATATTCTGGGGGCTTCTGGCGGAAAGACTGGGTCGGTTTGGTTTCGTATGGCGAGCAATTCGCCTCACGCTCGACTCACTCTGCTATGTATCTCAGATTGTGAAGCGGCCCCAACGGCCAAGGAAGTATCCCAGCACCCGACCAGCTTTCTGGACAGCCCTTCCATGTCGATCGAGTTATGGCACAAGGGATGTGAACGAGCGACGATCTCGTGCGGGCCAGGCTTAGAACGACCTGATGCCTACCTGCCTGCCTACCTAAATGAGGCTGCACTGTCCATGTGCACATGCGGGTATCCAGGGTGTATGTTCCGCTGCGTGGCTCATGGCTCGTGTTCTGCCGCTCAAGCGTGTGCGTGACTTGGATACCGTTCGTGTTCGGTTCAGCTGCCAAGACCTCCGGCTGTTCTGGCGCATCCTCGAACGGAGGACAATTTGTGTCTGCCTCGTCAAGCTCGATTAAGCTTCCGAGTACGAAAGTTCTGCCGGTCTACAACTGGACCATTGAGTTGGCTCAGTAGGGCTGGACTGTTCCAGTCCGTGTTGAGCATGGTGCCCGTATGTCGTGTGTCTCAGACCCCATGCTGCGTTGCCGAGACCCAGGGTTTGATGCATCCAGCCCTATGGCCCTGTCCTCGTGGTTGTTGGTAGGCAGAGGGGTCCAATTGCAGGTCCTTAATGTTGTCTTGTGGGATGATAACTGGATAGAAGGCTGCATGCAGGGCTTGAAGAAGGTCGAATCGCTCATTTCTTTCGGCAAGAAAACAGAGTGGCTCAAAGGTTCTCGAGTTTCTATTCTTTGAGCTCTGCGTCGTAGGCCTCGACATAGAGCCCAAGTTAGCTTTCCCATGTCGGGACACGACCACCATGGAAGGAGAGATCGCGGAGATGAAAGCCTGTTCGTGGTGGGCTGCGAGCTCGGGGATTGCAGGCCGATGAAGAAGAGAGATTCAGGCCCCGCGATAGACAGGCCCCTCGGTAGACAGACCCTTCGGTCTAGAAGGCGAGGCCGACAGACTCGATAATGTCAGAAAGCCGAAGCTGAAGCAGGCCCGGTGAGGACATTCCGCGGGGTAGCCGTCTGAATGTAGCAGCCTCATGCTGGCTCCTTGATCATTGTGATTCGACATTTGACTGTCTTGAGTTCAGCTGAAAATTGACTCTTGTTCGAAATGTGAAACGGAAGTGAGGCAGCGATGAGTGGAAAGTGAAATTGTTAAGTTCCTGAGAAGGCACGTGATTACGCCAAGACTTTATTCCATGCTGTCGAGGTCCAAGCATTCAACCAAAATCGGGTCTGGATTGAGGAGGAGAGCGACGATGGATTTGACCCGGATCCGTTCAAGCCATGCCCTGACAATGCTGGAATTAAGTTTATGGCGGGAACAGAGTCAATCGGGAGACAGCTGGAGGAAGAGTGTATGTTCGGGGGAAGACCTTTTTAGGCTTCCGATGAAACATTATACCTCCCTGAGACCCTCAAATGGGACAATTTGTAGGTGAAAGCTTGTGTTCTGCACAAGTCACGTTTGGGACGAGGTATTCTTCTCCACAGCATGCTTGTGTGCCCCGACAAAAGTATTATAGCTCCACGTTGCCGCGTCGTTTTCATTACTGGATGCAGCAAAATCGGGGTGAAAGCGGTTGGAAGCTGTTGAAACCACTGTCTCGGGCTGGGATGCAGTATGATCATGACCGCACTGCATGCATTGTCATCGAGGATGGCTATTCTGGCACTGGAGCAAACCGAGACATCTGTCGCAGCTTCCGCCCATATTTGTAGAAGAGAAACGGAGCTGGGATGGCCAAGACGCACAGAAAGCCGAGGACGCTGGTAGCCCATGCCGTGCCCAAAGATTTATACATGCGTGGTGCAGCCAACGGAAAACCGGCCGCCACCAGACTCCTGACGATCGTGCTTGCCGCCATCGCACTGGCAGCGGACTGAAGGTAAATGTCCACCAGAAACGCCACAGCGTTGGTGAAGATGAGCATGATGCCACTTCCGATGAAGAATCCCGCGACAATTTGCGGAGCCGGGGAGATCTTGCTTGATGCAGTCCAGGCGAAGAAAAAGAGCCCGATGGGGAGAATGATGCTGCCGAGCATGACCAATGGTAGGCGGTCCTCGGGCAAGACCGAACCGCGAGCGCGTAGCCTGGGACGATAATATCGTTTCGAGTACAGCGCCACGCCGAAAGATGATACGACCACACTTGTCAAGATGCTCAAAAATGGGAGGGTCCCGGTACGAGGATCCCAACCTCTACCCTGGACGAAGCTGTATGGAAATGCAAAGAAGGTCAGATAGAGGATCCCATAGACGATGGCAATATATAACGCCATGACCATGAGCATCGGCTCCACGCAGAACATGATTGCCGGCTTGAACATGTACTTGTGTACGAATTCTGCAAAGGCTGGAGCTTTCTCGTCGTTCTGCTCTGTCAATGGTGAGGAATCTTGTGCTAGATTGGATTTCCTGTTCGCTCTTTGTTGGAGAATTGGGCCATATGTCTCGGGGACGAAGAGGAATGCCGGAATCCCAATGACGACGCCGAGAATGAGGGAAAGCCAGCCCGTCCAGTGCCAACCGAGGCTGCTTTCGGTGAGGAGGGCCCCAAAGATTGGGCCTAGGGTCGGGCCTACGTAAACAGCTACGGAGTAGACTGCGGTTGCGACGCCACGGTCCGCTGGCTCCCAGAAATCAGCGTAGGTGGCACCGACCAGGACCTGAGGTGAAGCCCCGAAGCAGCCGGCTAACAGGCGACATACAAGCAGCGCAGGGAGATTGTTGACCACTCCGATGGGTATTTGGAGGACTGTCCACACGAAGAAGGCCGAAAAGAGTGGTAGCCGACGTCCTTTGAATTCCGATAATGGACCTTCAGCGAGCACACCGTCAGGTCAGCACGAAGTGCGACGACTCGGAAACACATAGACAAGATGTAGAGCGTCGGACGTACCCCAAACAATAGGACCCACACTAAATCCCAACACATACAGCGACACTCCCAGGAGCGAAACTGTTTCACTGACGTCGAACTCCTTTGACGTTACGGCGATAGTTGCAGACCAGATAGAGCTCGCAAACGTGACGGCCGTCGTCATCAACGCGAGAAGAGTGGTAATGACCCATTTCCGCCATGTCGGAAGATCGAACGGACTTTCAAACGCCGCATCGACTGCCTGGTCGCCGTGGAGTCCGTCAGCGCGTGTTTCAGGCGGACCATGTTCGAGACCATGAGTAGGTGTAGCTGGCTTCTCGAGGTCGATTGACATGCTTCAGCCTCAGACAAAACATACCGACACCACAGACCAACGCTTTCACGACGCGAAGAGGAGATTTGAAGTCGACCGGCGCGAGTCTCTAGTGGCGATAGTGCTATTCTCGTTGCCGAGATCTGTGCCGTCCTCTGCCGTCTTAGCCGGCAAGGATCTACGGGAACCGTCCACGCCGAGGCGGAATACTCTCATCGCTCCTGACTGAGGTACACGTTGACTTCGACGGGTCCTGTGACGGGCAAGAACTATGTCCCTTTGTAGAATCACCGGTTTTGTGTTGCAGGGTTTGCCCCCGCCGTCTGATGCTTAGCTGTTCGGCCAAGCTGGCTGAACGTGATGAGATCAACATCACGTGCTACCGCGCTAACACTTGTGTGCAGTTTGGGCAAGTGACTCGAGGCAAGGCTGCGACGAGGCTGACACAAGGCTAGCGCCAAGGTGAGATGACGTCGCCCGGGAATCCACCCTCGAAACCGCCCCGCCAATTGCCGCTCTCGTGCAACCGCAGCCTTGAGTGGCAGCTGTCTCACGGTAAACAGCAGAGGCCTTTGTGACCGGCCTCTTGCCATGCGAAGACTATCGCCCCGTTGCACGGCATGGCGCACTTCCTTCGAGGCAAGCAGGCTGGCATCCAAGGGGACTTGTCCGCAGGTGTCACGCCTGAGGCCTTCATGCTAGACGATGTATGCCCTTTCTCGTGCTACGGCTGCGACGCGAGAGAAAGACTGACTGCTTCTCCAGTTCGCCCGGTACGGCATCAACTCGCAAATATCGGTCCTTGCCTATGACGCGGTGCAGTCGCTCCTCGCCGTCGGCACCAACGAATCCCAATTCGGACCTGGCATCGTCTACGTCTTCGGCCAGAAACGAGTCTGCGTGACATTTACTCCTCCTCGACGCTCCTCCATTCGAGACATTCAGTTCTGCGCCGACAAGCTCGTCGTACTGGACAGCAAGAATGATGTCAGTGTCTTCAACCTCGACTCGAAGCACTTACAAGCCAACTACGCGCCTCCAGGCCATGTCACTGCTATCCTCTCCGATCCGAGTTTGGACTACGTTTTCTCCGGATTGCAAAATGGTGGGTGGCCACACGAACGGGTTGGCGAGCAAATAAAGCGAGGCTGACGACGCGGCAGGAGATATTGTGGCGTTCGACCTCGACCGCGAAAATATAACCGCCTTCAAGATTCCCAATCTCTGGCGCGAGCGGAATCCCAGGGCGCGGGTATTGCCAATAGTGTCGATGCAGTTTCACCCCAAGGACATCGGTACGCTGCTCATTGGTTATTCCGAAGGGGCCGTCATCTACTCTTTCAAGCAGAACAAGGCTCTCAAGTTCTTCCAATATGAACTGCCGCGCGGTGCTCGTGGTGGGGACGCAGATCATACAACCACAAACACAGTGCGGTACCCTCGCCTTACGCGCGCTCTGTGGCACCCGACCGGCACATTCATACTGACGGCTCATGACGACTCGAGCTTGGTCTTCTGGGATCCCCGCGATGGAAGGGTGGTTCATGCCCGGACCATTGAGGACACAGACGTCAACGTACCCGGGGCAGGATCCTCACGTCAAGATCTCCCTAGAAGTCCCATTACACCTGTGAGCCCTGGCTTGGGAAGTGCTGTTAAAGAGCCGTACTTCCACATAGCCTGGTGCTCGAAACAGAATCCCGATGACACAGGTTTGCTTCTGGCTGGTGGTTCTTCGACGACGAACCCGACTCGAGGTCTGACCTTCATCGAATTTGGGCCGACGCCGAACTACCAGACATCAACTTGGGATTTTCTGGCTGGCCACTTTCGGAACCCCAAACGGGTGCACATTCTCCCAACTCCGGCTAATGCTACAATCAACACATTTCTCCCTATACCTCGCTCATCTCCTCATTTTGGAGGCTCTCACGATCCTATCGCCGTCATTACTGCACTGTCGTCTGGCGAAGTCATCACCCTCAGCTTCCCATCCGGACATCCCATCACGCCTACTAATCAACTCCACGTCTCCTTATCATTTGTGCACCCATTCGTGACCAAAACAGCTCTGGCGTTTGTTGACCGGACCCGGTGGCTCGGTATGCGCGAGGTTCGCCAGCATGGCCCAAACTTTTTAACGGGTGGTGCGGAAGGAACAAAACCTCTCAAGCGGCACGAAAACAGGAACGTCATTCAAGCAGCCCATGCTGATGGCACCATTCGAGTGTGGGATGCCGGGCATGGCGACGTTATTGAGAACCCAGGCGTGATTCAAGTTGACCTGGGCAGGGCTGTGGGCCGCTGGGACCAGCTCGAGGTCACGCAAATGAGCATGTCCGGAGCTACAGGAGAGCTATCAGTCGGGTTGAAGTCAGGAGAACTAGTCGTCTTCCGACTCAACCGAAACCAAGGCGCTGGAAATCCTCCGACGCCTCCGGGCCCTAATGCAGGACCTGGAAAAATGCAAGATATTAGCGACCGCGCAGACCCGGGGCTGAAAGAGGGCCTCTTACCATTGACCATGACAAATGACCAGCAAGGCCCTGTCACTGCGTTGCAACATGCGGATGTTGGCTTTGTGGCTGCAGGGTATGCGGCAGGTGGAGTGACCATAGTTGATCTTCGAGGCCCAGCTATCATCCATACTGCTGTCTTGTCGGAAATCGTTGCCGGCAGTCATCGTCGTGGTAGTATCAGGCGACCGACAGCTGCCTCTCCGTCTTCGGAGTTTCCCACAGCCATGGAGTTCGGTATCTTGACCCTGGACGGCGACGGTAAGTGCTTTTGGCGTTATTTTCCGAAACGTACTGACCAGGACAGACTACTCCTCACTTGCCCTCTTTGTTGGCACGTCTCGAGGTCGGGTGGCTACTTTCAAGATCCTGCCATCCCAGACTGGCCGATACTCTGCTCAATTTGCGGGCGTAGCAAAGATCTCTGACGATCGAGTCATTTCGTTGTGTCCAATTGACTCTCATACAGGTGCGCCGGCATATGCTTCGGGCTACGCAATGGGCGGACTACAATCCGGTCGCAAAGTCGACGGTGTCCTCGTGGCAGTTACAGCCTCATCAGCCCACATCTTCCGCCCTGCATCTGCAAAGGGCGCATCCAAGACCTTCGACAACTATCTCTGCGACTCGGCCACAGTAGCGCGCTACGAAGATCGTGGCTATGCGCTCGTTGGTCTTTTCGGCGATGGCGCCGCCCGAGCATTCTCCATCCCCGCGCTGAAAGAGATCGCAAGCACCAGGGCAAACCACCTTTTGGACACGAAACGTTTTGGCGACGCGATTGTTACTCCTACTGGTGATATATTAGGCTGGGCCGGACCAAGCGAGCTAGCCATCGTTAACGTCTTCGGTTGCGGCACGTCCCTCCCACCTAGCACAGATCGTCTGTACGACGCTGCGAAATCTATCCCTCCTCGTCCCACCATCAGCAACCTACAATGGATCGCCGGCACCCAATACATTACACCGTCAGACATGGATATTCTGATCGGTGGCCCCGACCGACCACCTTCGAAGAGAATGATGGCCGAGATGCGTGCCGCCCAGGAAGCTGAATTTGAACGTCAGCGTGAAGCAGCACGTTCGGGCCGAGCGGTGAAACCGGATCAGAACCAGGAGGGCTACTGGGCATACATGCAACGGCAGATTCAAGAGAGGACAGAGAACCTAGGCCTGGCGGGCGACAGTCTCGACAGGGCTGCCGAGAGCAGTTCCAGTTGGAGCGATGGAGTGGATAAGTTTGTGGCCAAGCAGAAGCGGGCGGCGGCGCTGGGCTTTATTGGGAGTAAATTTGGGTTCTAAAATTGAGCGGGCTGGAGACGCATTGTAGTGAAACGCGTACTCGGCGAACTGGCGGATGTGGATAGAAATCGACCATAAGGCACGTCAAAATCAGCTTTCTGGACCGAAGAACGAGAGAAGTTCAGCCGGTCAGTCCGATAAACTGCAAAAGTATCATGAAGTCTGCTGTGTATGTTGAGTTGAGACGTTTCGCTCGTTGTTGTGAGCCATCTCGAACGATCTCGTCTTGAGCCAGTATCACAAGTTCAGGCATCGACGTTCGGAACTTCTACCGCTTTACTCTCTACAGTACCTGTGGCCCTCGACTCATGGACAGACGATACTTCCCTGGGACTGCAAGTTCTCCCACCACCATTGCTAGCACAGATCCCTTATAATAGCAGTTTCCTCAAGTTTCTGAGCGCCTTTGCCAATAAACCCCTGGCTACGGTTCGCCCCAGTTGCGGCTACAGCGCGAGATCATCAAACAATGGTGGTCCGGACGAGCCCTGTCTGATGCGAGCCTGTCTGATGCGAGCCTGTCTGATGCGAGCCTGTCTGATGCGAGCCTGTCTGATGCGAGCCTGTCTGATGCTCGCCAATGCATGCTCGCCGTGCACGGATCGATTTGAGTTTGAATGATCAAGTGATCGATAGGCAGTTCGAGCCCTACTGTACAGTTACTGTACCTAGGTAGGCATAGGATACCGGACTGATCTTACCTATCTGATCTGATCTGATCTGTTCTGTTCTGTTCTCACACGATGTACTTAGTCGTTTTTTCAGTGGTGGGAGAAAGCGAGGTCGTCGGACCATGCTGCCCTCAAAAATTTAAAACAAAGAACCAGCCGGCTGGGTCCAAGCGTCCTCTGTCTTCTCCTCGAAGCAGAAACAGTCACGCAGTCTGTGCTGTGCTTTGCTTTGCTTGGTCGCCTTTGTCTGATGACACTGTCGCCATGGTTAGGCCCGTCGCTATCGCCATCGCCATCACTGTCATTGTCACGGCGGCATTGTCTCGTATGCGAACGGCGAGGCTCGTGCAGTGACGGACGAATCAGGAGGGGGAATATCGAGGAAATGGAATCGAAGTGACGAGGTCCAGTCTACCAGTCCAGTCAATACGCTTGCCAGCGAGATCGTGGACGGTCCAGACAATGTACGTGCTCTTTGTACAGTACGTCCCTCCCTCGGCTCATTGTTCTTACTCGGCGAGGGCCGGACTCGGCAATATTCTCGATGGGCCCTTGTTGTGTTAGCATTGCGTTATGTTGATTCACTTCGCTTCGCTTCGCTGCACTTCGATGATTCCGTTGGTCATTCATTCACTGTGAGTCGTGCTGCGTATCGGCCTGTCTGCGTAGTTTGCACTCTGCATCTGGATCTGGGTCTGGGTCTGGATCTGAGTTTGAGTTCAAGGATCGAGCTGTGAGTCGGGCAATCAAGTGACGGTTGGAGCGGTGGCTAGAAGCAACTTCTTCTTCTTCTTCTTCTTCTTCTTCTTCTTCTTCTTCTTCTTCTTCTTCTTCTTCTTCTTCTTCTTCTTCTTCTTCTTCTTCTTCAACTCACATCACTGTTGCACGGTCAGTTAGGTCAGGTCAGATCGAACCCCGAGATTCGGAATACAGCTCGTCCCACAACAATCCACCCACCTACCACCATGGAGAATAAGATGAAGAAACTGGTTCGCCAGCTGTCCACTCGCGCAAGGACACGTCCTACCGTCGCGACCGGTACCGATACTGGTACGAGCAGAGCGCTCGAATCTGTGCAAAAGAATCCGCCGCTCACGAGCCCCATCCTGCCCAACAGAGTGATTCACTTTCCGAAATGTCCGCACACCACGCCTCCGACGCCTCGACCGGCATATATCCCTCCCGTTCTGAGGACCGAGATCATCGAGACGTCTGTTCCAGCAGTAGCACCAGCAGTAGCAGCGGAGTTGGCGACCAGTCTTCAGGACCTGGAGATTACGGGCGTTAAACCGAAATCGAGGCCAGCATCAGCATCAGAGTCCAATGAAGCCATCGTACCCGCTGGAATGGCCGGTCCAGGTCCGGCGCAGCACGAACGTGAGCCTGAGCATGATCGCGAATTCGCATTCCCCACCCCCACCACCACCACCACAGGCACGACCACGGAAGGGAACGACACCACCGTGCACATCAAACAGTACTTCTCCACCCCCTCGCGCTGTCTGGACTGTTCGCTCTCGCTGGCACGCCAACGCGAAGCCTCCACCAGAGACCTCAGCGCGGGGATATTGCGTGAATGGGAACTCCGGCTCGTGGAGCTGACCTCGGCGGCCAAGGCGGTCTGCCAGGTGGCGCGGATCAAGAACGCCGAGCCCGGCCGATCGGACGGCCATCTCCTGAAGGGAGACATTGCCGTGTTGGAGAAGATCGAGGCTGAAGAGGCGGCCTTGGCGGCCAAAATGGCGCAGCAGAGAGAGAGGGTCGAAGGGGAGGTGCGTGCCATTTGGGCGGACGTGGCGCGGGAGTGGGAGGGCGGGATTCGCGAGGTGGTCAGAGGGGACGGGACCGGCGAGGCGGAGGAGAGGTGTGTTTTTGTGGTGTCTTCTCCTGCTAGAGGGGGTGACAGCTCAGGTCAGGGAGAGGGTTGTGGGGGTGACGGCCTTGAGGACGGAGAGGGAGAGTCCCCCCCTACGGAAGGGCAGGCTAGTGTACAGGTGCAGTGGGTTCCGGTCGAGGGCTGAGTGAGGGGGCGTTGCGGTGATGTGGTGATGCGACGTAGATTCCAAAAGTATTGGGACTCCATGATTACAGGCATGGGTTTGGTTCATTTCCGTGGTTCCGTGTGATATTGATATGGGACACCTGTGTTGTATTTCTAGAGGTAGGAAATGCACCGGCAGTGTTTACTCGTGAGAACTTCATGCAGAACACATGCATGGGTGTACGCCGTGCTCGTCTGCCAGTGGCCTCATGTATAACTCAAGATATTGTACGTAGGGGCCTCGGTCTGCCATACGTGCTGAGATCTGCCCCTTTGATGGTAGCCAGATAATCGCCTGGACGTAGAGAAAGCGGCTCCGCCAGTAGTTATCCTGCGTGGTGATGAAGTCGTCTGCAGACATGGCAGCTGTTCAAGGAAGCCTCAACGGCATATTTCGCGACATCGCAGCATAGCCGGGCATACGGGAGAGGCAGATCTGAAGCTGAATCTCGTCGTCCAGGGTTGTGAGAAGATTGGGCTCGAGTCGAACTTACGTGGCTCCCGTGATGCGAAAATGCAAAAGTGCGGCAAGTCATGGACTCGTCTCTGTGCACAGTCTAAGCGATGTTACAATAACATATCGTCTGATCCAGCTCCTCGTAGGAAGAGAAACAGTGGTGGCAGGTCAGTGGCATCTCTGCGCAACTACTGACACGTGACCATGAAGCATGCTTACTCAGTCTGCCGGTGGGGCCTCCACTAACGTGACTAACGTGACTAACGTGACTCACGTGACTAGCGCGACTAGCGTAGCTCGCCGAGCACCTACTGTGTACCTCAGTGAGCCTCGCACCAGCATGTCCGTCACCTACGAGTACAACAGCGATGATGATCAGGAAATATCTCAAAGTCTCTTTGCGGCTGGGCATCAACATGAACTCATATATCTGAAACCAATACAACAAAGACACGTCCACCATCTGAACAAAGAAACTCCCTCGTCCTGCTGGCCGCTCGCAGCCTCGCCTCCCTCTCCCCCTTCCGCTTTCAGTCTCCTCGCAGCTCAAGCCTCATACGGCTTCCCCAGACACTTGGACCGTCCAACCGCCGTGGCACCGAGGAACCGAAAAGCTCGATTCCAGAAATCGACTTGCGGGATCCTCTTGTCGTTCAGAACCTCTTTCATAAACTCAGTCCCGTAGTCCCGTTCCAGCTCGGAGAACCACTCGCGGCTCCGGATCGCGAAGCCGATCATCCTTCGCTGGCTCTCAGTTGGGGCGAAGCCTCTTTGCAGCTCATACGACGGTTGACGCCCGGTCTTGTTGGGGGCGTCCCGGGCACTGCTCCGCGTCAACCGGGTCTTCGTTACGCCCGTGGGCTTGGCGACTGTTTTCGCTGGAGCCTTGCCTTGGCCTGCCTGTTTCTTCGCCGTGGCAGCTTTCTTTGACTCTTTGGGAGCTGTGGTCGTGGCCTTGTCCGTCCGCGTCCTTTTCGTGGGTTTACTGTTTGCGGGTTCCTTGTTCGTTGGCGGGTTCTTCTTGACCTCTGGACTGGCCGTATTTGCCTTGGGCGAAGCCGGCACGGGCGAGGTGCGAGCTGGCTCAGCCAAGTTCTTTCGCGATCTGGTCTTCCCGGTCGACGCTGCAGTCTTCGCCGGCGCTTTAGATTTCGCTGCCTTCTTCGTCACGCCGGGCTTCCCCTTCTTCTTTGCCGCGGCAGCTTCTGCCTTGGCCTTCTTCTTGGCCGCAGCGGCCTCCTCTTTCTCCCTCTTCTTCGTGGCGGCGGCCTCTTCCTTGGTCTTCTTCTTCGCCGCCGCCGACGCAGCGTTGGCCTGTTTCTTGGCCTCGGCAGCCTCCTTTGCCGTCTTCTTTTTGGCAGCGGCAGCAGCAGCGGCGGCGGCCTCCTCTTCCATCTTCTTCTTCGCCGCCGAAGCCTCCCCGACCGTGAGCTTGATCGTGATCTTGGAGCGTGTGCCGGCTGAAGGGCTCCCCTGTGGATTCTGCTTGGCCTCGTTTACGATCTTCTTGATACTCTCCTGCATGTCGTCATTGCCGCCGCCAAAGATCTTGTCCAAGTCATCATTGATGTCCTTGGGATAAGTCGGCGGTTTTCCCTTCTTGGTGGTCGTCTTCTTCCCTCCCGGAGATTTGATGCCCGGGGGACCAAGTCTGGTGATGGCGTCTCTGTTTATTTTCTCCGCCGTGGGTGATTTCAGCGGCTCGGGTTTCCCTCCCTTCCCGCCTTTCCCGCCTTTCCTCGTCGTGCCTCGTGTCTATTTGCAAAGTCAGGCGCGCCACATGGTCGGGATAAAGGGAAAGAGGGGGGCGAAAAACTCATGTACGCCCCTCTTAATGCCAGCCAGCGGGTAACTCACCTCTACCATAATAGTAGCTTGTAGCTTTTGTAGGAGGGTTTAATTATTGCCCCTTTCTATGCCCTCGGATGGGTGTGAGTGTTGTCTCCACGGCGATGACTTGAGCTCAGCTGGACTAGAAAGAGAAATGTGATGAGGAGAGGGTTCACGACTGGCATAAAGACATACTCATCATTGGACTTCCAAAGCTGGGACCACGCACAACGTGAAAGACAAAGGACATTCATATTCAGGACGGCCAAAAGAGACGGTGTCGGGGGGGAGAGGCTCAGTACAAACATGGACAAAGGACGTCGATGCCGCAAACGGCGACAATTGCATTCAGACACCCCGTCACATAGCCAGTTAGTTAGTTGATCGATTTCGGATCGAGGACTGAAAGGTGCCTTCTGGGGCGATTGAATTCCTCTTCTTGAATGCGATTGGTTGCCACTCGAATGATGATTGACTGTCTGGACGGGTAGGACAGAGGGGTCCGACCGCAGCTGGGAATTCGAAAAGGGGACAAGACATCTTTTTCCTCAACATATATTCGCCTCGAGTAAACACATCACCTTAGCAAGCGCCTGTGCTGTTGTTGACCGCAACCGGTCTTGCTCGAGGCATCCCATCCACGTTGCGTGGGAAAATGAATCCGATATAGTCACAATCACATATTATCCAAGGCTCCTGTTTTCCCTTTCACGAAGCCATCATCAAGTCATAACCGCCGTTGAGTCATTGTTGCAAGCAAAAAAACACACAGACGCATCCCTTTCTCGAGCGTGGCGTTAGTGTCCTTTGCCCGGCAAGAAGACGCAACATATATTTATAACGTGATCGGAGTTCAGCCACCAAGTCCGGCGTTCTCGACATTTCTTAACTTTGCCGCCAGTGTGGTGTCGTAGAAGTTGTAATATGGGTCTGGAATGCAGAAGGTAGAGTGGCGTAGAAGCGTTTCGGCAGTTGGTCGGTCGGTCGCGTTGCTATCAACTCAATCAGTATTTATCCCAGGGGACGCGTCCAGGAGCTCGGTACTCACACTTGGAAACAGTCGTACATGAAATTCAATCCATCCACCGTCGCTGTCGACTGTACCTCTTCGGGAATCGGCGGTGCTTGGCTGAGACTTCCAAGCTTGAAGATGGCACCAATGGCTTCTTCACGGCTCCATGGCCGTTTCCCGGCAAACATCTCCAGCACGACACACCCAAGTGACCATATGTCGACTTTGGCACTGTACCCTTGACCTTGCGAGCGCACTACCTCGGGAGCCATCCAGAACACCGAGCCCTGCATGCTGTTCGTGACATCATTGCCGTAGATGTTGTCGGATTTCTTGGAGATGCCAAAATCGGAGATCTTGCAAGTGCCATCCAGATCGAGGAGGATATTGTCGGCCTTCAAGTCTCGATGAAGGATGCCTTCTTGGTGGAGATACGCCAGCCCCTCCAGTGTCTGCCTTGTAAGCGAGCGAACCACGGCCTCCTCGAACTTTCCATGTTTGCGAAGACAACTGCCGATAGAGCCACCGGGAATATATTCGAGATAGATGCTGATCGAGAATTCCTTACGCTCGCAGCCCAGATATTGTACGATGTTGGGATGTTCCAAATGCTGCATGGTGTCGATCTCTTGATCCAAAGCCGCCACCATTTCCTTGATTCGATCCTTGTCCTGGCCGGCAGCTTTTTGATTGACTTCGACTTGCTTGACAGCCAAGAACTCACCCGTCGTCGCATTCATCCCGAGGTATACGCGTCCATACGTGCCTTTCCCAATAAGCTGACCACGGATGATCTTGAACGTCGCCTGCCGCTTTGGCGTATCGTCCGTGGGGACTTCTTCTTGTGGTATCGGGTCGAGAGTTGATAGACGATTCCCTGGTTTTGGCCTGATCTGGACAATATGGGCGCCGAACATCTTGGTTGACTTCCGTCGAATGATGCCGCTTGCGTTGTTCTCTTGCACTCGCGCTGCGACAGAGGGCCCTCTCTTGATGCTCACGTCGTTTCGTTTCTGCGCAACTTCACGAATCGACTTCATCCTGCTCAGACCACCCGTCGATTTGCCTACTTGCCGCTGAGCGACACTGGCGACCTTGCTGCGGTCCTTGGCCTTCAGCGTCGACTCATCGGAGCCCAGTGTATCCGAGTCATTCTTGCGGCTGAAGTCGAGATCCAAGCCAGCCGTACCAAAAGTGACTCCCTTGGAACGAGGTTCAAGCGCATCGAGCGGATCCTGGTCAGACGACCTCATAGGAGAGTTGTTGTCGCCTTTTTCCTCAAGGTACGGCTTGTCAAGATCGACGCCGGGGAAGAACTCATCGAGATGGTCGACCACGTTTTCTACTGCGGGACGATTGGCCCAGATGTCGCTAATGAACGAGTCGCGTCTGCTCATTCGATCGTCCGGAGACTGTGCCGACCCACTGAAACTGCCGTCGGAATAGCTGCGGTCATATCCTTCTCCGCTAGCCGTTGCGCTCTCGTCGCCAGTAGGACGCATGCCGCTAGATGAATTTGGCGACTTAAACCGTACATTCTTGGCCGTATTCTGGTCCGTATCTACAGTCAACGTTGGTCGCTGGTCTTTAATGCGAGGTGGCGTCGCGGTGCCGGCGCTCGACATTGACTTGTTGGCCAGCGGGATCGCAAAAAGACCATCGTCCGAATCGTCGTCCGAATCATCATCCTTAGTAGGGTGGGGCGAAGGTGCGAAAGACACGTTGGTCTCCTTGAACTCGAGATCAGGGCCATACGACTTTCTGGTCTGGAGAAATGGACGCGGCGGCGACTTGGTCGAAGGACTAACAGGTGGAGACTGTCTGAATCGTCGAGCATTCTCCACGGCAGCGTTCTGCGGTCGATTATCTCGACTTAGATCGCCAAACCCTATTTCATAGTCAGCAAATTGTGCACATCATGTTACTTTTACCCCAAGTACAATCGGGACGAAGGAACCCACCTGAAGTGTTACGGCCAAAGTCGACACGACTTCTGTCTTGTGACAATCCCTGGCTAGCCAAAGTGGCCGGGGCAACACTCATTTTGCCCATATTGGCCAACGCTGCTCCAATGCCGCTTGCTGGAGCAGGTGCGAAAGTAGCGGATTTCTTCTTACTAAGTTTGCCGTCTTCTTCGGCAATGGGATCCGAGATTCGTTTCAACGCATCAAGCGAAGACCTGCTTCCAGATCCTCTCGCCCGCAGAGAGTTGACCTTGGTCAGTGTGGTAGATTCTGCAGGAGCTGTCGGAGGACGTCGCACCGGGACGAGGTTCTCGACCTTCTTTTCCTCAAAAGGCGAATGCCGTGGGGTGTCGAAATCAATGACGGTATTCCCTCGGATACTGTTACCACTGTATGTGGCGCTCTGTTCCTTTTGAGCTCGACGAGATTCCAGGTAAGCTCTTTGTTGGGCTTCTGTTTTTCTCCTGTACTCTTCAGCCTGCTTCTGCACGAGCAGCGGATCATTCGACAGGGCATCCGCCGCGCCTGGAGAGGTATAGCCATTGCGACTCACGCCGCCCGAGGAATTGGACTTCACCATAGGCGTGCCACGCTCAACCGGGACTTTGTGGCCAAATGACACGCCAAGGCCCATTGATTGAGAGGGGGAACCATGCACTGCTGATAGTGTGGGGCTCCTGACATACAGCTTCACGCTGCCCAGAGGATCTGTGCGACTGCGCACGGCGACGAGAGCGTTGTCGGAAAGCGCGTTTTCGTGGTCGCTCTGCCCCGGCTCGGTGAGGAAGATCTGCGCATATTCTGCGTCTGGGATTCCAAGTTCAATGCAGATGAGGCTACGCAAGGCAATTGCGGTTTCCACATCGGTGACATCCACGAGCCGATAGTTCCAGAAATCCGGAGTAACGAAGATGTATCTTCTTGCCACGCGAGCGCCACGACGGGCTGTCACTGGAACGCGTTCATCTTCGCTCACCGTAGAAGGAGGACGCTGCAACAAAGCCAAATCGCTGCCATTTGCGCTAGGCTTCGAGAGTATCTTCCACGGTCCTGGACTTGTTGGTGATTCTAATGGATGATCATCAGGGGGCGGTTGGCTATGCTCATGCCTCTTCCTCATGAACTTACTGAGGAAGCCCTTGCTGTGATCTTTTCCTCCAGGACCCGGGGTGTAATCGTTGCTCCAGGTACGATGAGCTTCCAAAGGTGACGGTCTCGTTACCTCTTGTGCATCCCGCCTATCTGCATAAAAACGCGCAGACTCAACAGCCGTGTTCGAGCGGGTTTGACCGCTGGCATACAGCATAGAGTCTGTGCTGTTGTTCTTGCTGTGGTCTGGGCGCTGCGACTGAGAAGAAGTGCTGGTGGCTGAAACCGGGACTGCGCTACCAAGGCCGGGGCTGGCATTCGGGGATGCTTCAAACGGCTTCGGCAACAAGCCAATGGAGCCGTCACCAGAGGGATTAGGGCTGTGTCGGCCGCGGCTGTTCAAATTGTTTAGAGTGCCTCTGGTATAGTCCGCACGACCTGTTGCTGCAAAATTCTCGGGGGGTTTGGAATCGCTCGGAGTCGAAGATGCACTGCTGTGTTTGCTCAGAACCGGCATCGTGCTGCTCCGAGGCTGCGAGGTGCGATGTCCCAGTCCGACCGGAAACTGGGGAGGCATCTGCTTTCCCGGGCTTCCTTCTGGACCGGCGGTACCAGGCGTGCTACCAAACTCGGATCGAGGAAGATGGGGCGAATTCTCCAAGGTGCTCTCGGTTCCTGCGCTCGCAATCGTGCCTGCGCTTGGAATCATGCCGGACTCACGTCGTCTGTGCCCGATCCCTGCACTGGCCGGCCCTTCACCTCCCTGTTCCACCAGCCGCGAGATGAGCTTACGCAACCTCTTGCCTTCTTCCCTTTCGCGGCCCTGATCCCAGCCGGTATTGCTGTTGGAGCACACCTTGGCAAGCTGCGGGTAAATTGTTTGGTGCATCATACCAAGATTACCACGCCCATTCGGACCACGGCCGAGATCAAGAAAATCGGAGCCTTGCAGTTTCAAGACCCTAAAAGTTTCCTGCCAATCATTCGAGAAGCCATTTGCTGCCAGCCAGATGAGCACCCGGTCTAGGGGCCACTGTGACGAAAACTCGCTCGAGTTGCTGCCCGTCACGGCTGCACTATGGGCGCGCTGTCGACCATCGGTGACCGTCTGGGGGTTGATCAAGGTTGCGGTTGGAGGTCCTGGGGAGATCGGCTCGTGTTGGTCGCGAAGCGGAAGAGTGAAGGATGGCTTGTTTGAGGAAGCTGAAGCCGCACGGCTCTCTCTGTTCGCAATATCCGGATTGGGTTGAGTGGGGTTGGGATAGGAGTAGCTGTGCGAGGTAGATGTGCCGTCCGAATATTTCTGATCTGCATGAGATAGTGATGGTTCAGACGTAAACTGGGCGTCGTATCTGGAATACGACGCATAGTCGTCGAGGGGCGGAATACCAACTCCGGGACCGAATGAATCTCCTGTCGGGATAAAGGTAGCGGAAAGGATGGGTTTGTCATTCTGCGGCGGCGGCGGAGGGATGTTCAACTGGCGCATACCATAAGGTATGTGTTGTCCCTGGGACTGGTTGTGATTGAAGGGTGGCGGTGGAGGTATATTCTGGCCCATGCCGGATCTTCCCCATGGTTGCTGCCACCCTGCTCCTGGAAGTCCAAACACTGTCCCTAATGGCATCGAGGAGGGATGCGGCCCTGGGGGAGGAGGTGGCAAATTCGACCCTGGATATGGTCGAGGAGGAGGCGGTGGTAGATGTCCCATAGTCCCCTGGCCTGGTGGAGGCGGAGGGCCCGGGATATACTGTTGTCGCTGGTTGTCCATGATCTGGCTGTTCGAGACCATTCTCCAGTGGGGGTGTTATAGTCGGTCCGACCCTGAGTGACAATATCACCGCGTGGGACTAACAGACATATCTCGTTCTTTTTCCTGCGCGACCCCCAACCTTGGCCGATGTGATTGAGCGGGTGTTTCGTAAAGGACACTTGCAGTCGGCTCCCTTGCTCGTAGCGCACAAGGCATTCCTCTTGAGATGACCGAGCTTACAAGAGCATTGTGGCCGTCGCAGCCCGTCACGATGGACACAGCTGATATGCAGCGCACGCAGACGCCGATGACAGGAGGGTGAGGAGTGCCACGTGGAGGCTGAGGAGTCTCGTGCCGAGGAGAGTTCGAGAACAACGTCGCGAGTAATCCAATGCCGAAAGGGACAGAGGCTGTAAGCAACGGAGGATAGCGACGGCGAGTGAGAGATTCTTCGTGGTCAAGCGTCTGTCGCAGTCTTTCGGCCTGGAGCAGTGTGGCTGAACTGCGGGAGGGAAGGCTTGGAGGCCAGAATAGGCTAGCCTGCGGCTGGGAGTTGGGCCATGTCGGGGGCCAATTGGATGCCCGGGATAAGCGCCCCCCAGACGCGGCTAGCCTGCAGAGTCCTGTGTACACAGTGGACGGTAGCTCGTTGTAACTAGAACGATGGCCCGTCGGCGTGCCCACTGTGTTGGCTCGTCGCATCGCATGCAGCGCTCCGCCTGTGATCTTCAGGGCCACAGGGCCCATAGATTTTCAGAGCTGTTCGTCTGCCCAGGCTGTGCCGGAAGTAGCTAGTCGAAGTCGCGTGGGAAAAATAAAGAAACAACCGACCTCATCCAACACATTCGCAAGTATCACATCACCCTTACCTTTTCGAAATGCCTGGTGCTGCATGCTGTTTTGCTCAAGAAACACGACCACTGCATGATTCTGCTGCTTACAAAATGACGCACGTAAGACGCATGCAGAGTTGGATAAAGCTTCAACTGACGTGGAGCTGGAGTGGGCTGATTCTTGATCTCAACATCATACCACTGTCTACATCATGTCGCTCCTTGCCCCAGTTTGTATGCTTCTGCTGTCCCAATGGAAGAAGCCTCGCTGCTGGGAGATCGTCGAACCTCCGGAACTTACATTGATCCGCCACCTGTGTCTGGTGCTGCATCCAGTCATTGCCCGTCATAATCCGCGGCGCATGTGCAGCTGCAAGATCTGATAAAAAGTCCATTGAGTCCTTTCCTTTGCGTCATTTTCCTGGTTGCCCTCTGAATAGGTACCTGTGTTCTCTATGCTCTTGCAAAATGGCTGCCAACGAAGATATTCGAACTTCCGAGCTGGTTGAACCCGTCGATGTGGCTGTTTACCTCTTCACCAGGCTGAAACAGATGGGAATCGACTCCATTCATGGTCTACCCGGCGATGTGAGTCCTCCGCTGTCCCAACAAATAGACGCCTTCAAGACTGGCATTGCTACCCTTTCGTCGATTGTTCCTCAAGCTTACAGAGATCCCAGTTCAACCTGGTAGCACTCGATTATATGGAGGGCTGTGGCCTCGAGTGGGTCGGCAACTGCAACGAGCTCAACGCTGGCTACGCAGCCGATGGCTATGCCCGGATCAAAGGCATCTCGGCCGTTATCACTACCTTCGGCGTGGGCGAGCTTTCGCTTCCCAATGCCATTGCGGGAAGGCAGGAATTTGCCCTATGCTGAAGAAGGAGACCCTGCTGACAATCATGCCAGCTTTGCCGAGTACGTGCCGGTCGTGCATATCGTCGGCACGCCCAGTACGATTTCTCAGAAGAATGGCATGTTGCTCCACCACACTCTCGGAAACGGGAACTTCCATGTCTTCGCGGATATGGCTGCCCACCTCGCGATCGAAGTCGCCAAGTTGATCGACCCTCGCGACATTGCAGCTCAGATCGACCACGCCCTGCGCGAATGCTATCTCCAGAGTCGACCAGTCTACTTGACATTGCCGACGGACATGGTGAGACGGAAGATTGAGGGCGCAAGGCTAAGGACGAAGCTGGACCTGAGTCCCCACAAGAATGATCCGGAGAAAGAAGACTATGTGGTCGATGTGGTGTTGGGATACCTGAGCAAGGCGAAGAATGCCGTCATCCTGGTCGACAGTTGCGCCGTCCGTCACCGCGTCCTCGACGAGACCCACGAGCTGATTGAGAAATCTGGGTTACCTGTTTTTGTGGCCCCTATGGGTAAGGGCGCCGTGGATGAAACCCTGCCCAACTTTGGGGGCATCTATGCGGGAGCCGCGTCGAATCCAGGCGTGCAAGATCGCGTCGAGTCTGCCGACCTGCTCTTGACCATTGGTAGTGTCAAGTCCGATTTCAACACCGCCGGCTTCTCGTACCGAACCTCCCAAATGAAGACCATCGACTTCCACAGCACCTACACTCGGGTGCGCTATTCGGAATACCCTGGTGTCGGCATGAAGGGCGTCCTGCGCAAACTCATCGACAGGCTACCGAAACTGAACATCCAACCCGGTCCGACTCCTCCCCTGAATAAGATGCCCGAAGACGCGGGCGCCGCCACGTCTGCTATCACTCATAGCTGGTTTTGGCCTCGCCTCGGTCATTGGCTCCGGGATGGCGACGTTGTGCTCACTGAGACCGGGACGTCCAACTACGGCATCTTCGACACTCGATTCCCCAAGAATGTCACGAACATCAGCCAGATCCTGTGGGGCAGCATTGGGTATGCCACCGGGTCCTGCCAAGGTGTTGCACTCGCTCTCAAAGAGTTAGGTGGAAACCGCCGGACTATCCTGTTCACTGGCGACGGCAGTTTCCAGCTCACCTGCCAGGAAGTGAGCACCATGATTCGACACAATCTCAATCCCATCATCTTCATCATCTGCAACAACGGCTACACCATCGAACGGTTCATCCACGGTATGGAAGCAACTTACAACGACATACAGAACTGGAATTACAAAGACTTACTCCCAGCATTTGGGGCAAAAGAGGGCAACTACAAAACGTACCAGGTCAGGACGAAGGACGACGTGCAGGCATTGCTTCAAGACGAGAACTTCTCCAGAGCTCCCTATCTGCAGCTGGTCGAATTGTACATGCCGTGGAACGATTCTCCAGCAGGACGTAAGTGTCCACCTTGTCACATCTCCGCGAGCACTGCAGGCTAACCCATCTTGACAGTTTGTGTGACTGCTGAAGCGAGTGCGCGCAACAATGCAAGGATGCTAGAAACATCATAGAGTGGGACCACACAGGTGGATGAAATAGACATGACAGCCGTCGGCTTCTTGACACATAAAGCCTTAGTGATGATGGTAGCACTAATAATACCTATATTGTAGACCAGAAGTACGGAGTCTTCCTATCGAGAGATACTCGTATGCTGTCCGCTTGCTCACTTTGGCGCCTGTAGGGGCCTCGGAGCCTGGAAGGTTGAGCCGAAGGCGCCTAATCAGTGCCTAACGCTGCCCTGCACCCAACCCTGTGCTGCCTGGGGCTCTCATGTAAGCACCCGCTGGACGCCATCCGATTGGCTACTCCACGCTCCTCCAGTCGCAGTCACGGTCACGATACACTGCATCGCACGCCGAGTTACTGCACGTTGGGCAACTCACCTCATTCTCTCTACGTTCCATGGGAAACCGGCACGGCACACATCAAGCTGGTCAGCCGGCAGTCCTGGCAGATTGTCTCTTATCCTGCCAATCGCTGTTGTAGAAGGACACCATAATGTGCCTGAGGCTCACCGGTTCCATCCATCCTGACTATCAGGCTCTTGACCCATTCCACCAACAAATCCCGCTGTCAGGTGAGAGCGTCGACGCCGCGTCGTTGGACTGGTGACTGCCCAGCGACTCGTTTGGAAAGGCACACGGCCCTCAAGCGTCCACTTGCCCCAGATGCATCACAAATCGACAAGACGCAGTTGACGTTGGCATCGTGGCCGTGCGCCGAGGACTGCTCGTTTGTCTTTACTTGGACCTAGCGAAGGAAACCTACACACCGCGCCATCATGTCAACCATCGAATCTCCTCCCTCCAAGAAGGGCGGTCTCGTCCGCAGACTCTCAAAGCGACCTCATAACCTCAACCGTTTGCCCTCATCCCACATTCCGTCGCGCCTACGGCTCGGAGACGACGCCCAGGACGATGTAACTGCTCCTAATCGCGGCCGAAACGCGCCCGCATCCTACATGAATCAATCCATATTTTCCATGATAGCCGCTGCTGGGTCGCGCACAGACTTTAATACCCGATTTGACGAGTCCAGCGACAGTGAAGACGAGATTCCCGAGGAAGAGCAAGAACAACCAGTGGGAGATGACACATCACAACCAGCGGCCGTAGATGTTGGGACAAAAGTGACCACAACAGATGGAAAGCCCACGGGTGACAGCAAGCTCAAGCGTCTCTCCACGCACCGCCTCGTTCAATCGTTACCACGTCTCTCCGTGCGTTCAACCAAGAAGAAAGAGAAGGGTGTCGCGCGCCAAGAGCGAAGTCCCGAGAGCGATGTCACCTCCAAGTCCTCAAGGAGTAACCCTCGCGAAGCCCCAGTGCTCAGCAGGTTGATTACCGCCGAGGCGGCATTTCAAGAAAGCACGGAAGCCGATGAGCAACCGCCAGATTCACCGGAAGCGCACAGATCAAGAAGCAGAGGCGAGTCAACACCTCAAACATTGCTTGCAACACGGTTGATGGAAATCTTTGGCTTTGAGAGCCCCGAAACAGTTGTTGCTGAGTATCCGTGCTGGCTGCTGCAAAGCGTCCTCTTGCAAGGCTACTTATACATCACCAAGCAACACATCTGCTTCTATGCATACTTGCCCAGGAAGTCGAATACTGTTGCCAGGACGGGACATCTGTCGAAGAAAGGGAGAACGAACTCCAAGTACAAGAGATATTGGTTCTCTCTTCAAGGCGACGTGCTCTCATACTACTCAGACGCGTCAAACCTTTATTTTCCATCTGGAAACATCGACCTCAGATACGGCATTTCTGCCGCTCTCTCGACAGATAAAGAGAAGAGCAAGCAGAAGGAGTGCAAGGAATTCTCCGTCACGACCGACCATCGTACATATCACTTTCGGGCCGATACTGCTACATCTGCAAAGGAATGGGTTCAGTCTCTGCAGAAGACAATCTTCCGCTCTCACAACGATGGAGATAGTGTGAAGATCTCGCTGCCTATGGAAAATATTATTGATTTCGAGGAAAGTCCAGTCGTCGAGTTCGCCGAGACGGTCAAGATCCGAGTGATCGAGAGCGAAGACTCGTACGCCATCGACGAGGTGGGTTACCTATAACAGAAGTCTTCTTCCGTGCTAACTCCCACAGTATTTCTTCTCCTTCTTTAGCTTCGGTCAAGATGCACTTAACGTACTAGGAAGCCTTCTTACGGAGGCTCCTGGTAGAAGAGAGTCTGACGACGTCCTATCTCCAGCAAGAAAGGCTGAACCCCTATCAAGCCCCAGACCCAGGCCTGCTCCCATCCGCCAGTCCTCAGATATCAGCACAGGCAGTGCCAGAGCCCAGTCGAGCCCGCCCCTCAAAGACAGTGTTAGAGCCACACTGCTACCATACACGATTGGTGACGATGGCAGAATGTCTCCGAGGTTGGGTGGAGAGTTCGCACGGGGTAACAGTCCTGTTCGTGCCAGCAATGACTTTCCCGGCGACTACGGGCGAGCCAGCTTCGAGCGAGGCCGGAGAAGTGGAAGCACTAGTCGACTTGAGATCAATATGTCAAAGCGGAGCGGAAGGTCGCCACTCGCGAGACACAATGACTCCGAGGATTCATACGTTCAGTCCATTGACAAGGAGACAGACTCGTCAACGGCGCCGCTGTCACCGCGAGCGGAAGCACAAATGTCAGCCAGCCAAATCCTGACGCGAAGCGACGTGTTCCACACGCCAGCTGTCCACCGCATGGATACTCTCGCGTCCATGTCAACCGAACCGTCGAGAAAATCGTCGGATGCTGGAACAATGCGATCAGGATCTCCACAACGAGGGCAGATTTCCCCCACCCCAATGCGGCCCTTGCCCGAGCCACAACAAGGCCGTCGATCCACAGTGCAGACCGAAGCCTTGCTCTTGACAGAAATGCCATCCGGCCAGAAGATGCCTAGGAACGATTCGTCGCCAACACTGCAGGATCTCGTAAAAGCAGGATCTTATCCACTGCAACGAGCGGGCGCCTTCGCCGACTACCTCAAGAACCGCTCGAGCTCCATGCGAAAGCTACTGGCTACCGAGTCCATGTCGTACCTCGAAAAGGTCTCTGGCATGTGGGCAGGCAACAGAAAGCACTACGGTGAGAACGAAGGTGTGGTCTCCGAGGACAGAGGAGTTGACCCCGAAGACGAAGAAGCCAACGTCGGACATGGCGATCGGTTTCGCACGCATTTCGCTCTGCCTGCCACTGAGAAGCTACAGGCGACTTACTTCGGCTTCCTGCACCGTGTGCTCCCTCTTTATGGGAAAATCTACATCAGTAACCGTAAATTCTGCTTCCGCAGTCTCCTACCCGGCACCCGCACCAAGTTAGTCCTCCCACTGAAGGACATCGAAAATGTGGATAAAGAGAAGGGCTTCCGCTTCGGATACCACGGCTTGGTGCTCGTGATTCGCGGGCACGAAGAACTCTTCTTCGAGTTCTCCTCTGCCGAGCACCGCGACGACTGCACGGTCACGCTCCTGCACAGCCTGGAAACAGCGCGGTACATGGCCGAATCTGGCGTTCTAGCAGGCCATGACGACGACGACGCTGAAATTGCCAAGGAAGAACACCGCAAGCTCCAAGAAGCGCGGCGCTCCTCCGCGGCCGGAGGAGAGCACGCACTCGTCTTGCCAGATACGACCGAGGCGATCTACAGCCACAAGGACGAGGAATCTGCGGCCGCCATCTCAGGAGCCTCCAGTCGTCTCCTCTTTGACATCGACCCACGCGCCTCGATCCTCAATCTCTCCAAGCCCACCACTTCTCTGCGGGTGACCTGTCTCACCATCGGCTCCAGAGGCGACGTACAGCCATACATCGCGCTGTGCAAAGGTCTGTTAGCTGAAGGCCACCGGCCGCGCATAGCCACGCACGCCGAGTTTGAGCCGTGGATCCGCAAGCACGGGATCGACTTCCGCCCCGTGGACGGGGATCCCGCAGAACTGATGCGCATCTGCGTCGAGAACGGCATGTTCACGTATTCCTTCCTGCGCGAAGCGAGCGCAAAGTTCCGCACCTGGATCGACGAGCTGTTAAGTTCGGCATGGAGTGCATGTCAAGACTCGGACCTCCTCATCGAAAGCCCCAGTGCAATGGCAGGCATTCACATCGCCGAGGCACTGGGTATTCCCTATTTCCGTGCTTTCACCATGCCCTGGACGCGAACACGGGCGTATCCCCACGCGTTTGCGGTCCCGGAGCACAAGATCGGCGGCGCGTACAATTACTACTCGTACGTCATGTTCGACAACGTCTTCTGGAAAGCCATCGCCGGACAGGTCAATAGGTGGCGGAAGAAAGAGCTCAGCCTACGGTCCACCAACTTGGATAAGATGCAGCCGAACAAGGTTCCGTTTCTGTACAATTTCTCCCCCGTGGTCGTCCCCCCGCCGTTGGATTACAGCGATTGGGTCAGGGTCACAGGGTATTGGTTCCTCGACGAGGCAAGCGACTGGACGCCGCCCGCGGAGCTGACGGACTTTATCAAAAAGGCCCGCGAAGACGGCAAGAAACTGGTGTACATTGGCTTCGGCTCCATCGTGGTGTCTGACCCTGCCGCTCTCACGAAGACCGTGGTCGAGTCGGTCCTCAAGGCCGATGTCCGCTGCATCCTCTCGAAAGGCTGGTCTGACCGCCTGGGCAATCCCGACGCCGTGAAGGCCGAAGTACCCCTACCCCCGGACATTATCCAGATCAAGTCAGCGCCGCATGATTGGCTGTTTCGGCAAATCGACGCAGCCTGCCACCATGGCGGTGCGGGCACGACAGGCGCCTCATTGAGGGCGGGTTTGCCCACCGTCGTGAAGCCCTTCTTTGGGGATCAGTTCTTCTTCGGGTCGAGAGTGGAGGACTTGGGCGTGGGGATTTGCCTCAAGAAGGTCAATGTCAGTGTTTTCTCGAGGGCGCTTTGGGAGGCGACGCACAGTGAGAGGATGATCGTCAAGGCGAGGCTTTTGGGGGAAATGATTAGAAAGGTCAGTAGTATCCCGGAAGAATGGCGGGACTTGCAAATTGTGGGGTTTTGAACTGACGACTTCCTGCAGGAAAATGGCGTGCAAACAGCTATCCAAGCAATATACCGCGACTTGGACTACGCCAAATCACTCGTCAGCGCACGCGCGGCGATTCAGCAGCAAAGCGCAGCCACAGCAGCAGGAGCCGCGGGACTCACGGCGGTCGACCTTCTCGATGAAGGAGGCGACATTGAAGAGAGCTGGACCTTCATCGGCGATGAAAGTGACCCGGAATTACAGCGACGGATGCAAGAGTGGGACACCACAGGCGGCGGCGTCACTTCTCTGCGTGGCAGGGCGCCGCGGGTCAGTATTGACTTAGCAAAGCTGGGTGCTATGCAAGAAGTTGAGCCGGTTAGGAAGGCGAGTGTTAAGAGGTGAATGCCGCATGGCCTGTCCCGGCGACAGAAGTGAACAGCGCATCAAGAAAAACAAGACAAGGTCTAATCAATAAGGGCCGTCAGTCTACGAGTCGAAGCGATGGGAATGAAAGATGGGAGCAAGAGGACCACGATCGTGGCGTTGGATGGAATGCCGAGATGGTCAATGACAGGTCAAGGGCAGTGCCGATGTCTTTCGGCAGCTGGATCAATACCAGCGCCGACAACGATCACGCCTGAAACTTGAATGGCGCCGAACCCAAACGGGAAGTCATAGGTGTGTTCGGCAGTTGGTGTGACAGTTGTGCGGATGGTAATGATGTCGACGATTGCACAGCGCGGGCGTTCAGGAGCAAACCACCCTTGGTGTGCTTGCTGCAATGTCCAGTGGGTGTCGGCAACTCTGGGTCCCTTGTTTGGAACAGAGTAATTAAGCCTCAACCCAAAGCAGGGAGTCGAGGAGGACATGGCGTTCAGTGGGACTAATTTGAAAGGGGTCACAGGAATCAATGGGGTTATCGAAGGCGTTACTTCCCTGAGCCCCTGGTTTCAGTGCAGAGGAAGACTTTTCCGGCTTTGATCTGATTTGTTGCAAGGTCAACGACGTTATGACGCTAGGATAGATCGCTGGAGGATCGACGACGCAAGATCTCTCGCAGGAAAGATGGGAGCGGGCTAAGACGGGCGTGGTAATGGGATAGAGTCCACAGTACAGATGCATCCGGTCCAAGCTGTTCCTCTGCGTGTTTGCTTGATGGCCTAGTAGATAGGGATTCCGAGGCGGTTCTTGTCGGTCATGATATTCGCCCGTCGACAGAAAGAAATTCCTCCCTGAGAAACGGCATGGTCACTTTCTGAAACGAAATCCTTCTGCCACCAGTATTCAAGGCTACGGGGTGGGACACAACGGACCCCAAAACTGCGAGATCTCGGTTCGTAAGTTGAGTTCCAGCCGGAAACAGAATTTGGTGAAGATACTCCGTACAGAGAGCAGGTTTGAGTGGACAGAGACCGACCAGTCTTGACGTCAACGTTCGGCAAGGCCAGGAAGCTTGGGAGCAGATGTTGTCGTCTATTGCAGTCCAGTCGAACCGCATCTGCGTTCCAGTTCTTACTGTGTGGGGCCGGATTGCCAAGTGACACACAGCCTTTCGAGAACCAGAGGTGCTGACCTCATCAGGTGTCCGTTCGTGACAATGATGAATGTTGAGTGGCCGCTTGGAGTAGCCGGCCTGTCAGGCAACTTGAGTTGATCAGCTCGTGACTTCGCCAAAGCATGTGTCGAAAGGAGCAAATGCGAAATGCGCCCGCCGCGTGACGGGATATTCGAGCAACAGCCACCCGCTGACGCCCTAGGCGGCGTCAAGTATGCGAGTCAAAGGATCCGAGGCCGGATGTCGAATCACAAGCTGAACTTTGAGGGGTTGGTCAGACCTTTTGAGGGCCAAGTGAAAGAGGATTTCAAACCCGTGTAGAGTTTGATTGGACGAGTAGACAAAGGACCGTGGAAAATGTCTCCGAAGTTGAGGTGGAAGTTTCATATGGGACTCCGTACCTGCAGATGAATGGAGAAGTGAGAGAAGGCAAAGAGCGTGGGAAACGCCGAAGGGGTGGGTGTTTCTTCTGTTCGGGTCGATGGAAAGCATATCCGACCCAGAAGAGGGAGGTGTGAAAGAAAGCGAGCAGCAGGCCCTGTCCACCCTTGTGTGCGTGTTTCTTTGCCCCGCCTCTTCTTCTGACTCTGCTGTGTACGCGTATCTCAGGTGATCAGCGGCCGCTGCCACTTGCCTGTGACAGGGTTCCGAGGTTGGCCGGTGGCGGTGGTGGCGATGATACAGCGTTGTACTCGCGCGAGAGGGCGATCGCAGAGGGCAGTCAGAGGGAAGTCAGCGGTGTGTGTGTTTTGCAACGCATGGCATGTACCGACCCGGGCTGGATCTGCAGCGATGAGCGATGTCCTGCAGGAAGATAGCCAGCGCAGGACGGTATGAATTGTACGTAAGGGTTTACTTACCCCAGATACGAGCAGCCAGAGACACAGTTTAGCATGGAATAGGGTGCATGCAAAAGAGTCGGCGCCGCTTAGAGTTCTTAGGGGTCTTGAGGGCCTTGGGGTCTTGGGGCTCCTTAGGGGCTGTTGGGCGTTCTAGAAGCCAGCAATCGGAGGATTGGCTTGCCTATTCAAGGGTTGCAGCCCTTATTCAGCACGCCATGGCCCAATGAGCAAACTCGGCAGCCGCATCGAACCTATCTCGAAATCTTCATCGCGAGATCGCTCAATTCTGCGTCCGTGGCCGTCTCGAATACCCAGCACTCGTCCTGTCCTGTGCACTTCGCTTTGCCCTTTGCCTCCACCGGCCCTTCTCCGTCCCTCACCGTTGGATGGCGTTTTGCCGTGCGCGTGAGATTTCTGCTCAGCGGCTCCCCCCATGCATGCGCGCCGCTAGGCCGCAGTCAGAAGTGAGTCTGCCAGCCACTCCACCTTTTTTCTGTGTCTGATGGACCACAGCACGGAGTATCTTCTCCGTGCGTCCTGCGCTAGGGGGCCCAGCTCCAGCTTGTCATTTGCCCGTCTCCCTCCGCGGTCCTCCGTACTGACTGGACACCTTCCAGCCCAGCTCCCACCAGCTCCCACCCAGCTAGCTCCAGGGACACGTCGCTATCATTCAGGCTCCAGAAGCTTGACTAGCGGCATAAGATCGCCTCCCCGCCATCTCCGAACCGTTCGCAGCTGCCGCTCCGAGCGCGCCATAACAGTCCCTAGTGCTCGCTCGCTTGTCACGCACTCACGGCCGTCACTGGCAGGATCTGAGATTATGGCCCCGTCGACGGCCGTGCGACTCGGACAGGAGGTCCTGCATCACGTTCTAGTCGAGCCTTTAGTCCCTAACTCATGGCGAGAGACGGGCGACCCCGGTCGCCTTGTTTCCACGGGCCAGTTCTGGTCCCTTCTGGTCACAATGCCACTCGAATCCACCCTTCATCCTTCCGAGTCCCGACCCTCTTCGCGACCCACCGCAGTAACGATTGACCGACACACTCGAGCCGTTCTGCCAGTACAACGACGCTTGGGCACTGTCAACTTTCGGTCGCGGTGCAAGGCCCAGTAGAAGTCGACGCTCTGTCGGAACAAACCACGGCTACCCGTCGACCGCACAACCAAACCCAATTCGCCGTTTGCCATTCACCTTACGCTTGCCCCTGCTTCAAACACTTGTCCACAGCACTGCCACTGACGCTGCGCGCTACCGCAACGTACTCCCGGCCAGCCAAATCCACTCAATTCTTCCTCCGAAACCCTAGTACCACGAGATCGGCCACACAGATCTTTCACCTCGATACATCAGTCCGTCAATATCCTCGTTCCCTTCCGAAATCTTACTTGACCCTTCTTCTATCCATCCTTCCTCTGCGCGTCTCGACTGCTATGCAGACGCTTCCAATCGCCGCCGATCTGCCCTTTCACCCGTACCGCTGGACCTGAGGCCTTGTTCGACCCGGTTGAGTCTCCAGGATTCAACCTCGGCATCTCGCGATGAAACCTGGCAACCATATGAGTACCGGCAGCCTGTCCCCACCTTCCACAGCTACGGCGGCAGGTGTCGCTAAGACCACATCGTTGCCCATTTCTCGGTCAAGCAATTCTGCCTGGGAGAAGCCCGAACGAGCACGTACCAGCCACGCATGTGAGCCGTGTCGGGAGCGAAAGACAAAGTGTGACGGCTCCAGACCGGCATGCCGCCGATGCCTCCACACCGGCACCACGTGCTTTTACGGCTATGGGAAGGGTTGGAGGAAGCGAAAGTAAGTCTACGCACGCTGGGACCCTCGTTATCGACGCATTCGTTTCGAAGGTCGTCCTCTCTCCAGAACAGCTATGCTGACTCGGAATTGCAGGACCGCGGAAGATCTTACTGCGACTTCCCGCCGTTTGGCACGGTACGAGAGCCTGCTGAACGAAATCCTACCAATGGTGTCCCCTGAAGTGCGGGTTCTGATCGAGGACGCGCGAGACAATGTGAGCCGACCATATTAACCTATTGACTTCGAAGCACCGACGCTGACGCTGGAACAGGACACCGGCGCGTCAAACAATGGCTCTGAAACTAACGAGACCGAGCAAAATCTCCAACCGCCGACATTACTCAAGAACGAGTCAAGCATGTCTGGATCGAATGCGCGCATCATCCTCCCACTGCCGGTACCTAGCCTCGGTGCTGGGACCAGCCCACTTCCTCCAACAGCTTCACGTTCGTCGACGTCCTCAGGCACTTTCGAGTCTGTCCCGACTCTCCCGACCGCCAACACAACCGGTAGTGCCAATGTGCAACCAACACAACGGCTTTCCCCGGACTCTAACCCAGTAGCACGGTTGCCGTCCATCACACCCGACGGGCAGCTAATCGAGACCGGGGTCAGAGATCGTTCGCCAACAAGTCTCCATCGCCGGCCCGATTCCGCCGCAAGTTATGGTATGGGAGCTTCACCGACCTCTCCCACGAGTCTTGCGTCCCAAGGAGGTGCGTTTCCCGGACCACATCCTGGACGTTCACATACTGACTGCCGGAGAAGAGATGACGAGGCCACAACAATTTTCCCCTGGTTGAAATCCACCGAAGCTGCAACGGTCCGAAATTGATGCTTCTGCGCAGATGCACGCGGGTCCCACAATGTACACGTGCTGCGTGGTCCTCGGTCGTGATTTTTGATCTTCGCGTATGTATCCAATGGACATTTAAGCACTCCAGCCCGCGACAGGACTGTTCTGGAGCCCGGACCTCGACGCGAAGTCGACTACAGCAACATGCATGGTGGGGAAGCCCCAACACTGACCCAGCCAGCATGTGGGTAAACACTTATCCTTTATCCTTTCGATCTTCAACCTATGATCTTCAAGCTGTATCGGTTTGAGTAATGCAGCATCCGGCAGGCAATCCCTTGAATTTGCAGGAGCTCCGGACGAGTGGACACTTTTCTCCGTGCAAGCCAACCAGGACTAGCCACCATCATTGTGTTGTCTGCTGGTTCATCAGGATATTTTGGAATCTTGCTCAGGATCTGCCATATCCCAACTGTATTTTGAGTCACGGAAAGGATGGCAGCCAATTCGGGGTGCAAAATTGGAGGCGCGCGCGCTGCTGCAGGGTCCGAGGAAATTTTCGAGCTTTCTTCGGAAAAGAAGCACCGGCGAAACCTGGTGGCTCCACAGCCCCCGAGCTCGCCCTTGGCGCAGAAACTGCACGCGTGGGCCTCGTCGGCCTGGATTACCCTTCCATCTCATCCGTGTGAGGGTGCACTACTGGTCCGAGCGTGACACGTCACACAAAAGCGAATCTCACTGGATTACGGTCGGCCGCCAAAGTAAAAAGAGGTTACCGTGCTGACCGGAATGAAACGTTGTCATCAAACCAATGATGGTGTTACGGTCGGTGTATTACAGAGCGACGGCCAATTTTGAATGGGTCACTGGTAAGATCAACGGACATGCACATCCGGACACGAGCGACGTTCGGCTCTTCAATCGCCTTGGCGTCAACAACGAGCAAATATTTCGGCAGCCAGACGGTTGCTTTGAAGGCGCGCGGGCTCGTGGGGAACCTCCAATCCCTTTGTTGCCGATCGGCACGCAGGAGAATTCCCATGGCGATCGAGATTGCGCAGTTGGAGAAGGCCTAGCCATCTCACCACTACGACAAGTAATCCGTCAAGGACAGCGCCACTGTGATCACACGACGACCTACACTGGTCTCTCGCCGAGGCGTAATCGTAGAGCGCTGGCAAATTTCTGTCGCTAGGCCTTAAATGGTGAACAGCAGCAGTCCGTATTCATACTCGTACCTACTACCTAGGTACATTCTAATGCCGGTAAAGGCTGTGACGAACATACACTTTGCCCACGTCCTATGAATTCCTCGTCTTTGCATCTCTAGGCAGCCTGCATTTTGCCGCGCAGATGTCTACTCTATCACGTAGAGGCTGTACTCTGCGTGTCTGCGTGCCCAACTTTCAACGCCACTCAGTTGCTGACCTGCACGTGGCAACATGTCAGTATAATGACAGTGGTGAGGGGCGAACGCGATGCTGGAAGGCGGCTGCAAGATGCGATTCCTGTGTGCTGCGTCTTGCCAGCTCCATGAAGCTGATGCGATGAGTTTTCCATCTTCTTTGCTGACGCGGCCGTGGCGCAATCACTTTCTCATGGATGCGAATACTCGTAGGTGCTCATTAAACTTTCCGAATGACGGACATACCTTGTCAGGAACATCCTTGCCTGTTGCCTTTTCAAACATGTCTCTGGCCTTGTCGGTGACCTTTTCATTGACTGAACGCGACTTTGCTGGGTCGACTTTGCCTGCTCAGCGCCACATACCCGGCAAATTGTCAGTTTCTGGGGTTTTGAAGGATTTGCACTCCAGGCTGGGAAGATTTCGTACCTTGGCCGAATCTCTTTTCAGCGGCATCCAGTCCTACCACAACCAGCTGGATTAGCATGGTCACATCTTCTCGTTGTCTTGAAAGATCTCGGCCTACCCTTGTCAAGGTAATCCTCTCTTGGCTGACCAGCGGCTTGTCCTTGGTTATTCATGTTGGAGTCGGTTCAACCAGCGTTTGTATACAGTAATATGCTTGGGTCGTTGTGCTAAGACGCGAGTGCTATGGAACAGAATCGATGGATACGCAGTTGCGAGCATGTTAGACACCTATATATGTCATTGAGACCTCCACCTCTGCCATCATTCAGAGCGCATGCTCCCCCACCGTAGCGAGGAACAGAACGCACATTCAGGGTACAGTATGCCGCAGCAATACATCATCCTACATCACGTCAAGCTCGTCAACCCAATCGATGGCGGTGTCATCCCTCGGTGTACCACTCAGAGACCCTGATTGGGAGACAACAACACACAGATGAGATACTGGACAAAGCAAGAACCAGTTTGAGTTTCCAGGCCCAGAACCTGACTGAATCCATGTCCTTGTGTCTGCGGAACGATGCCAGCCCGAAATCGACTCGTACCCCGCCGACGTCATTGTTTCCCGAAACGGACCAGCTCGAGGGCGAAGCTCCTGCCAAGCTTTGGTCTTGGCATTGTCGCGCCTTCCTCTGCTTGAAACACACAATCAGCTTCACCATCGTCCGGCTGTTGAACCCTCCGGACCCTCGCGGCTCTCCCTCGTCCTTTGAACGTATCGAGAGACGCCGCGAGTCTCACCGTGCTGCTGTGGCTAACCTGTCTCTCCCCCGATTTGGGATGGACGGCTGCCGCCACGGTCCAAGATCAGATCGGATATCTCTTTGCGCGAGCTATCTCAGCCTCAGACAGCTTCCTCGCGCTCCTGCACCGTGCGTCTAAGATTACACTTAGTCAACAGGGACACGCCTACTCCTGATTTGGTCATGGACCGCAATCTGCTGCCTGAACCGGACTGACTCCGCCGACGTTCTGGCCCAGCTCGACAAATCCACGATGGCAGCACAGCGAGCTTAGTTGGACCACACAGGCCACTCTCCATGTTTCTTTTTCCGCCGACTGCCCTCCAGCAGCTAACTTTGATGCTTTCTACCCGGCAACTGCCAGCTTCCGATTCACGAGCTAACCTCGTAGGGAGGGCTCCCATTATCTGTTCGTCCCTGACACAACTGTACGGGAAGAGTTGAAACGATTACTCTCTATCTTCCGGTATCACAATTTGTAGTACGCTGAGTACTCCCATCTCGCCGATGGCCTCTGTACGGAGTAGCGAGACGGCAATCGCCCAAGCGAGGCTTCGGATCCTCACACTTCCTTGTTGAGGATCTTAGAATGCCACAGGTAGATGTATATAACTTCCTCTCCTCCAGCGCTGTATCCCAGTCCCATCCACAAGCAAAATCGATCAGCACTCGCATTCCATTCCTTTCCAACCGACTTTTGACAAGTCCTTCCTTTCTAACAAGGCTGTGCCTTCGATTCTCTCATTTTCGGGCTTTTGACAAGCTCTGGTTCACTTCTTCGACGTTGTGCTGGACACTCTCATTCATCCAATTTTCGCCGGTTGCCTTTTCGTCGTCTTTTCGAGCCATCCAAGATGAAGGCTTTCACTCTCTCTGCGCTGAGCACTCTGTTCGCTGGCTTGACGCTGGCTCATCCGGTCGACCTTGCCAAACGTACCGGTCGATTCTCCGAGGTTGATATCACCATTCTGCAATTTGCTTTGACCGTGAGTATCCGCTGGTGACGATCTTCTTTGTCGTGCTAACAGGGAATTAGCTTGAGCACCTCGAGAACACCTTCTACCGGGAAGCCTTCGCGACCTTCCAGCTTCAGGACTTCCTCAATGTTGGTTTCGACGAAGAATTTTTCCTGAACCTTCAATTCATTGCCGCTGATGAATCTGCCCATGTGGACTTCCTCATCGCGGCCATCCAATCTGCCGGTGTTGCCCCAGTTCAGCCCTGCCAGTACAAATTCCCAGTCACGGATGTTGCCAGCTTTGTGACTGTCAGCGCTATTTTGGAATCCATCGGGACCAGCGCCTACCTCGGGGCTGCCCCGTTCATCAGCTCCCGGGAAATCCTCACTGTCGCCGCGAGCATCATGGCCACAGAAGGGCTGCACACCAGCTTGCAACGCAGCTCTCTGGGCGCCATTGGGGCGGCTAACCCATTCCAGACCGTAAGTATCCAGCCTGCTAAGCACTGAATGTCCTAACAGGCCACCAGTCACTCGACGCCAACTCGGTCTTTACCCTTGCCTCGCAATTCATCGTGTCCTGCCCGGCCTCGAACCCACCCCTGCCATTTACTGCCTTCCCTGGCTTGACGGTCAACGCGCAGCCTTGCTTCAACGAGGTCGGAATTGCCAGCAGCGGAGGCTTTTCCACCCAGTCGATCGACTATGCCACTATCGTCTCCGCCGTCGCGGCCGCTACCGAGACCGCCACTGCTTCTGTCGCCGAGGTCACTGATAGCACCACTGTAGAGACCGCCACCGCCACCGAAGCTGCCGAGATGGCCACCGCCACCGACGCCGCTACGACCACTGAGGCTGCAGAGATGACCACCACCACCGACTCAACTGCTGCCTATAGCACTACCGCCGCCGCTGCCAAGCGCAGTCCCCTTGAGGCCCGCGCGTTCGTATCGTCCTGTCAAGCCCCTGGCGCGGGTTCCCCTATCCAGTTGATCCCTGACTTCTCTCAATCTCGCGGTATCGACTTCTCCCGGATCCAGGTCGTCTTCGTGACCATTGTCTCTGGCCTTCAAGTCGTTTCCATTCAGGCCGTGTTCGGGTCGGATGGATCCATCAACGTAATCATCCCCGGCTCGATTGGCGGTGGGCAGGTCTTCATCTTCATCACCACTGTGGACATATCCGGACGGAGTCTGAGCGATCACGAAATCTTGTTCGGACCCGCCGTGTTCGAGCGTGAGTTTTTGGTCCATTCCTGAGATCTTGGTCTTGATTCTAACCAGTGATAGTCGCTCCTTCGTTCCCCACCATCAGCCGGTAGGCTGACCACTACTGCGAACAAACATGTCGCCACCAAACGCAACCAGATCAATGTCGACAACCCGAGGGGCGACGCGTGGGGAGTAAATGAGACGGGAGCCCTGGCCTTCGTGGTGGAATTCTGTTCATACTATTTCATGTCGCTCCTTGATGACAACGTTACGTCTGCATTTTACCACCTTTTGTTTGCTTATTGCTTACGTGTCCTGTTGGGAGTCCGGAGAACGAGAGCCAAAAGGCATGTGCGGGACTGTATTGTATATACATATTGACATCTGCTGATGGGATGCACAAAGATACCCAGATGACGGCAGAGCACGAGAGCAAGATCACGAGCCTCTTTTTCAGAGAAGAGCACGTGGCAAAAGAGAAGTGGCAGGAGGAGAACAGAGAGGAGTGGGAGCGTTGCCCCTCAAGACAGTCGATAGAGAATGAGATTAATCTCATCGTTGAAGACGAAAGATGTCCGGTTGCGGCCGTGCGTTACCATGTGTGCTCGTCGGCCAAGTAGGAAGCAACTACAGTAGCAAGGCGTTCATCGCCAAAGGGCTGCCTGCGTGGCTTGATACGGAGGTAGATACAGTACGACGGGTAGGTAGGCAAGCTTCGGGGAAGGCATCATTCAGTCCAAAGCGCTTGATGCTAGTCGACCGTGGCTACTGAATAAGTATAGTCCCCAGCATACGGAGTATGGTTTCTTTGATTCTCAGCTCCTCGTGACGACCTACCGTAGGGCGATTCGAGAACGAACTGTGCTGTTTTGTTGTATAGCAAACACGGGCTGCCGCGCCGTGCCTATGACAACACAAAGGGACGACGGAGAAGAAGATCATGCTTTGCGGCTTACATAGTGTATGTACTGTACCGTACCCAGACAAGGACAGGCAAATCTACCGGTATCATCACCTATGTATCCCCAGGTTAGCTTGACGATCAATGTGCCTTGCCTCCATCACAGTACTTCTCGCCTGGCACCTCGCGGTTTATGGCGCGCAAGTGACCTAATTACAGTAATAGGCGAAAGATGGGGGGCTGGTCACCAAGTACTGTAAAGGTGTCACTACGTAGTACTCCGCAAAGTTGTGGTTTATTCATCGCATGCATTTTCGCGACGATGGGCGGACTGACTGACTGGTCGAAGTTGGGCCCAGAAACTGATTGTACCATGTATACAGGTATCTACAGTATCTGACCGACTCACCAAAGTGATAGACTGACTACAGGACAGGACAGGACAGTACCTCCTGGCTGACTGACCGGCTGATGGGATTTGAAATCTCGAAGCTGGGCTACGCAGGCTACGCAAGCTACGAGGACAGCCTGGCCTTGACGTTGCATCTGGTGTGGTGCGTGTAGCGCGTAGCATGTAGCGTGTAGTGTGTTTCGGGCTTCATGTCTCATGTTTTGTCACCTCGCTTTGGAGACTTGATAAATCCGACACGAGACGACACGATACGACGCGCCGGTGACTGAGGACGGACGGAATGCTCTGTTCCGATCAGAAATAGCCTCATACTCGCGTACCGCACATTGACGCTGACGCTGACGATGACACTGGAACCGTTGGGCACGGCGAATGTTCTCTCTGATGTTCTCACTGATGTGGCTAACATACAGTATCGCACCTTGCAAACTATGCAGGTCGCGTTGCCGCCCCTCAAGGGTCGGGATACTCTCACGCAAATTCCATGACAACACCCAGTGAGTCAGTCAACATCAAATCATAAAACCACTCCGATACTGACATACAAACTCGTGATAATACTCTCTTCTCTCCCTCGTAATATCATCCTCTTCGGCGTGCGCATGTCCACTACACGTCCGGTGCAGACAAGCCGTCGCCCCAGCCGGGGGTTCCAAGTGCTTGTCCATCAAGCAGCCGGGGATCATGGATTCGGGCAGCCAGAAGGTCCCTGCCGTCATGCGCGGTTCGAGTTCGAAGGCCTGGACGACGTAATTCTCCACAAAAGCTTTCAGGCGCGTCTCGAGATGTTTCGGTAGCGAGTACTGGGGATACACTCTTGATTGTGTGGCGTGGTGCTTCGAAGATGGTGCGTCGGAGACGATCGGTGGGGCAAAAAATGCTTCGACGGCATCGAACAGCGGCCGGTGCATGTCTTTGAGGCCGTCGAGATTCAGCAGACTTCCCTGCTCCACGAGTTTCGCTCGCACCTCCTGTACGGGGACGATGCCGTCGTCGGCCGGAAAGGCGAGCAAGTCCGGATACATGGCCGAGCTGATGGCCTGGTTCAACGTGGTGAAGACCACGGAGAGGAAGCCCATGGTCGCCGTCTCGATGGTCTTGTCGGCCGCTCCGGGTTCCCTGCCCCAGTGGAGATTCGTGATGCGGCGCAACATCCGCGCATAGTCGGAGCACATCTTCTGCAACGTGCGGAACGCTCGTCGGGCTTTGGGCGCGAACCGCTTGATCACGTCAAAGTCGACGGTCGAGTCGGCGAACAGGCCCATGAAGGTGGCGGCCATGAGACGTACGACCTCGGACGTCCGATGGTGGCCGTTCTGAGTGGCCTGCAGGACCATCTTCTCGCCAGCCTTCATGTGCGTCATGGCGGCCTCGAAGTCTTCGTTGCATTGCGCCATGGACGAGAACAAGCGGCAGATGATCAGACCGACTTCCCATGAATTACGTGGCTCGGTGGCGAAGGCGGTGATCGCTTGTTTCCGTCTCGAGAAGATCAGCTCCCTGTGGTCCGTGCCCGACACGTAGGTGTCGAACGTCAACGACACAGCAATCATGGCGTGGCGGACCGAGGCGTTCACCCACGCGGCCTGCGGGACGATGAACTGCCAGAAGTTCTGCCACCGTCGCGTCGAAGACAGCAGAGGCGCCGTCCTGAGAAGGAAGTACTGTGTGTAATCCTGGTCGAGTGCCGTCGTGCACGGGCCGGATGGCTCGAGAAGAAGAACGTCATAAGGACGAGCAATTCGCGGACTCAGGTTGGGATTCCCAGTGTAAGCTGTATCGACGTCTTCGACTTGTCCTGCGTGGCCTGGCCCTAATCCTATCCCGGTGCTCTGGTGGGTTATACGCTCGTCGCTAATGGCCAAAGATCGTAGCGACTCGTCCACGTAGTCAGAATCCGCAGTCGAAGCCCTGGCCTCGACCTTGACGACTCTTGGCGGCTCGCCAGGCTCGAACACCCACGCCTTAGGCGAATCATAGCCGTCACACGGGAATTTGTCCCTGAGGCAGCGCGAGCAACTCGGTCTCTTCTCATCGCACTTCTTCCTCCGGATCTTGCACGTCTTGCACCCGGTTCTCACTTTCGGGGCCCATCTCCGCTGTCGTTTGCCTTGCTGCGGAACTGGCATTGCGGCTTCAAGTCGTCGACGGTGGCCTCAGATAGCATTGCTGGCAAGCTGCGCTCCGGCATGCGTGCCGTCTCGCTGGGACTGGTTGGAAACACCATCGAATAGGCATCCACTTGCTTCACGAATCCAGGCAGAAAGTTGAGTGATGCGGATGGGGGGTTGCGCATCGGTGCCGAGCACCGCACCGTAGGGAGTCACAATCAGTCACGTGCGGGAGACCTGCAAAGCTGTCAAATACTACAAAACAGGCAAACACGGCAAACTGGCAAAACATCAGGGTTACACTTGTGTGGGTGCTTCGTCCTCGCTGTTCTGGACTCCGTAATGAACTTACCTTTACGTCCTGCCTGATTCGACGATTGCTCACGAACCCCTCCTCCATGTCGGACTCAACGCCGACGAATAGCCCGAAGTGTGGGGAGATGGGGTGTGCGTTGATCAAATCCAACGCACAACTGCCATGGAGAGAATATGAGATGTTGACTGTCATCTGACTTTGGTTCTTTCGTACGTTCAGTCTTCGGATCACAGGCTCTTCTTTCTTCTCTTTCAGGGACATCGGAACACTTCTGCTGTGCTTGGAGCTCTCCAGGTTGTTCAACCGTCGAGTTCTCCGCTTCTTCAGTCTACCAAACACACCGGGTTTGCAGACTTGCAATACAGTCACGTAGCGGAGCCCGCGTAACAGGAAAAGAAGGAGAGACGTCATACACCTCCTCTTCTTGTAGCGCGGCAGCTCCAGCAAGACCTTGAATATGGCAGACAAGAAAGGAGGCTTCCAGGAAGCACGGTACCTCCAGTTCGTGCGCTCTTCGGAGACCACGGGCGTCGATGGCAAACCCATGCTCAACAGGTACTCGACACATCTCACTCGAGAGCATGATTTCCCCGGCGCACAGGCGATGCTCTTCGCCGCCGGTGTGCCCGACCGACAAGCGATGCAGACAGCTCCGCATGTCGGCATCGCCAGCGTCTGGTGGGAAGGCAATCCCTGTAACATGCATCTGCTGGACCTGGGCAAGGAGGTCAAGAAAGCGGTCACCGCACGGGGGATGCTGGCGTGGCAGTATAATACCGTGGGCGTGAGCGATGCCATCACGATGGGTAACCAAGGCATGCGGTTTAGCTTGCAGACTCGAGAAATCATCGCAGACTCGGTGGAGACGGTGACGTGTGCGCAGGCTCATGATGCGAACATCACCATCCCCGGCTGTGACAAGAACATGCCCGGTTGTATCATGGGGATGGCGAGGCACAATAGACCGAGTTTGATGATCTATGGAGGCACCATCGACAAAGGGTACTCGGAGACGTTGCGAAGGCCCGTCAACATTGTCACCTGCTATGAGGCGTTTGGCGCATACCGGTACAATACCCTGCGCCAACCTGATGACGGCGGCGACACGTCGAAGACAAAAGACGAAATCATAGACGATCTGGAGCGGCATGCCTGTCCGGGTGCAGGTGCATGTGGGGGTATGTACACGGCCAACACGATGGCGACGGCGATTGAGTCCATGGGCCTGTCTCTACCGGGGTCTAGCTCGACGCCTGCCAGCTCGCCTGCCAAAATGCGGGAATGCGCCAAAGCTGCCGATGCCATCAGAGTGTGTCTGGAACAGGACATCACGCCCAGCAAGCTCTTGACGAAACAATCGTTTGAGAATGCCCTTGTTATGACCATGGCGTTGGGTGGGAGCACGAATGCCGTTCTTCACTTCCTAGCCATGGCTGTCACGGCAGGTGTTGAACTGACTCTTGACGACTTTCAGCGCGTGAGCAACAAAATCCCCTTCCTCGCAGACCTTGCGCCGTCAGGCAAATACTTGATGGCCGATTTATATGAGATTGGGGGCGTGCCAAGTGTGCAAAAGCTCTTGATTGCGGCTGGTCTTCTTGATGGCTCAATCCTCACCGTCACTGGGAAGACGCTAGCAGAGAACGTGGCTAACTGGCCGAGTCTGCCTAGCGACCAGGTCATCATCAAGGACTTGAAGAGCCCCATCAAGTCAAGCGGCCACATCCAGATTCTCAAGGGTAATTTTGCGCCGGCGGGTGCCGTGGCGAAGATCACTGGGAAAGAGGGTCTCAAGTTTACAGGCAAGGCCATGTGCTTTGACAAAGAGGTTGAGCTCAACGAGGCGCTGAACAGAGGCGATATTCCTCGAGGGGAGAACCTCGTCCTGATTGTCCGGTATGAAGGTCCGAAAGGTGGACCGGGCATGCCGGAACAGCTCAAGGCCAGCGCTGCCATCATGGGTGCGGGCCTAACGAACATTGCGCTTGTAACAGACGGGCGCTATTCTGGTGCCTCCCATGGATTTATCGTCGGACACGTGTGCCCAGAGGCTGCTGTCGGGGGACCAATCGCCTTGGTCAAAGATGGTGACGAGGTGACGATCGACGCCGAGACAAACACGATCTCGATGGCCGTCACTGACGAAGAGCTGGAGAGAAGGAGGAAAGAGTGGACTCCACCAAGGATGGTTGTAACAAGGGGCGTGTTAGCAAAGTACGCCGCGTTGGTAAGCGATGCCAGCCACGGTGCTGTCACCGATCTGTTTTGAGCGGTGTACATGCTCCGCGAGCCGTCATTGAAGGCTTGCGAGGCATTCTGAGATAGTCAATCAAACAAGGGCTCGCCTACCTGTCAGGCTCAGCCGGTGGCCGTGCTGCTTCGGTGCCAAGATCATGGGCAAAACCTCGAATCTTGTGATACGTGCTGACCGAGGCAAGAGGGTAACAATCAAGAAGCTGGAGAGGACTGAAAAGTTGTTAATCGATCAGCATCCTTGGTACGCGTTTCTCGATGAATTGATGATTTTCAGGGCTGCTGAATTCTCAACATGTTCGCGATTAAGCTTGCCAGGTGCAGAAAAGAAGCTCTTGCAGAGGACTCGCCGTCTTATCGACTGTGGGAAGGACTCGACAAGGAGCAGGAGCATGAGCACGTTTGAAGTGCCGTCGTGTGCCAGTGGTGGGTGGCCCCATGAACATGTAGAATACACAACTGCGATGGCATTGTGGCTGCGGTTGCCAAGTGCTGCGAGATCCTGAACCTGGCCGAATCCTCCTCTTCTAATGCAGCTGCTCCCCAGCCTCATCACGACTTCTCTTCTTACGACTCATCTGGCAGTGTGCACTGCTGCTTCACGCCTAGTCCAGCGGCCGTGGGTCGCCTTTGGTCCTTGACTTTGACCCTGTAAGAGTCCTTAATAGGCAAAATCTCTGAAGCACTCAAACAAGAAGGTCTTCCACTGGAAAGCAATTGGTCACTCGAATCCTCCTCCTGAAGAGATCCTGCTCCAGGTTATCCGTGTATGTCTCTGACGGCCTCGCAATCTGCAGATTGTGGCAGGGAACGGAGACGTGGGCCACAATCTCTTTGTGATCGCCCACGGTGTGTCTGTCCTGATTGAGGCCTGATACCAAGGTACCGGAGCATATCAGTGAATCCAAGGTGGACTCTACCAATACCAGACCTGTCGATGCTCCTGCGGCCATGCGATCCTAGCCCAAGCTGTTAAGGAGATGCTTTTAGGTCCTAGGTCGACGGTTGACTCACGACGGCAGACGCCAACAGGGCATAGTGCTTCCAGACTGTTCCTGGGTTGCATAGAGGAGTGAAGTCCTGGATACCTCGTGATGCACAGAGGAAGACAACCTTAGATGAAGATGGCTGACAGTATGGTGACTTGCTGTTAACGTCGCGGTTATGGGGTCTGGTCGTATATGAGGTGAGCCGCATCCAGTCTCGTCCTCAGTTCATTCTCTCCTCGCTTCGTCTCTCGCAATGTGACTGACATCTTGATCGCAATGCCCGTCTCTGCTCTAATGGCCAAGAAGGTTCTATCACGACTCCATCAGACTAGACCAGCTCCTGCAGACAGTCTCCTCCCTGACCTGTCCAGCAAAACTGAGCCAACGCTCTTTGTCGACTGGCCAGAGAAAGAGAGAAAAGTTGCCATCGCCAAACTCCACAAACTCGCTGCCCAACAGCCCGCCTCTACCACAACTCGTCTCCCTGCTCCTTGCCCCCGTCGCTTCAAGTGGATAATCTTCGCCATGCTTTTCCTCGCACTCGGATTCATAGCATTCGCCGTGGTGGCTTCGCTTGCCTTGGCCGCCAACGCCGACAGAGAGACGGACCTGGTTGCTAAGCTTCGCATGGCCAACACCAACCTCGACCGCATGAAGCTGCTCCCAGACGACTCGGACTGGTTCTTCGATTTCACCAAACAGGATACATACACATTTTCTCCCGGCGGTGTCATCAACGCCAATGCCGCTACCTTCCCTGCCACTGTGGGACAAGGCATGACCTTGGTAAGTCAGCCATCTGGGCCAAACCGACGTCTGGAAAACAAGTCTGACAAGTCACACAGGCCATGCTTAACCTGGGTCCATGCTCCATGCTTCCACCACACTTTCACCCCCGAGCAACCAACTTTGTCGTTGCGATCAGCGGAACAACCCAAACCTACATGATTGCCGAAAATGGAGCACGTACCGTGACTGAGGTCCTCAAAGCAGGCCAGATGACCATCTTCCCGACTGCTTCTGTCCACACCATGATGAATATCGGCTGCGAGAACGCACAGTTAATCTCTTCTCTCAACTCTGATGACAGCGGCACCACCAACCTCGCCAATACGTTCTTCTCCCTTCCAGCCAACATTACCAATACCGTCATTGGCGGCGGACTTAGCGCTCAAGACATTTACGGCCGAGTCCCTGCTGTCGGCACCGGTTCCAGTTTCGGCCCGAATCAGTGCAGAGCCGCATGTGCCAAGCAGGGGAAGATGCTCAAGCGTGAATGGTAGGCTATTGTAAGACGAATCGAGGGCTCGAGTTAGAGAATACGAGCTACCGAGGTGGTGTTCTGGATACCTACCCCGTCTAGAGCAGAAGCCGGCGGCCTTGGATATGACTCCGAAGATCGAACGACATTGAGTACATCTGTGCGCAAGAAGGCAGGAGAGAGGATAATGAGGAGGGACACGCCCATCGTCACGAGAGCAGACCGATCTCGGGCCCTCTGGTCTGACAGGCGCTCTTTGTCCACCGACCTCTACTCTGCGGCGCAACGGTATTCTCTTGAGAGGGTATTCTCTTGAGCTAGTCTGAAGTCCTGGTCAGGAGTAATGCATGGCAGACTGATACGGTGGATGTAGTGTCACTCCGTATGCTCGAATGTAGCACTAAATGAGGAAATGCTGCTTGAGAACACGCAACTTGCGCCAAGCTCGAGGTTTCTGCGACAGAACGGCCCCCTGGCTTCGAACAGTGGTTGTTTTCTCTTCTCCTGTCATTCCACAATCTCGATGTGCGGCCGCTTCGGTGCCGAACGGATGGCGGGCGTTATGAGCTTTGTTACTTATCCTCCCCTGGCTTGTTATCGCCTCCGTACATCTCCATGCCCTGCGTGCCTGCTGGCGACTCCCTGCTGGTGCCGTGCCACTCCGAATGGCACCGTGTCGACACATCACCGCCTGATAGCTGTCCGGCTACGCCATATACCGCGCTGCGGCATCCTGCCCGATGTTTGGTTTTTCGATCCCAACTAAGCGATGATTAATGATTCCGCCCGACATGGGACCTTACTTTCTTAACATGAAGGACCCTCTTGGCCAGCGAGGGTTTCTTGTCTGGATTTGCGTGCGCCTTTTCCTTCTCGCTCATGATTGAGTCTGTAGAGATGGAGGTAGTGTCGAATGACGTGTTAGGTTTGGAGTCTGAAGAAGGCATCCTTGCCTGTTGTGGCATAGGGCATAAGAGGTGGCTGTTCCTGTGTGAAGGCGATCGTGCTGGAGGACGTGTCAACCTTTCTGTAAGTGATGGCCGAGAATTTTGCCACCAGGGAGTTCTTGTTGACGGGCTTGTACACGGGCAGTGATAGAAGACAAGGGTGAGAATGCCCGAGGAATACAAACATGTGGCCAGGGCCAAGAGTCCCTTTATACACGAAAGATGAGGCTTGCTCGACACGGTTCACACCCTTCGCGATTCATCGGGGCCTGGGTGCCTGGACAGACAACTCGCATATCAATACCAATACCGGCTCTAGTATACGATCCTCGTACGACGATAGGTCAGCGCTGTGACTGGGACGGCAACTCATTACTGTAATACCGCATCCGGCAGATGGAGGGGCTAAGCACTGCCTTACGAGCTGAGACAGGGGGTCAGAGCGGAACGGCCGACACGCATGACGAGCCATTCTTTCGGGTTCGGAGATGGTCGTGGTGTCCACAGGTAGACGACGTCCAGGTGCCTCCCGCTACCTACATCATACCGTACCAGAGGCGGGATGGGATCTGATTCATCAAGGATGTTGCGGTCAGCCGAACTGCATTCCGTGATCCATCGGGTTACAGTATGGTGTTCTGTTCCTGGATGCGGTTTCTACAGGCATCGTCCGGCAATATCGTGGCCACTGCGATGCGATGCTCATGCTCACACTTACTATGAACATCGTCCAGCGGAGGAGAATTTGTGCTCGGCGGAGAAAGCATGGCTAAGCTCATCGTGGTCAACGCACCGGACAAAAGCTTGGTTGGAGAGCCGGGTCGAAGCGAACGCCAATGACAACCGGCACTGCTCCATACTAGGTAACTTACTGTACATCGTATGTTAACTGCTATGTACCTGTAGTCGTGTCACAACTGCACGACGTACGCCGGTGCCAATCACAACGCAGCACATCAGCCACCCAGCGGCAGCGTCAGGCCCAAGTATTTCGTATGTTTTTCTGCCTGACTCACCACTCTCTAGGTATCCCATATGCTACTCCCTGTGCTTCCGCGTCATCGACATGAGCCAGGTCACCGCCTGGACCTGGCGTCTCGCATGCAATTCGACTCGGTTCAAACTCGCAGCTTCTGAAAGTGGAAGTTGGGATACTGTAGGTCTAGAATGAGGAGCGAAACAACTTGGATCGGACCACCATTGAGACCGCAAGACGACAAGGCCACACCTCCCTCGGCACGACGTATGCAGGCGTCTCCCAATGCCAGCTTCACTCCCCTCGATAACGCTCCAAGCGGCCATGCGAGCCGACTGCCTCTTCGTACAGTGGTCCCCCTGAACCCTGATCGCAGATACTAGGAAAGCGGGAACGTTCGCGGCCCTCTCTCCGTAGAAATCGAGCCGTTCCATCTGCAAGCGAAGACGATCCCTCAGGAGGCTTTCTATCTACGCAGGCATCAATCTTCTTCGTCCTCATATGACGCACACTATCTGCCTGCTGCTGCACTTCCTGCGTTGAGCTGCAACTTTCTTCTTCTGGAATGCTTGATTCAACCTACTTTCACAGAGTACTTATCTGCACAGGCACATTGTCGCCCTGGTCGATCTGCAGCAATGATCACGCACTCGATGGAACATGCTCTGTTGTGGCAGGCATGGAGAGGACTTCGAAGGTGCTCTGGATTATTGTGCATCGAATGCCACGTTCCTACCCATGGCTTGCGTCAACAAGTCACTTCCATGCCTCAATACGTTTTAGACAGCTAAATACTGAGCTCAGAAAGCAAAAAACCGCGTCCAGTTTCAGCGCCAAATGCGGTCTCCTGGCAGTCAACGTTCGCCCACTCGCTGAAACAAGGTGGACTGTTCAAGCAAACCACTTGCTTAATCCATGTGGCCAGCTTATACTCCGTACACAAAGCGCAATCATACACCACGCTAATATGAACAGTCCCATTGGCGCAGATCCAAGTAATTCACAGGCAGCATCTCCAGCACAAAGACAAGGCCAGTGTCCACACAGAAGTAGGTCAAATAGTACACCATGAAGGATTGCACAGACTTTGTCTCTGTCTCAGCCCACGAGACAATGCTCACGACGCTCACAAGGAAACCCCGAACAGGTTGCTCAGCACCGTACAAACGCGCATTATACCTTTTGGCAAACATGTCCCCCGTGTTTCTGAGCCTCATTTTCACAGACCACATGAAGCACCGCGGTAGGATTTTGTTCTTCCTCCCACCTTTTCCTTCTTCCACTTCCCTTCTGTCCACTGACAATCTCTGAATCCCCTCGCGTCATCTACCAGCCGCGGTCAGTCAGAGGGCCCAACTTCAAACTTAAGGTCCAACGATACCAAGCAAGCAAGCAAGCAAGCAAGCAAGCAAGCAAGCAAGGTCATTCCAATTCCTCAACCGTATCCATGGCAAGGAAGAAAGTCTTACGCGCCGTTAATGCCCAGCACTTCCCAACCGACGGCCCGCGAAAGCGTCAACCAGCCCGTCAGACACAACAACAGCAGCAGCGCCGAACACCCACACCCACTCACGCACATAGAGCTCGAACAAAGCGATATCGACGACCGGGGCCACAACCGCGACCAGAAACAGGTTTCTTCACACACCTCATTGAGATGATGCAGGAGGCCAGTCAGACCGGGGGCACGGCTATCTTCATGATGGTCATCGCTACTGCCAACGTTGCCGCGTGGGCGGTTGTGTCGATGGTTTGGCGTGGATGGCGAGACTGAGCCGGAGCCGGAGCCAGAGCCGGAGACTGAGATGGACAAGACGTTGGATCATCTGGTCTATGTTGTCCTTCGGACGTCAAGCGGGGTTTCGGTTCAGACGAGTGGCTGGCGTGGATTGACTGAGCCGAGAATAGGACGAGCTGGGAACAGGTGCGATGTGGTGTGGTCCTGGCGCGTGTGTGGTTCGCAAGGGGGAAAGGCGGAGAATTGCAGTGTGTAGACGTAGACGGATAGATGGCACGATCGATACATTCGATTGTTCGTTCAATCCCCCAATGCCAATGCTCGCAGACTCGCAGACTCGCGAACAGGGTCGACAGATTCACGTAAGCCAAGCCACCATATCATCATCGACGGAAGACTGCAAATTCCCTTTCAGGCTGGATAGTACCTAGAGTCAATCGAATGCTCCGGGCTGAACTGTTTTCAAGTCCGTCGGTTACCCATCCAGTTCCCCATGACTGGGCGCATTGTTTCCAAACTCTCTGTCCTAGACCTGGCGGTACGATGCTTTAACTTCGCATCAGGTAACCGAGCTCAAATGTAACAGGTGTGACTTTCAATCCTCGTTCCTCCTCATCAACATCTTCAACTCGGTAGGGTAAGGGGTCCGGACCTTTCCACCTCGGGCTAAAACAGCCAGAGCCGACCCTGTAATTTGTTTCCGTTCCCAGCACCTACCCAGCTGCGCTGGTTCCTTCGGGTCGGGCGACTTAAATGACGATACTCGCGAGCCCTCAGACCAATCACCACAGCCAGGCATCACGAGTTGTGCGGGCTTGGTATCCTAGGTACGATAGAAGTGGATTCCGCTGATTTGGCCATTCAATATCTTTCTCAAGGAGGAATGGTGAGTCGAGTCCTCGTGCGGATGCGCGATGGGCGTAAGATACGGGCGACAACTGGCGAAAAGGAAAACATAGTGTTGGAAGATATCGGCTTGGATGGTGAGCGTGAATGGGTACGACGTCGCCTAAGACATTCGGTCTTGGAGGGTTCTGGTTCCCGGAACTGCTGGCGAAGAGACCTTGTTTGGATTATGCATAGATTTCATGGTGACTTGGATTTGAAGGTTTGCAGAAGTTGCTGTTGGGGACTGACGGTGATGTTCAAGAGCAAGGACCTTGTTCTCAACAGAGGACCTCAAACTGGAAATATACCTACTCACCTGAGGCGAGAACGTATAGACTCCTGAGAATAGCAGGGATCCTCGCCCGTTCAGGTCCACCCGCTTTTTTCGCACGAGCGTGCGAGCGCCCTTCCAAAAGATGAGCCTCGACATTTGGTCAGAGTACGCTCGCATGCGGTGTCCAGCAGCATTCAAC